TATTAATTAAGGAATCCCTAAATAACCTAGCTAGTATACGATATTTCTCGAAGGTCGATATTATCTCTGCGTTTAATAATATCCGGATACGCGTAAGGGAAGAGTACTTAACCGCCTTCCGCACTCGATTTAGACTATACGAGTCGCTTATTATACTATTTAAAATAACTAGAGCCCCTATAACCTTCTAGAGGTATATTAATAATATACTAAGAGAATACCTTGATATTTTCTATACCGCCTACTTAAACGATATCTTAATCTATAGCCGAACGAGGTCCGAATATAAAGAATACTTACGAATAGTCCTAAAAGCCCTAAGGAACGCTAGGCTATATACTAAGATATTAAAGTACGAATTCTTCGTAACTAAGATAAAATTCCTAGGCTTAATTATCGGCCGAGAGGGAATCCGAATAGACCCTAAGAAAGTCCGGACCGTAAGAGACTAAAAGATACCGACCTATATTACCGATATATAAGCCTTTCTAGGTTTCGGTAATTTCTACCGGAGATTTATCTGGGATTACTCGAAGATTACCGTACCCTTAAACCACTTAATTAGAAAGGGAGTCCTGTTTTATTAGACTACTAACTGCTATAACGCTTTCGAAGGCCTAAAAACCGCTTTTAGCACCGCCCCGATACTAGCCTTATTTAATTAGGAAAAGAATATTATCTTAGAGATAGACGCCTCCGACTATATCTCCGCTAGGGTATTATCTTAGGTAGGGGATAATAGGATACTACGACCTATTACTTTCTTCTCGAAGAAGTATACTATTATTAAGTATAACTACGAGATCTACGATAAAGAATTAATAGCTATAATTCGCTACTTCGAGGAGTAGCGCCTAGAGTTAAAGGGAGCCTCTTTACCGATTAAAGTAATTACCGACTACTATAACCTAGAGTACTTTACTATAACGAAGCTACTAAACTAAAGATAAGCCCGTTAGTCTAAGTTCCTATTACGATTTAATTTTTAGATTACCTACCGACCCGGGAAGTAAGGTACTAAGCCCGATGCTTTAATTAGGAGGTTAGAGGATCTCTTAAAGGAGGGGGATAAACGCCTTCTTTACTAGAGCTAGATAGTACTAAAGAGAGAGAACTTAGACCCGAGGGTAAGGTTCCACGCCGCTCGCTTACTAACTAAACTTCCTACCGACTTATCCGATCTCTTTAATAAAAGCTATACCGCTAATAAAATCCTAGAATCTATTTAAGAAGCGATCTATAAAGGTAAGTAACGCTATACCTATATTATACTATCTAAGTATACTAAGAACTATAACCGCCTATACTTCCGAGACCGCTTATACGTCCCTAACTATAGCGAACTAAAAGCTAAATTACTCCGCCGTTATTATAAGTCACCCGTTGCCGGACACCCTAGACGAGCCCGTACTTACGATATCCTATTAAGAAGTTACTTCTAGCTAGGTATGCTAGTATACGTGGAAAGATAGATTAAGAACTATCACACCTGCCGCCGGTCTAACCCATCCCGAGACGCCTATTAAAGAGTCCTAAAGCCGCTACCGATCCCCGAACGCGCTTAAAGAGATATATTAATAGACTTTATTATATACTTACCTCCGAGCTAGGGATATAATATAATCCTCGTCGTAGTAGACTATTTAACGAAGATAAGATACTTAATACCCTATAAAGTAACCTACGATTCGGCTAAGACTGCCCGTCTATACTTATACTATATCTAGAAGCTATACGGCCTACTATTAACTATTATATCCGACCGAGGCCCCTAGTTTATTTCTAAGTTCTAGAAGAGCTTAAACCGATAGCTATAAATCAAGAGCTTATTATTAACCGCTATATACTTATAAATAGACGGCTAGACTAAACGCTTTAATACTATCTTAGAATAATACCTACGATCCTACGTATTATATCTATAAGATAACTAGTTTACCTAGCTCCCGCTAGCTGAATTCGCTACTAACTCCTAGAAATCCGAGACTATTAGTATATCGCCGTTCTTTACTAACTACGGCTCCCACCCCCGGATAGGGTTCGAACTAGATATCCCTACCGCTAATACTCCCGCCTCCCGGGACGTAGAAAGCTTTATTCGTAAGATAAAGTAGATTAATAAACACCTATAGTCCGAATTAACCGCCGCCTAAGCCTACTACGAAGACTAAGCGAACCGGAACCGCCGACCTACCCGCACGTATCGTACTAGAGACTTAGTCTAGCTAGACGCCCGAAACCTACGAACCCTATAGCTATAGAAGAAACTAGACTAGAAGAATATCGGCCCCTTAAAGGTCGAGAAGGCCGTGTCGCCGTATGCCTATAAACTAGAACTACTTGTAAGTATAAGAGTATACCCTATGTTCTATATTAACTTACTCCGACCCGTTACTAATAACCCCTATCCCGGATAATATATCGTACCCCCGCCGCCTATTAAAGTTAATAGGGCTGAAGATTTTATAGTATAAGAGATAGTAGATTCCCGCTAGGAACGAAGAGGCTAAGGTAACCTACGATTATAGTATACTATAAAGTAGGTTAGGTATAATAATCCGACCGAAGAACCCGTAGATTATTCAGAGAACGCGTAACAGATCGTCGCCAACTACTACCGCCGATATCCCGATAAACCTAGTCCTTAATAAATGCTCGCAGGAGCTCGCCCTTAGAAGGGGGGCGTATTGTCACAGCTGGTCAAGAGCGGGGACCCACCCTGCACCTAGTAGTTATATAAACTCGCGCCTGCCTTTATATTTTGTCGCGATCCCGACCGTCTTCTGTTGTAGCTCTTCGAGCTATGTCTTGTATATAGAGCCTACCTTACCTAAGGAGTGCCTATCCGTAGTAATAGACTAGATCAGCCTGACCGAGTGTTCCCCGTCCTACCTGCCGACCGACCCCCCCTGACAGCTACCGCGGGCTATTAAAGGTATATACTAGTATCGAGAAATAAGGCTAAAGGAGAGAAAAAATAATAAATAAGGAAAGCCACGGCCGATATTATTATAGCCGCCCTTAGATTTATCTAAGTTTAGCTTATGTTACCTTTACCTTAGCCTTATTTCGCGAGGCTAACGGGTATATATATAGGACGTAGCTATACCACGCGGGGTAATACGAGAAACCGCGGATCCACCCGGAGTACGAATTATTATATACAAAAACCCAGGATATACTCCTAGCGGTAAGGCACCCCGCAGCTATCCCGACGGGCCACCGTAGGCTAGCCTAGAGTTAGTAAGGGGGTAATATTACGGTTCTACCAGTTACTAGCGGCTGGGTACAAGACCCGGCCTAGTTCACCCAGGCACGTGACGCGTGCCCACGAGGACGCACAGACCTCGCAGGGTCTTCACAGGAAAGGGGGACCGTAAATTCCCTCCTCTTTCTCTTTTCCTACCTTATCGTTAGATAGACTCAATCTGAGCTACCAAGTTATTCCAACAGGGCTTAGCCCATAACACGTACTAAGGGAAAAACCTTCGTAGCCGAGGAATGCTTCTAGGAAGATCAAGAGATTAATACAGTCACTAAGGACCCCGTACTCGTAGCGATCTAGCTGCGCCCTCTCGATATTGTGCACCTTCTCACTCTCTTTATTGAATCCAGTTTCTGATAGCATGGTGGCGCATGCGGTCGCATGTTAGGTCGTAACATATCTAGCTATTATTCGGGCCGAAACCTAACCTATACTTCGGCCTCTGCTCTTTTAGTATCGAGTTTCTTTTAGTTCACGCCTAAGTCGTTAGGTTTAGTATATAAGTTTATACACTATTTGTCTCCGGTCTAGATAAGCTACGGGATAAAAACTTGGGATTTTTTTAGAGTCTAAACTAAATTAAGGTATACTAGAAGTCCTTACTAGCGCGATGTATAAAAAATATGGACTTGTTCTTATATATCGTGATCCTATCTAGAAGAGGGTTAGTTAGTGTTTTTGTGAATCAAATCTAGGGAATGCAGGCCTTTGTCTTATCCCAGGGACGTTTGTTGGGGGAGCCGATCAGGGCCTAAAGGTGTATCGGGCCTTCTCTTATGGGATTAGAAGTGTTGGGCTAACGACCCGGATCCAATCCAGTTTGCCGTGCAACGTCAACGATCTCTGTCGCTACAGGACAACGCACTCGGAAACCTCACAGCTCAGCCTGCCAAGTGCACGCTCGCCACGCTGTCGGGTCCCTCGCCAGAAGTAGACAGAGCCCTCGCTGTTCTCGCCCTGTGGCGAGGAGTGCGACGACGATCACCGCCAAAAGGAGGAGTTGCACGTTGCAAGAAGCCGCACGAATCTGGCTCGTTACATGTTACACGGCAGTCAGCACACTGTGATGGCGCCTGAGGCCGATTGACGAGTCGACAGTGCGCCTTGTGGCCCTGGTGCTCGTGCAGACCAGCACTCACGATAGGTGAAAGCGCGACATTGAAATCAATTCCCTGCTCGTGCCGCGATCACAGGCGCGGCCAAGCCTTCAACAGCCGCAGGATCGCGGCTGGAGGGGCCACGCGGGCTCGCAGTCTGTCAGCCAAGCATTGGCAGGCATATTAATCTACATTGTGTATTCCGTAGACGCTCGCGAGTGTATGAGTCCAAGTGGCCGCCATTACGAAGAGTGAAGACAATCCGCGCCAATATGGCAGTGACGATTGTCCGCGGGCCAAGATGCATATTCGCCTCTCCCACGAGCCAAGACGCGCCCAGGAGAAAGGATCGGCGGCCATCAGGGGTCGACGGCCGGTCCAGCGGGTCCCGTCAGCCTCCCACACCCTCCAAGTCGCTCTATATAGGACGTTTCATCCCCGGATTGTCTGTTTGTCTGTCCGTTCTCGACAAGGCGTATATGCATGAGTCCTGAATACCAGCTCGCTTCGTCCACCTGTCCTTACCATACGCCTCTTCACCAACTGCCGTCTATTCAAGACAAGATACGTTTACAGCATTGTCATTTACAGCCGACCGACCATCTACCTACCTATTCACAGCGATCAGACCCGCCAGGATGAGCCAGATCGCCATCACCCCTGAGCTCGTCCGCAAGATGGAGGACAGTCTCCTCGCCGACCCAGCCATTGTTCAGGCCAAGATTGTCGACATTGCCGCCGCCGACGCGCCCCAGCAGGACCTCGTCGTGGCCATCTGCCTCAGCCCGGACGTGCAGCAGCCCGACGAGTCAGCCCTGCGCGCCGCGCGCAAGGCGCTCGTCAAGAGGATGCGCGACGACGGGGGACGCGCCGTCGTCCCCAGGAAGTGGTCGCGCCCCAGCGTCCTGCCCGTCGACCCGTCAGGCGCCGTGGACGAGGTCGCCCTGAGGCAGAGCCTGCTCATGGAGGCGCACGCCGACGGGCCCCCTCCGACACCCACCTCCAAGGCCCCCGTGGAGTCTCTGGACGAGAAGATTATGCGCACCATTGCCACGGCGGTCGGCACCTCTGTCGGCCAGCTCGTGCAGACGCGCGGCTTTGCACAGAACGGCGGCGACAGCTTCGCCGCCATCCGCGTCTTCCAGGCGCTCATGCGCGAGAACATTTCGCTGCGCGTGCCGGACATTATGCGCGCAGAGAGCATTGCCGAGCTGCCCGCGCTCGTCATCTCGCGATCGGGGCCAGCCCCGGTGCCAGCTCCGGCGGCGACGTCGGGGATTCAAGTCTCGCAGGTGCACGAGGTGATGCTGGCTGAGCCCGAGACCAACGGGGTTGCTGTGACCACTGTGGGCGGCGTATAAGCGGGAGCTCTCCTATTGCACTTGTACCACCGTCACTGGGCACATCCAGGTCATAATGCAGCGTTGCTTTCGTGGGACAGTCACTCGTTGACCAGGTGTTTGGCGTTGGTTTGTTTGTCTCCGTGAGCCATGAAGGACGGCGTGGCAGTGCGCCAAGAGCCGTGGGTTACTTGCTTACTTACATGTGTGTTTGGGAGGCGCTGAGAGGCTGGTGCCCCGGCCAATGATGGTGCTGGCCATTATCGATTCTCTCGCGGTTGATTACATCTATCGTTTTAATACATTCAATCTTTCAACTTTGATTTATGCTTGGACCTCGAGCGCAGTCCTATCCATGACTTCCGTCGAGGGCTGCACATTGCTTTGGCCTACCCTGCATCTTCTCGGCTCCGAACAGCTTCGGCAATGCGTCATTGGCTACGCAGGAGTCGAATCCTTCCGCCACCGTCCAAGACTTCAGGAAATCAATAACATCACTGATTACGTCGCTGGTCAGGGATATTATGGGAGTCATTTTTTAATTCTTGCCAGAAAGGCTCAGGCAAGGACGGCGCAATATGGCGGTGCAGGATTCGAGATGGTGCCTGGCATGGCTATGTTCAGAGAGACTGAGTTGCGACTAGTTAACTACCGTATGCTCGCGTAAAGCTGACTATCCTGTGGAACTCGGCATGCATTGTAAGCACAAACTGCTCTTTCATAGATTCTGCTTCCAGCTCCTCTCCCACATCTGGCACCAGATAATCAACTAAATAAGAATGTTTCATCATTTGATATCCGCGAGGCGCCAGTAACGCAGCCGTGCATATCTATCCACAGACAACTAGCAAGTCACGGCTGCCAAAATAAATACGCACTAATTTGTCACCCCCGCAGCCCCTCCAACTTGGACGACGAGGCAGCCAGTCCGAGTGGTGGCCCCACCAAAACTCTCGATTGACTCACCACGACCTGCATCACCAGCATCACCAGCACCAAATCCATTCTGCACTCGCCTCGGCATCCATACCACAGCAGACGCCATGACCACCGACACGCCCACATCCTCCGGGGCCCCCGTGGCCCCCGTCGACCTCCCCGTCCGCGCCGCCGATGGCGCCCCCTTTGACATTGTCCAGACGTACCACGACCTCCTCGCCCAGAACCGAGACCTCACCAAGCCCGTCGTCGCCATCAAGGCCCTCATCTCCCTCCTCGAGAACACAAACTCCGTCACCGCCCACGAGACCATGGACGTTCTCCAGGCCAGCGCCGACCGCCTCACCAACTCGGTCCGCAACCCCGTGCCCCTCGTCGCCGGCACACACCTCTTCCTCTGGTTCGTCCGCCAGATGCTGCGCGACGAGGGCGGTAACTTTGAAAACGTACGCAGGCATCTCGTCGACAATGGCCAGGTCTTTGCCCAGCGTGCCATACACGCCCGCACCGGTGTCGCCGAGCACGGCTTCCGCGTCATCAAGCCCGGACAGACTGTCATGACACACGGCTCCTCACGCGCCGTCCTCGGTCTCATTGAGCGCGCGCAGCAGGCTATCCCCGGCCGCTTCAAGGTCATCTACGTCCGGGACCACTACAACCCCAAGGAGTCGGAGCGTGTCGTCTCGCGCCTGCGCAAGCTCGGCATCCCGACGGCTCCCATTGACGGTGCAAGCGTCCTCACGGCTGTCAAGGCCGCCAAGCCAGGTGTCTCGGCTGTCTTCCTCGGCGGGGAGGTCATCACAAAGGGCGGCGGTGTCATTAGCCGCGTGGGTGCGGCGCAGGTTGCGCAGGTTGCGCACGAGTCGAGCATCCCCGTCTTCGTCTGTGGCGAGGAGCACAAGTTTGTGGCGTTTATGCCGTGGTGGAACGAGATTGGCTTTGACCAGAAACTGCTGGACTTTGGCACGGAGGATGCCGAGAGGCCGACGACGGACGACCCTGTGGAGTGGGTGGTGAGTTTGCCCCCCCTTTTCTTAGTGGTTAATGATTTTGAGCACACGCTGACCACCGCACAGCCGCACGACTATGTGCATCAATTGATCACCGAGAGGGGGCTTCACCTGCCGAACCACGTGAGCACGACCATTTACCAGACCTATGGCAGCTTCGATGGGTAGAGATTCTGGGTACGCATGGGTGAGAGTGACGGGGCTATGGTCAAGATAAGCAATCGACACTGAGTAATGCATGGGAAAGGCGTCTGGGCGTTGGGAATATGAGGCATGATTAGACAAAATCGTTTACGCTATCACGAATAGAGAGAAAGAAGAGGCGGGTTCTGCGTTTGCAACGGCACGACATGTCATGCACGCGAGCTGGGACAGGTTGTTGGCCAAGGGCCAGAACAGCAGTCTGTTAACGAGTGTCTGGTACAGAGTTGCGTGTTCCATCGTCGCACCAAATGAGCGTAGGTTTGATTGCTGTTCAGTCGATCCGTGCGTGTTCGTTAGGAGAAGACGATGATCCTGGGCGCGAGCAAAAAAGAAAAAGATCGTATGCGGAACGAAAACCTGCGTTAGCCATCTCGTCTCGTCCATCCTCTACCGTCTCCCACTCCGCTTCACGCTCCCTCGCTGGCTGGCGGCATGTCCCTCACGACCCTCGCACCCACCCAGGCATACGGATACTTCCTCTGATACCAGTTCACAAAGCTCCTACGGCCCGCGATGCGCGGATGCGTCGCCCACGATCCGCCCAGGACGACATTATGCTTGCCGTCGAAAAAATCCGCCGTGTACCCCGGATACAGCGCCATGCTCTCAAAGCCCGGGTGCGGCGCGAGCGCCGAGCTCGTCCACTCCCACACGCCGCCCATGCCGCCCTGCCCCTGCAGCGCTGCGGTATGGGTCACCCCCGTGGGATGCCAGTTCTGGAACCCCACGTTGGCGCCGCCGAGGTCGACGAACAGCGGCGGCGTTGGGGGCGTCTCCTCCACACCGTCGTTGGACAGGTGACCGTTCACCGCGGGCACGCGTGCCGTCAGTGTGGACGACAGGAGGGATCTGTTGCGCTCCACGTGCGCGTACAGCGACTTGGCCTCCTCGAACGTCGGGATGCGGCCGCCCATGTACGCCGCGCAAGGGGCGAGCTCGTCGTAGGCTGCCATGACGGGCCATTCCAGGGCGTGCTGTAGGGGGACAGGCCCGAAGACTGTGAGCACGGCATGGGCGTTGATGAAAGACTGCAGGGGGCTGCTGTGCGCGGCGTAGCCGTTGGTGTAGTTAGGGTTCTTGATCCAGGAGGCTGGGATGCCCTGCGTGTTGGTCTCGACGAGGTAGGTTGCGTACTTTTCGTGTGAGTCAGTCGCCCCAGTGGACACATGATGGAAGCTTACCTCTTCGTTGGTGATGGCGCGACCCTTGGCCTGGAAAGCGTGGACGCTGATGTCTCTAGCTGGCTTCTCATTGTCCCTACGTGATCCGTCAGTCGATATCATCTGGGTTCATATGCACGCAAAAATACCATCCAAAGTGCTTCGACTGATCTGTTCCGTCCTCTGGATCGTCCAGGCCAACATGGACTGTCTGCGCAGGGATATCGTGCCATTCGTCAGCGACCCTGTTCTCTCTAGCAATGTCTGCCAGCTTCGCAAAATCAGGTCTGTCGACACCTGGAGGTGGCAGTGTCTTGGAGCTCTGGAGCATCATGTAGAGGAGTGTCTCCAGGTGCATGACTTCATGCTCAAACCCGAGCCAGACGGCTCTGCCTACGCTTCTCGGCATTTCTCCTTCGTACAGCTTCTGCACCCTGTCCCTGACCTTGGACTGGTACTCGAGGATCTGGTCCAAAGCCGGCCACTCGGTCGGCACCTCTGAGTGGTCATGGCACTTTTCCGGATTGTCGACGTCGGGGTCGATGCCCCTTTCGAAAATGTCAACAAAGGATTGGGGCTCCGTGTTCTTCTCGCCCGTCGTCTTGGCCAGTTGGATATCCAGGAAGGTGGGGATGTGCCCGAGATAGAAGATACAAGCGTTCCTCAGCTTGATTGGTTTCTCGGACAGGGACGGCTGCGGGAGCATCTGACGTGTGACAACGTCCCAGGTCGCCCAGAGCGACGCCCAGTCGCCGAGTGTCGGGAGAGGTTGCGACGCATAGAGCGTGGGGTGGAGGGGAAAGGCGAATTTGGACTGCTTGGTGAGGTGGTAGATACCTGTTTCTTCGCATCAGACGCTGATCACGCCATCGTGAGGGGGTTGCGTTTTCGAGGAATCTTACCGTAATCATCCTCCCTCCAGGCATTGAGCTGCTTGAGCCCGCTGTTCTGCCACAGATTCCGTGTGCCGGGGACGGAATACTTGTAGCTCTCCTCAATCTTAACCCTCTCAAAGGCCTTGATTTTCTGGCCGAGGACAGTGACGTCTCGGACCGGTGCCAAGAAGGCCTGGTGGCGGCCACCGTCCTGGTCGTAGACGTACTCGCCAATCACATGCCAGTCTGCCGGATCGAAGACGGGCGTGGGAAACAGGGTGTTTGCGTGTGTGAGGCCATTGAGGATGAATCTGGGTGATCAGTCTAGCGCCCTTAACTCGCGAAACACAATGGCAACATACTGGTGGGTGATGCCCTGGGAGTCTTCTGAGCGTTAGACAAGTGCTATACATCACCAAGCCCTCAGCCACTTACCATTGTATGCATGACTTGTGAGTGTCAGTGTCAGCACATTTGACAGCGCTCATGGGAACGTCTTGACCAGCAACTTACTAGACCTTGTCAGGCTCCATGCATGTGTCGACACCGATGTAGATCATGTCCGCCCCGCTCATCACCCTGCCAAAGCCAGCCAGGAACTCGGCCGCACCCTTGCGATCAAAGTTGCCTGGACGCACCGGTTAGCTCACTTACTCGCTTTCACTTGTGGGAGCACGACGTACCAATGCTGGATCCCAGATGGAGGATGCACTTCACCCTATCACGCTTGCCTTCCAGCCAAACCTGGCCGTCGTCATACGTCCCCCACAGACCGTGGCAGGTGACGTGGCGAAAGTCTGGTAACTGGGCAATCGTTCGCTCCAGCTCGTCCAAGCTCAGATCGAGCGCGTAGTAGTCAATCTTCTTGCCGGCCTTCTCAAAAGCTTGGAGCAGGAGGTTGACCTTGCGGAGGTTTCTTGGCTCGTCAGCATCATGCCATGTATGTGAAGAAGGCACTGTGTGCAAGACATGCGTACCCACTGCCGAGCTCGACAACCATGGCGCCGCTGGGGATCTGCGCTGCCATGTCCTGTGCGTACGTCTCCAGCACCTTGATCTCCTTGTTGGTGAGGTAGTACTCGTCCAGGTAGGTGATCTGCCTGTGTTAGCGCAGGGAGCATGCCAGGAAGATCAATGGACCGGCAGTACCTCCTCAAACAACTGCAGGCCTCTCTCATTATACAGCAGCATGGTGGGCAACTTTCGCGCCCCCGGATCGCCGGCAATCATGGTCTCGACATCAGCCTTGAGGTCAAATTCGACTGCATCGCCACGGATGTCGATGATGTCGGCCTGGCCGTTGGGATTCCTGACCGCAGGCATCGTGCAGTACCAGCTTGTAAGTGAGGCGCAATGGCAGTGAAGATGTTATAAATGACAATTCGGCAATCTGCTCGTGTTTTATATGACGGGTCAGAGGTGAGTCTAGTGTCAAACTCAAAGGGCGTTTGAGGAGGGAAGAGATCAGGGCCGATGTAGCCGAGGATGCCTATCTGTATAAATCCAGCTGCCGGTCCCTGTGATGTAAGTATGTACGAGTACCTTTGGGAACATCGGGAGGTACCTGATCGGAGCTACGATTATTACTGCTAGAACCTACTCGCAACCCGATCCACCCGTCCCGGGGACAGGTACCGCGCGTGAGACCGCAAGTCATTGGCGCGTCACAGCCATACCTCGATCGTCCGTGGCACCTGGATTCCAAACCAAGGGCGCGCGGGTGACAGCTGCAGCAGCTGCCAGCACCCCGCGCGCGGCGCGGAGGCCGTTTCATTAATAATGGAACTTGCTTCGCATGAGGCAGCGTCTGCAACTGGACGGATGTCCCATCCCATCCGGAGCAAAGGCAGCTGGGAGACTCGAAATGGCAGGGCGGGGGGACAGGACAGCATGTCGTGCATGAGCATGATCCCAGGAGCCTTCTGGTCTATGGCCAATGCGCGTGTCGAAGCATGGCAATTCTCAAATTCGAGCCATCGTCTGAAGTTTGTGGCGCGACTGAATGCACGGTAAGCAATAGCCCACAGCTGGTGTGGAGTAGGCGGTGCGGAGGTGCAGTCGATGACGAGGACATGCGACGAGTTCCTGGCGCGAGACACGCATGGCCCGATGGAAGTTGGACTGCAGATGAGGAGAGGGGGAGTTGATTAATTGGAGCTGGCCGGACTTAATGACCGTAAATAGCCGTTTGCCAATTGTTGCCGATCAATGATCAGTGTGATGTTAACTCAAGACGAATGCCGATGCCGCTGGTAAGTTAACGTTAACTTAGCTCTTTGTGCATTCAGGCTACCCTAGAGCATGTCATCCCGAACGCCACGTGATCTTCAACGGTGCAATCGATAAAGCTGTTGTGGGGCGGCGGAAGCAGGGCCGGAAGTCTGCACAGCCTCCAAGATGACGACTACGTACAGATTGAGTTTCACTATCTGTGGCTCAGCAGCGCACCAGCCACAGCTTGCAGAAGCCTAGAATTTGACCATGTTGACAAAGTGGCTGCATGAAATGTCCTCGTCCCTCTCGCTATCATTAGCAGGCTCTGATAGGGGCTTCACTGTCATTGCTGCGCAGACCGCGTCTTAAGCGCCGTGTCATGGTTGACGAACCAACCAGGCGGCACCTCGCCACACCCTGGCCCAGCGCCAGCTAGCCCAGAGCGACCCGTTGCCGCCCACCTGTGTTCCGAAGAAATAAACTTATTTGATCGCTCGGATCCCAGACTGATCTGCACATCTCTCGTCTTGCGTGTTCCCTTTGCATGACTTTGTGCTCCTGCCTCCGAGAAGCCCATCATCTATCTTGCGGGTCTTCAAGTCTTTTGTCTGTTTCAGGGTCGTCGCGGATTCACGTCACCTCTACCCCTCCAGTCCCCCACCACCACGGCCCGTCCGTGCTACTGACACTTACACGAAGAAGCTCGCTCAACCGCCGTCATGTCATCCGGGCACAGCGTGCGTTTCACAAACCTTTTCATCTGTCTTGTCTAACAGCATGCAGGATCCCAAGCTTCTCTACGCCATTGAGGGCGTCAGCGCCTACCAGCTCGGCTCTGGCCGCGAGGAACCCCTCACGCCCTCAGGTCCCCAGACCCTTTCCCTGCTGATGGTCCCTACCTCTTCTGGCTTCGCCGACCCAAACACTGTAAACACGGAGGAGGACTTCTATCTTCACCTGCACCTACCGCCGGAGCTCGACCTGCCTATGCCTGCCACAACCCAGATCTACCACCAGCCGCCCACGAGCTACCTCATCCCCCGCTGGGACCTGGGTCCCGAAAGCGGTGCCTTCACCAGGCTAGAATTTCCGGCCGTTAAAAGCAGGCCTGGCGTGCAAGAAGACGTTGATACTTTTGAGACTATCCTTGCGCAATGCACGGCCTTCCTCGAGCGCGCGCAGGCGCCCGTGTCGAGCAAAAAGAAGGAGAGCGACGCTGCACGTGCCAAGGCCAGGGAAGCCGCTGGGGAGGAGCTCCCACCGTACAACCCAGCGGACTATGAGCCAGGTCAAGCCTACGCGGCGGGCAGCAGCAGCGCCCAAGCCCAGCAGCAGGGCGGTCGCATCGTCCTCGTCGACCAGGAAGACGGCAGCGTCATTGGTGAGCTCGGTGAAGGCTTCCAAGTCGTCGAGGATGGCGCTGTGCAGCCCGGGTCAAAAGACCCTGTCATGGTCGCCCTCCCGCAAGACGGGAGCCAGAACATTGCCATTGGCCCCGCGCCGCAAGAGTACGTGGGCAAAGACATGCACCCGGCGTACAAAAAGTCCACCATCGTGAGCGGTGCGTCCAAGGCGTCGCAGCTGCTTGTCACGACGTCGGACTTTGTCACCCGTACCATGTCGACGCAGGCAGACAACTTCACAAAGAGCACACAGCCCGTCAAGCCGGTGACTTTCCAGCCGACCACCCACGAGCACATACGGCGCATCAACACCTTATCCACAAAGGCGGCTGGTCTCTCGACTGCGACGGTGGGCACCATCTCCAAGTATGCCCAGAACTTTGGCGCGAGCGTCGCCAAGAGGAAGGACGGGTCGGCACGAGGGTACGACAAGGACGGCAATCCGATCGATACCTACAAGCCCGGCGTGCTCAACAAGTCGCTCATGGCGTTCAACACCGTGGTGGACGGCGTGGAGCAGGCGGGACGCAACCTTCTGACGGGCGCATCGTCCTCTGCCACGCAAGTCGTGGGCCATCGATGGGGTCCCGAGGCTGGCGAGGTGGCTGGTCACATTGGCGGCGGCGTCAAGAACGTGGGACTTGTCTACATTGACGTCACGGGCGTCTCGCGTCGCGCCATCCTGAAAAGCGTTGCCAAGGGTATGGTGGTGGGCAATGTCAAAGGTGGTGGCCAGGTCATCGTTGGGGGTGAGGAGGGCGCTACGCCGGATGGGAAGCAGAGCGGCCGGTCCACGCCCCAGAGCGTGTACGGAGACAATGCGAGCATGGCCAGTGGAAGGCCCTTGTTGAATCGCAATCAGTCGTCGCAGAAATCGGCCATGGGGCAGTACAAATAAACCTGATAAGGGCGAAGTGTTTGAGCTTGAGAGAGGGGGACATGGTCCGCTAGAGGAGGACGGCAACGAGCGTTGGACAATGAGAGAGGTATGGCCTATATAGCAGGAATGAGTTGGATATGCTCTGTTGGCCTTTCTGAAAAAAGACGATGAAGCCACGACGATATTGGTAGTTCGATCTCGTGGTTGGTTGGTGCCTTGTGGCTCGGCGGTCATGTCTCCCCGTACGTACGGATACCTTAGGGTAGGGTGGGGGGTTGTGCAACGACAATCGCGTCGACCGCGCTTTCACACTTGTGCAACGCCCAACAACGCCGACATCGTTCGATCACAGACCATGCGCCCCTCACAGCATCATCTTGAGTGATTGCCTGCTATGCGCTGGCTTCTCGACACCGACAGCTTGGTTCGTCGCCGATCGGTACCGCATATTCGACCCCTCGACCGCCCGCCCGCCCCCATGTGCCGCTTCGAGCTTCTAGGTGCCATCATCCTCATTTTCCACGACATTGCCGACGCCATCAGTGCCCGAACGTCTCGCCGTGGGGAAATAGAATGCTGCACGAAATCCTCCTGTCCCTCTCAGGGCACCCTTCCCCGCTCCTCCAGCCCGACGCGACATTCCCACCGGGGGTCGTCACCCCATCTGAGCGGCAGCTGCTGAGCGCCGCAGCACATCTCAGCCAGACGCACGTCAAAATTATCAATGCTACGCGGGACATCAGCCGAGACACGCAAGGCTCCATCATTGTGCGAGCCGTCAGCGCCGCCGTGGAGGATGTCCATCTACGGGCCTTTCGGAGGAAGGTCATTGAGGTGGAGGCCAAGATCCTCAACGACGACCCGAGCTACGTCGGCGCGCACAATATCGTACCTCTCACGGCTGTGGTGGGCGAGTTCTCACAGTGGACGAGGCGGATGGACTGGCTCTTGGAGCTCATGCAGTTTATGGCCAACAGAGAGGGGCGGCAGGCCGCGCAAGTCATCGATCATCTCCGGACAGAGGTGCAGAGCGGCTACAGGGACATTGAAGAGACCGCCATGAGCCTTGTGGCAGTTGCGGAAAAGGCATGGCTGAAGCAGGTCTCTGCGTGGTTGTTGTATGGGAAGTTGCCCAACCCTGGAGGCCACGACTTCTTTGTGCGGATGGCGGACGACGGGGACTTCATTGCGGAGAAGACGATGCTTCCAGAGTTTGTGACGACCAAGACCGTGGCATCGATGCTATTCATTGGAAAGTGCCTGAACCACCCAAAGGTTAAAAAAATGATTGACTCTGGGCTCCGAGGGCTGGGCCAGCTGTCCGCGCAGCTTCGTCAGCTATCGAGTCTAGCGCATCCACTCGATAGGGCGGCGTTCTCGAGGACGATTACTGCCATGCGCATAGACCTCTCCGAGACGACATTGCAGAACATACTTCCATTGAGCAAGGTGGCCGAGATGCTCCAGCTCCTGCGGCAGTTCTTCCTGCTGGGGCGCGGCGAGTTCGCCATGGCCCTGATACAGGAAGCTGACCAGCGGACACTGAATCGATGGCAGAGAGCAGACAACCTGGCGTACGAGAAAGGCGACACGCTCAAGAACATCACCGTCAAAGATGGAGAGGTAGCAGCGGTGCTGGCACGGACCTGGGCGGTGCTAACCTCCATGCAAGGCGCTCACGCCGAAGAAGATGAGGAACAGGAACTGGCACGGGATTTGCTACGCCTCCACATTGGCAAGACAACTGCGCCAGCATCTCGTGAAACGGGCGTATCACCAGGCATGGGGCTCGATGTTGAGGCTCTGCAGGTGATGGAACAGTCGCCCTTTCGGGACTTACTTTTCTCTGCCCCCGTGGATCTGTCAATCCGACTACCTTCGCCGTTGGATATGGTTCTCACATCCGCAGATCTGCGTCTCTATTCCTGCGCCAACGCCTATTTGCTGTCCATGCGCCGAGCTCACATCAGACTCACCGACCTGTGGAAAATCTCGTCCCTGCGGAGACACCATCCCGCCCCCAAAGGAGCTAGCCAGTATGCTGTTGAACTCCGCGAGAGATGGTCCACGCGCATGACGACGATGCGCAGCGTCTGGGTCACGGCTAGCGCTGCCCTGTTCTTCCTCGGGGAGACTGAAGCGTACTTTCAGACGGAAGTGGTGGCCGTCTTGTGGGAAGGGTTTCTGTCCTGGCTACTGCAGGGACAGCAAGCAAGTCAGCCCTCGAGACCGCCCACCGGGGCGACTCAAGAAGGGGGAGAGGGGCAGCCCCGAGACGTCAGCCCAGATGAAGACGAAGACCTCTGGCTCGACTGTAGTTCGCCCCGGCCACGTCCCGATGCGTCCGGACCGAAGCCTACACATGATCCGCAGACGATCTCTACCGCGCATGCGCGCTACCTGTCCACCCTAGCCTTCCGCCTCCTCCTGACGCAGCCATCGTTCACAGTCCCATTACACAGCCTGCTCGTGCACATTGACCACTTGGTCACCCATACCCGCCGCCTGCACTCGATATTCACATCAATCGATCTAGAGACCGACGCTGGGGTGGTCGATGCCTTTGCAGACTTGCCGGCAGAAGAAGCAGAGGTCACCGCTCTCCTTGGTGGCGTGGAAAAGAGAGTGAAGAACGGGATCGGCAATGTGATAGGCGCGCTGCGGGACTTGGAGAGCGATGCGGCTTTCATGGCGCGATGGGAAGGCGAAGACCTCGACGGGGATGAATTGGATGAGGAGGAGAGGTCCTATAGGCCCAGCCGAGTCGGAGGCATCAGCCGGCTGTTGATGAAGCTGGACTTTGGGGGCTGGTTCGGCCGACAAAGGCAGGACTGGGAGTGATCAGTGGCTCGGCGCGGTCATCCTCCATAATGCATGGAGCACGACTACAACTGAATCCACGCGGGGTACGGATGCTGTACCCCAAGGTGTAGTACCCTGACGAGCCAATGGTGAATTGACGCAGGGTTCTTGGAAGGATCTGGTACCTGGTGCGCCTACGCAGCGATGGGGTGGAACGCAAGACACGGGTTGAGAGGTCCAACATACACTATGGGAGAAACCCACGATCGCCGGCCTCGACCCTTCATGGACCATCTCTGGATTTGGGCGTATGCTGCCCGCAAAGGTCGGCGTTCCCACTTGCGGTGCAACGGCGTACGCGTCCGAGTTGCGCTGCTCCCAAATTGAGGGCACAGCAATAGAAAACAACATGGTTACCGCATCTGGTAGACAATTCGCATTTGAGTCGCTGTCCCGGCCTTTGTGTATAAATAACGGGACGGGCCCCTTCCTCGAGTTAGGCTTCGAAGATTGCATCACACCAACAATCAAACGTCACACCTACAAACACCACTACACTCACATCACCAAACATTCACCATGCTGTCCGTCAAAGTCATGTTCGCTGCCCTCATGGGCGTTGTTGCAGCGGCCGGTACCTGTGCGCCGGGCCAGATTCAGTGTGGTGCTGCCTTGATGGCTGAGCAGGGTGGGTTTTCCTGTCTCCTTGGATTGTGTCCTCGGATCGCTAGAATGATGCTAATGATAAATGCACAGGCTACACCAAGGCCGACCTCGTCGCTGCCCTCGCCGGCAAGAACGTCAAGCCCGAGCTCGCCCTCTTTGAGTGCGGCCAGGCCGACGAGCTCGCGTACGAGGGATCGTACTGCTTGGGCAAGTGTGTGGGCGGTGACGACCCCAACACTATCTGCACCTGTACGTCTGCCTCTTCATTCTGTCATTTGAAATCCGATGTTTCGGGTGGCACTCGTGAGAAGAGAGAGCTGACATCTGGACAGCCTAGGCGCTTCCGCGACCGAGACAAGCTGTCCGTAAAAGATGGGCGAGGCGAGGCCTGCACAGGGGGTACACGGGCCCGGAGCCGTGCACAAGGGCAAAGAACACGATGTGCCGATGAGAAGGAGCAGGAGAGTCTAAATTACAATGAGTGAGGATGGCGCAACGACCCGCTTACGCTGACACTTGCGCCCGGGGCGAAGATAATGCGAGGCCATATATATGGCGGCCTATGCAGTCCGCCACTGGAGATGGTTGAAAGTCCGGTTTGTCGTATACAAAATAATGCTCACATGACTCTGTGCTATTTCGCTCATTTCCCGGCCCATGGGTTGGTACCAACGTCGTTCCCCCAAGTCTGTATCGTTTCTTAAAAAGGGGAGGTTAGTGAGTGAAACAAGAACAACAAGAACAGAACTTCTAACAACGGGGAGCACTGATCCTACGAGCGTTGCAAGCATCCCTTTTTCCTGATTGCATATCAAAAGTAGTGACTGCCGACACAGGTGTCCTTTGCATCGGAGACAGCCAAGGGGCTGAGAAACAAAGCAAGGTCAAGGCAGGATGCGATATAGAAAATGTATGCGCGGCCTGTCAAGCCACACTCGTCATACGTTGTGTATATATATCTCGTACGTATATAGCGGCCCGTGGCCAAAGCCATGCTCGAGAAGAAGCATCGGTGGGAAGCCGCCGTGCAACGTCTGGAGCCCCATCATTGTGAGAGTGCCCACTGCCACAGCCTCGATGCTGATATCAGCTCAGAAGTGACGTATACTAGGCAGATCTGCTGTTCCGTCATGCCTGCCGCGTATAAAGCGTTACTTAACTAGCCCAACGTACAAAGAAACGCGGTGTGTGCGGTGTACCAACAACCCCCAGGATAGGGCGGCCCGTCAAGGGGTGATCCCTGTTTCACTACATATAATTCCTTGGCTACCAGAGATTCATTGTCTACTCTCATCGCTGGCAGGTGATACAGCAATACCGGTAGTTCAGCATGATAAGGTGAATGAAGCATGCTGCAACGACGTGATAGAACAGTTGATTGCTAGGTCTACCAACGCTCATTTGCTCGCTTCCAAGATATATTAAATCCCACAATGTTCGATATGCTCCCATATATGCTGTACATGGTCCGCTCCGTCATCCTTTGACGGGCGTTGTCTGTTACTCTGTTCTCTTGATGACAATGCTTTGTAGACGCGAGACGGCAATCAGCATCCCGGTGCACTTCTAGTACAACGATACCGAGCGATGTGTCCGTAGAGGTGTCTTTGCGTGCTGTTCGGACCGCCTCCCCCCAAACACCCCCTTGGCCATGCCGCGATGCGAATGCGCGTCACAGGTCAGGGCTCTGTTCATTTTGTAGGCTGGCCGGACGACGTGCCAGCGGGCTTTGATGGAGTCGTCCACCAGTGCGACGAGTCCAGTTGCGACAATCACGCTACCGTATCGTCAGCATTGGTTCAGGGTGATGGACGTCAAGAAGACTTACTCGGCAACATCGGTCATCGCATCTACAATCTTGGGGTCGCTGATCCACATGAAACAGGGGGGCACCCATCCTCCCGCCCATTCCTCCGCCTCGACCTGGTTCGGGCTCCGCGTCTCGGGCGTGATGTGCGCGACGCCATGGCCCTTGCCGTCGCGGAGGAGGTGGAACGAGGTGATGTCCAGGTTCTCATCGACGACTCGCTTCCATGCGTACTTGTGCCCCCACCACTCAAACCCGTACCGAGTCCCGTGTCGGTCGTGCATGCGGTCCACGTCCACACGGGCATAGTTGCTGAACTCCAGCTTGATCGAATTCGTGGGCACCAGAGACGATGCCGCAGGCGGTGATGGATTGTGACTCAACCACGAGTCGGCGTGCATGCGCATGGAGCGAATCGACGCAGCGTCCCATGACGAAGTCGTCGCGCTGCTCCCCGTCGAGGGACGCCCGGTGGGAGCGTGATTCGAGGTGATGCTTGATCGACGGAAGGGATGCTTCAGTGAGTGGAGGGCGGAAGACATGGATCGCTGGAAGCCAGGTCGGGACGTGGGCGGCGCTTGTGCGTATGCTCGTTTCGAGTTGCACACTTCTCGGCCCGAGTCCCGGCAATATCTTCGCAGGGAGAACTCGCGCCGGGCCAGGTCATGCATGCGCAGGTGGAAGAGCTGCACGGTGATGGGCCGGCGACCGGTGCATGGCACAATGGTGTCGATGCGCAGATTCATGTTCCCGTCCGGCGTCAGATCGTCGTGTCGTATAGACAAGCGATCTAGCGAGGGGAAGAGGCGGCTGAAGGCGTCTGGCGTTGATGGTCGGACCAGAGGGTCGATGATATCGGCTTGATATTGTGGCAGCACCGGTGGGATATCATCGTCTGTTGGCGCCGGGAGTCCATCCTTCTTTGTCACCTCACCCTCGTCGTCGACGTTGGTGCTCTCCAGGGAGTCTGTGTCTGAGAAGACGGAGTTGTAGGTCTCGACAGAGGCGGAGGACAGAGTGGGATAGTCGTCGGCATACGTGCGTGGCCGCGCCATGTCATACTCTGCCGGTGGCCGTGCTTGCCCCTCCACGTGATGGTGAACACGCTTGAGACTGGGACCCGAGCACATGGATGAGGGATGAGAGCCACAGAAGCAATCTGAGCTATGAGCTGATGCTACTGTTGATGCTTCTGTAGTCGAGTATGAGTCGCACGGCGCTATGCTTATACGAGGTCGGTGTATGCTGTTGCTGTTGCTCGTGCTCATGGTGGGTGTGTGGTATGCGCCGGGGGGGGGGGGGGATTATTAGTATGATCAAGATGGGTGGATGCGTTAGGCAGTAACGGGATAGGGCAATGTGATAACGCAACGGATGAGGTAAAATTGATCAGGCAGAGAAGCACATGTGGCAGACATATGGTGACAGCACCGTGGGTGTGTGTCTGGTTTTACATCGCCAGTCACTTGTCGACTTGGGCAGGCAGGCCGGCAGGCAGCTGGCCAATGTGCAGGGTGCACTCACAAAGCCACAGGGGCCGTGTCATGGCTGATGGAGTCAGTCAAAGAAAGGCAGGGGTCCTCTGCCTCCGACTCATGTTCGCCGCGTGACAATGCGCATAGGGGCTTAACGGCTGGCCTATTCTGGAAACCCAAGCAGTCGGCCAAACGGGTCCAGCCGCTCCCCGTCCCGGCCGAGCAGAAGGCAGAAGGCAGAGAGGACATGGACAGCCACCGGATGATTGCCGTACTGTAGTTACTCAGTGGCCTGACTAACTGTCAAGAAATACGTGGGGGACGATGGAAAAGGGGGCTTGTTGGTAAGTTCCTTGTCTACTAGTCAGCCCGCGAGGCCACGCCACGGCTGGTTGTGTGCTGTGCGCAGCGCGACAATGCCTCAGGAGTCTCGTTGGTGCCCATGGGCCGCCCGCTCATCTTGCGCATTGGTTGCGAAGGGAAAAAATAACGAGGATACGTGTCTTGGGCAGGGCCACGCCTAGGGAAAGGCCTCACCCACTGCCACCCCACCCCTTTTTTTGGCTCGACGTAGCATCTGTTCGCGCCGATGGAGGTGGTGCAGCTCTGACGCAAGGTTCACTGTGCTGTAGGAACGCTGTAGGAACCGGCCGCTATGACGATGGTCGGCAGCAGGTAAGGTCCACGGTCCGCGGGGACGACCCTGGATTTCTGTCAAGATATGGTAGGTATAATCGGAGGAAACCGCCGTGCTTTTGGTTCGGAATCAATTTTTTCACGAGAGGATGAGCGATGGTGGTGAGCCAAGGATCGAAACAGCGTGAATGTGACGATGCTGGCGAAGAATCGCCTGACAGCAGCACGCTGGCTCGCTCCTTCCGGCCCTTTCCCCGACACGTGCCTGCATGGGCTGCGGCGGATGCATGAATTATGCAAAGTAGTCCTTGTTCATTATTTATATTCATCATGCACAAATCTTTGTCTTTGTCTCCTGCTTGGACCATCAACCCTGAATAGCTTCAGCTCGTCACGTCGTGTCGCATCACCTCGCATCGCACACACATGCATTCTCGTCAGAACTCTCATGATTGATTTTCAACCCGCTCACTTAGTCCTGTCTTGCCCACGCGTCGATCCGCCTTGCTGACCCGCCACCAACCACCAGAGAATGCCATGCCCACTCATCATGTCATCCCGCGTCCCTCACCTCTGTTCGGCGTGCCGCCAAATCGACCCAATCCCGTCTCGTTGACGCCTGATCACCCAGCCCAACGACTTCACGATGCCTTCATCATCGACACCTAATCGCCAAGGCCATGCCTCCTCTGCTTGATAGGTCTTGCGTGATCGAGGCTTCCACACGAGTGCTGGAAGCTGTGTCCCAGGAACGCCTCCTGCACGCTGCATGCACGCCGATACAAATGGTGTAGCCGGCCATCTGGCAGTCTCTCATTCGCCTCGCGCTGCTGAGCAGTTCTTTCGGAGCAATTGTCCTTTGACGTCTCTGCTTTCTCGTAGGCATGGTGCTGCAATCGTCACACGCGTTGGGCAGCGCCCTTCCGAGTCCCAACTCCCAAGCAACAATGTGAGACCGACGTCCGTGTTGTCTCAAAACGACGTCTTGCCGCAGCTTGTGGTGCCCTCGTGCGCGGTGCCAGGTCGCTAACACTGATTGCATCACTTGATGTTAGGCGAGCAAGCCAAGTTCACGCAGACGGCCTGGCCCGATATTGGCACAATTCGGCAGCAAGAAGGTGTCGTGTCCGTCTCATTTCGGTGTGAGGCACCGAGGCTGCTGGCTCACGCACGGAAATCTCGCCCACAATACCGAGAGTCGCCCCATTTTCGACCTTTGCGACGGGCAAGGGCTTCGGACAGGGTTCGCTTCCCGAGGCGTCGATATTGCAAATTGAATGAAGCCAATGTGGATCTCGTCGCCAAAAGTTCGCGCTGGCCGCCTGGCGCCGCTTATAGCGTGATGAGTTACGGCCCACCCAAAATTATCTGATTCTCGTGGTCGCCGTTATCAGATCCAAGTTTCCCGCGCCATACTCCGTGTGGCCTACAGATCATATCATCATACCCAACCACTGCGCGCAACGATTGGCAGCATTACGACAATGAAGGCAGATATGGATTCTCTCTCCTCCCATGCACAGCTCCCCAACACGCTGCAGTACACGGCCAAGACCAGCAGAGGAGACTATCTCATCCAAGTCGCATGGCCACAACAGTGGTCAGCCGATCGCGTGCCGCACGACGAGCGCCCTGTGAATACACTGTAGGTCCCCTAGAGCTTTCGTTTCCTGCAGACCGCGTTTCCTACAGACCGAAGCCCTGACCATGGAGATATGTCGTGGACGGCAACGCGTACTTCTACACGGCCGTAGACATCACCCGAAGGCTGGAATTCACAAACGCCGCTCGCACCGTCGTTGTGGCCATTGGATACCCTCCTTCTCGGTATGTGTACGACTGGAGGAGGGGTCCTGATCTCACGCCGCCCTGCGAAGAGTACGACATGCCACTAGACAGCCATGGAAACCCAAGGACAGACCTCACGTTTGGTGAAGCAGACAAATACCTAGGTTTCATAGAGCAGGATTGCATCACACACGTCGAAGGCACATTGTTCAGACATGTTCAGTTGGGCCGGAGAGCACTGTACGGCCATTCTTACGGCGGCATTTTCTCTCTGAGTACGCTCTTCACGAGACCGGAAACATTTGAGACGATTATTGCCGCCAGTCCGGTCGTGTGGTGGAACAAGGACCATCTTACCAAAGTCCTCGAGCCTTCATTCACATCGAGGAATGACATGAACAGGCCAGTATCGCTAATTATGGCCTGGGGCTCGATGAAGCAAGACACCATCCAAGAAGACGGCGAGTCAGAGGAGGACTACAAAACAAGGGTGTCTAACGCCGAGGACGACAAGATGAGGGATAGCGTGACCGCACTTGGCCAGAGACTGCGAGACTGCAGAAACGTGAGGAGAGTGGCAATGAAGGAGTTGGACGGCGAGGATCACGGGAGTGCGGCTGTGGCAGGACTACAGTATGGCATTCGGCAGTTTCTGTTTGGCAGAGTTTGATTGCTCTTTTGTCAAAGACACTTTGCCTATGTTGAAGCGATTCTTTCCTAAATCTGTAGCACAATGCTTCGTATGACCCCCATCCTGCTTCACCACAGAGACGGATCTAAAAGACCGTTCCCTTGGTCTGGTGCATCTTCCTCAGATCATAGTTGCGAATCATAAACAGCGTGACGAAAGCCAGCGCCATCACACCTGTACCGACGCCCAACATCCTCGCCTGTCCATACCCATACGCCCGCTGAATCACCTTGCGCACCTCGCTGCCGACAGGATAGCTGAGCTGCGTCGACAGATCGCCAGCAATGTAGTCCAAGTTATCCAAGGCGTCCTCGGGAAGCCAGTCGGCAAGCTTGGCCTGGAACGTGTTCGTCCATATCGCCCCGGAGATGGAGGATCCGACCGCGCCCCCCACGCTGCCGGTGACGCTCAACACGGCCAAGCCCGTGGCCACGTACTGGTGGTCCACGGCAGCGAGCAGGCCAACCTGCATGCACAGGATAAAGGTGGCGCCCGCGATGCTGATGAGCACCTCGCACATGATCAGATATCCAATGGACTGACCAGGCTGGCGAAAGTGGATCATCAAGCCCTGGGAGAAGACGTAGAGCGGGATGCCGACGACAAGCAGCCACTTGAAGCGGCCCGTCTTGGACATGCTCCAGCCGACAAGGAACAGCAGCACGCCCGAGACAATGGTAAAGGTGTTGTCGATCCAGCCCGCCTCGCTGGGCGGCAGGTTGTTGACCACCTGCAGAAAGGACGAGAAGTAGCCCGCCCAGCACGAGTAGGCGATCATGTAGACAAAGTCGAGCAGGCACACGCCGAGCACGGTGCGGTCGACGAGCAGGTCATACCTGAAAAAGGGCACGGGCGCCACGAAGCGCTCCCACAGGCCGAAGAGGACGAGGAGCACGAAGCCGACGACGATCATGGCGATGATGTAGGGCGTGCGCCAGCCCTGGGGGGCCGACTCGGCAATGTTGAAGGGGACGAGGAAGATGATCAGCCCGGCCGCGAACAGGAACGAGCCGGCGACTATGTGGTTGTTAGCGTGGCACTCTTTCTCCCAACCTTTTTTTCCCCCCGGCTCTGGAGCAGAACTCACTGTCAAACTCGATGAACCCCCATTTGAGAGTCTGGAGGATACCTTCGCTCTCTCTATGCGTGGCGACCAGGACACCCCTCTTCTTTGCCTTGTGCAGGTTCCACTTGAGCAGCAGGTACATTGGTGCCGCAACGGCAGGCAGGATGATGGTGAAGGCGCCAAAACCCCATCGCCAGCCGGGTCCGTTGAGGAAGGCCTCGGCAGACTTGGGCCCCGCAAACGCCGTGATCATATAGGGCGATGATGTGAATGCGTAAGCCAGTCCTCGGTTGTGGAGTTTGGTCGAGTCCGCGGTGATCACGTCGATGGAGTAGATCAAGCCCGACCAGCCGACTTGCCACAATACCTGCGTCAGATGGTGTTAGTCATGTGGTCTGTATGTCTGTCTCTGGGGGCTAGAAAAGGGGAGGGGGCAGAAAAGGGGAGGGGGATCTTCGTCAACGTACATTGGCAACGCAATATGTCGCAAGGTTCCCGCTGCCGGCCATCAAGCCCATGCCCGTGGTGGCCAAGGCGGCCATGAGGACGAAACCCTCCGCGCGGCCCCAAACGTCTAGGATCTTCGACAGCGGTATGTAGACGGCGGCCATCATGCAGTTCGTCACCACGCTGATAACGGTGATCATCGAGTGAGCATTCCACTCGGAGACCGCGTAGGGCTGCAGAGTTCCTCCGACGTTGGACTGGAAGCCATTGACAAGGTAGACACACCACATCCTACTGTTGTAAGACATTGTGAAACCTCTGGGCATCGCCTCTCAAGAGGACTCGTCATCAACTTACAAGACGAAAGCAGCAGCAAGGGAGCCTTTGCTCCAAACCAAGGTTGTCGCTTCGACGGCCTGCACACCGCGCTGGGCATCCTCTGCCACATTGTTGCGGGCGACCTGGTCGACGGGGTTTTCTTCATCCTTTGGATCCACGACAGTGCTGACCTGCACTGGATCCTCACCAGCATTGCTGGAAGACTTGCTCCGTCCAAACGTGGACTTGATCCTGTCGAAAGGCGCCATGTCGAGTATCGAGGTTTGTCGGAAGCTCGAAGCTGGAGAAGAACAGTCTCGAGCGGCAGGACAGGCTAGCAGCTACAAGTACTATTCCACCAAAGGACCCGTTGGTGACTCGAGATTTTCTTCTCGCTGAAGAAGAAAAAGGCCTTGCCGGAATTTTCCCGCCGTCTTTCCCGGCCATTCTCGTGTCCCAGTGGACCATCAGATCTAATCAGATTCAGATGGCACTATATCTCGGTCTCGGGGTGGAGCCTCTTCATGCAACGCGCAACCGCAAGGCTTGTTTGTGGATCGATATATCGGCGAGAACGGCATGCTTCTTCCTTGGCGCTCGGTCCAGCGTCGACAGGGCAAGTCTTTTCCAACGTTTCTCGTTCAACCGAGTCTTTGCTTGCGGATGTAGCTCGGAGAGATCAATATCCGCCCCAGCTGGCGGGCGTGATGTTGCAGTCGGAATTGTAGTACCTCAGACTCACCGTCAATGCTTCAGTTACCGTCGAGCCATGTGAATTGGCAGGCCAAGTGGGAAAGCTGCGTCGCTTGGGTCAGCCCCGATAAAACCACTCAATAGTTCTCCTGAGTTCTCTCAATACATTGGCAGAGGCAATTATTATGACCAATTCGGCAGGGGGACGGACCCGTTGCCACCCCCGTACATCGTAGGAAAGACTCCCTGGACAGAATTCCAAGACAGGCTGATTGTGAATGGTAGGGTTCAGCAAACTCTTCCTTGAAAGGCGTCAGCTACTCAGCTCCAGTGTGGCATGAGTCGGGGTGGCAACAGACTTTGCTAGTACAATCATCAATCAGAAGCAGCTTGACAGCACGTGGATTACTTACATGGAATTGAGAAGTCTCTTCTCAAGACCAACTGTTTTTCTAGGGCCGTGGGGCTATATGTACGACTGCGTTTGTGCATATGTGTAACCAGCCAAGGCCCGTTCAGAGTCATGATATGTATAAACGTCTCCCATGCTGAACCTATCGACAAACACCGCATCCAACAACATCACTGCTACTATCATACTTGTATCGATCAAGCCATTCCTCCATTGGAACGTCTGGCAATCTCCCCTCCATGCGCGCCTGAACCCACTAGGCCTGCGTGTTCCAACCGACCCAGCTCCGGGGCATTACTCGCCAGATCTTGACCTCACCGCTCCTGAGGTCGTCGAGCTTGAAACTCTCCATCTTCACCTTCTTGTTCTCACGCCCCTGCTCCCAGGCGCGGACCTTCTTCTTGGTCCCGTCCCACTCGGCCACAATGGCCACGTGGTCGGGCTTGCCCACCTCGACACTGTACTTGGCGTGCATCGGCCCATGCTTGCCTTGGAACTTGGCGTTGCGAATTGACAGTATATCGCCGGGGCGGATCACGTCGTTTTGTTGCGTCGAGGCATTGGCCATGTTAGAGTATACGAGGGCGCCAAATGCACGGCTGCCAATGGGTCGGAGCGCATCCTTGAATGGTCGCAGCAACTCCAGCACAAGCCCAACGGGCGTACCATCTCCAACAACACTGTCCTTCTTGGAGCTGGCGGCGGTGGAAATGGGTAGACCGAACCGCTCATAAAAGTCCTCCATCTCGTCTTGACGCAATGGCCGCGGCGGGGGCTCATGACGTTGATCCAGTTCTACATCCGAGGGATCATAAGGATCATACCGGGCGGTGATGATCGTTTGAGAGTAGTCCTGGAACAGAACCCATGTTTCCCTCGTGACAATCGTCTTGGACCCCTGGTTTGTCGTGGTCGACTCGTCTGACTCAAAGAAAATGTCGCGTCTGCCCTGCAGCACAGGCGGGACCTGGCCGGCCTGCTTCCACCAGCCGCTCTGCACCGCGAGATCAATGTCGTCCGCGATGAATCCCGACTCGCCGGCAGGACGTTGCTGGTCCGTCGACCGACGCGCGGACATGCTTTTCCTTCCGACATCAAGCGACTGACGGCCCCGTCCGCTGGGGGCTGGGGGCGGCGGTGCTCGTCCCGCCGGCGGCGACTGCGCAGGTGGCTGCTGGGCCTGCCGTGGGTCGGTGAAATATGTCTCCTCCTCGATCCGCGGTGTCTTGCTCAGTAGAGTGGGCGTCGGCGCGGAGTAGTTGTAGGATGAGAACTCGTTCGACATAGCTCCCGGCGATGCAGCCTCCATGGAAGGCGGTGGCGGAGGAGCAGCTCGCGGGACATCCACAGAGCGACGTATGCTGGGCGGCGACTGAGGGGGTTGCGTCGGGACAGGCGGTGGCACTGCCCGCGGCGCCGCTGCCGAGGGCACTTGAGGCGGTGCCGGGGGAGGCACATCGACAGGCGACTGCAGCTCTTGGCTGGACTCGCGCGAGTGTGCCTTGAGTGCGTCCTTGTGAGGCACCGAGGAGCCAATATCGGTGTCGTAGTCCCCTTCATACTCTGTAGCTTCACTCTCATTCTCTTCGCCAGCTTGAGGCGGCCTGACTGGCGTCGGCACTGGTGGTACCTGTACGTCAGCCGTCGACTGCCGACTGAGGCCACCTGCGCCAGGAGGCGGTGGAGGTGGTGGTCGGCTACTGGATGGCGGTGGCGCAGGTGCAGAGCCAGGAACCGGAGGTGGCGGCCTGCTGGTACGCTTGTTGCCAGCAACGACGGGAGACATGGGCCGGATTTCTTCCGCCACAGGGGATGTGGGAGGAGAGCGAGCTGGTAATTGAGGAGCCCAAGACGTGTTGGGTGGCATAGGAGGTAGTAATCGAGGTGCCTTAGGAGCTTCGACACCCGCACTGACAGGCTCCTGTTCTTTGGCAGCACCGGACAGTTCGTCGTCTGAGGCCGATCCGTCGGTTGGTGATTCAGGCTCGGTGGCTGGGGGTGGAGGGGGTGGTGGGCGAGCTACATATGTTAGAATTGCATTTCCATCATTTAATCGCTGGCTCACCTTCGGCGGGGACGGGAGGTGGTGCAGGTCGACCTCCAGGTACAGGGGGAACTGCCCTTGGTACTGCTCCAGTCGCTGTGAGGGTTAGTCACCATTCTTACAATGCGTGATAGTAAAGCTCACCACTGACGACTGGGGTGACTGCTGGCGTCTCCTCGTCGTCTTCCTCTTCATATTCCTCTTCTGTCTGCTCCACCGGTTGCTGTCTTGGAGGGATGGAAGGTGGTGGTGGCGGCGCACGCGCAGCAGCAGCTGGCTCATCCTCGACTGGCCGTGGTGTGTCCTCTGACTTCCTTGGACCGCCCATCCCAGGCATGGCCATCATCGTAGGTACTGGCGGGGCAGCTGAGGGAGACATGGGCTCCTCCTCGTCTTCGACGATCGGGGTCGATTCGGTCTTGGGCGTAGTCGCTGGCTTTTTCTTTTTCGGAGCCGGGGCAGCACCAGGCATAGACCCGCCGAACATGCCACCGAATCCCATGCCACCACTCATCTTGGCCATACGTGCACGCAGCTCTTCTCTACGCTTGACTTCGGGATCCACGTCTTCTTCTTCTTCTTCTTCTTCTTCTTCCTCCTCCTCTGCCTTTTCCTCTTCATTAGCTTCCTTTTCGTCATCAGCAGTCTGTCCACGCTGTGCCTCTAGCGATTGCCGTGGAGGTACGCTTGGAGCGGAGGCAGGCGGTACTTGTGGTCTCGTCGGCTGTCCAACCGGCTCTTCGTTGTCTTCCCGCTCCGTAGTCTCATCATGACCCTCAGTGGTGTCGCCAGCACCCGACACATCAGCTTCATTCCCATCGTGTGCTTGAGGCACAGGCGGCCTGGTGGTGGACTTGCGGCGAGTTGGCGGCGGCTCGTACGCTCGAGCCTCATCGGTCGATGTTCCCGAAGCGGTTGACTCTTCGGTTGATGTGCGAGCGGGAGGTGACAAGACGGCTGTTGCGACATCCTCGTCCTCAGCTTCCCCGGCCGCGGTCGGGGGAACTGGTACAGGCTCGGGCTTCTTTGCCGGCTTCTTTGGCTTTTCCTTCTTGGCAGCGGAGTCTGCGTGTCGTTGTGCCTGCTCCCTCTGTTGCTGCTGGAGCAAAGCGATACGCTCCTTGAGCGTGGTGGGTTTAGGCTGGTCCTCGCCGTCTTCGCCCTCTTGCTCTGCCTCGCCGTGAGGCACCAGCCCAGCCTTCTCTGCTTGAACCTTGTTCTCGGCTTCTTTTTCTCGAATCTCGGGATCTTCGTCCCGTCGATAGACCTTGGACACTGGCGCGTGTTGCGGGGGCGGAACGTAAGCGTTGCGGCTAGGAGGAGCAGCAACGAAGGGCTTTTTTATGAAGCTAGCGCCGCCGCCGCTGCTGCCCGCACTGGTGCTTAGTCCGCTAGGCTTGAATGGCGCGACAGGCGGCGCGGTCGATTTGTTAAAGGCTGCTATGCGGTCCTTGAAGGAATTGCTGGGTGGTTTATCGGACACGGGCGGGGACGGGCTCGCAGCCTTCGCCTTAGGAGCTGGAACAGCAACCGGCTCGGTCCTCTTGGGAGTAGGAGCTGTAGACTCTTCAACGGGCTTCGTGGCGGCAGCAAGGTCCGGTACTGGAGCTGGGGGCTCGGGAGCTGCTGGCTGGGCAGGGCTCTGTTGCTCGGCCTCGGCAGACTGCTCCAGCTGAGGCCGTTGCCGATCCTCTTCTCTTGTCGCATCGGGCTCTGGCTGAGATTGCGTCACAGCAGCAGGAGCAGGCGCAGGAGCAGGCGCAGGAGCAGGCGCAGGAGCAGGCGCAGGAGCAGGCGCGGGAGCAGCAGCTGTCGCCTCAGGCTCCTCCTTCTTGGTTCTGGTCCTCGTGGGACGAGGCGGGGCGGCCGGCTCGATCTTTTCTACAAAGTTACGAGGGAAGATGCCTTCGCGCTTGTTGCCGTCGGAATCTGTGTATGCACCGCCGTACCAGTCATCGTCCTCCTCTTCTGTGACGGTGATGACTTGGCCGGCGTCGAAGTTGAGGTCGTCCTCGTGTGGGGAGGTGTAGTCGTAGAGGGCCTTGACGCGGAACAGAGCGGCCATTGTGGGGGAGAGTGTGCCAAGCACACGCCGGGTTGATTGGCAGGCGTCGTGTTTATTCCCTGGAGTCGCTACGTCGAAATAGAGATGGGAAGTGGTGAGGACGACTTTGACGGACTGGGACAAGTCGAACTGACGACGAGCATTCAGATTGGGACTGAACTTGGAGGAGCACAAGCAGGCAGCTCCGCATCAATTGGCGGGTGGGGCAGTGCTCGTCAGCTCAAATGGGCGGGCAGCCTGGCCAGGTTTGGACTGTGGGGAGCTGTCTGTTCCTGCCTCTGTCAAGTTGGTTGGATGCACAGAATAAGACTCCCATGTTACGCTCGATGATTCTAGTAATTCCAGAGACAACCAAGGCCGGTGCGAGAGTTCGAAGGCTGCTTATGCAGCTCGCGATTGACAAAGGCGTGGCGTTCCAGCAGCTTGGCCTACACGTATGTAGTGATGATGATGTAGATCTGGCGCGGCTTGACGACGTCAGCGAATTCCCCAGCCTCACTGCCCCTCTACTGCTACGCTACGTACTACGGAGTATCCACGAGGAACGTCGCAAGCTAGTCTACTTAGTAGCTCTACAAGATACACTGGTTAACGTCAGCCGGACGGCCTGTATACTTCGCTGCCTTCTTCCTGGTCGAACAACTACGTCGGACTCTGGTGTGGCTGCTGCAAGCATCGCAGGCTGAAACCAGACATGTCCGACAGACACCGGTATTCACCCACGAATGCCATCGTGGACTATGCAAATGCGCCAATAGGCCATGATCGATCTAAGAGCGCCACTGTGATAGCAGGCCTGTCGCTGTAGCAGTCTGGGCTCCTTGCTAACGCCAGCGTGTCGGCGTTATCATGGTCCGACTCTACATGCCCGTTTGCATATGCACGTAGGGTAGCCCAGACTCGGGCGTGGCAGGGCGGCGTATTCAATATTAACTGGAAAGGAGTATTTGTCGCCGTGATGTTTCCTAACGATAGTCACTAGCTGTATAGGTATCGAACTCTGGTGCACTTGTTTGATCACACGCTAGACAGTGGAGCTCTTGACGGTCGAGTGACAAATCTGCCATTACCTTGCGTCGGGTGTGACTGGAAGTTTGTCCCTCCTTACGTTCTAGGCCATCAGGCTTCTTCCTGAGGCAGTTCGCGACGAGCCGTAAAACCTGTGCATCAACAGCACACGTCTCCTGCCAACATACCGTGCCCGAGTCACTTGACTGATAGGAAATGGACGACTACATCATCCCCAAATCCATTCGCCAGCCATCGCGCCCTTCCAAAGAAGATGCCCGCGCTCTTGCCGTCCAGCACGCCACAATCTTACAGCATCGCAAAGACCTCGAGGCGCAAATCCTCTCGTCGCTGATCTACCTCTCCACATTCCCTCCAAACACTACGGTCGCAAGTCAACCCAACCCAGCAGACGCGCGCGAGTTCAGGAACCATATTCGTCTATTCCAGCCGTCCGACTACGATGACCTGATAGCAGAGAGGAACGTCAACGACCTATGTGGCTATGCCTTGTGCCCCCGCGAGAACCGCAAAACCGGCCGAGGGGGGGAGTGGACACTTGCGCCTGATGCGGGCGGTATTGTGAGGAGAAAGGAGGTCGAGATGTGGTGCACGCAAAAATGCAAGCGACGAGCGCTCTACGTCAAAGTCCAGTTATCCGAGACAGCGGCCTGGGAGCGAGCTGGCATCCCAGACATTGAAATTTGTCTGTACGAGGAGCCAAGTACGTCGGCTCCAGAAACGGAAGAAGACGCTACAGCTCGGAAGATGAGCGAGATGAAGCTTGAGGACGGAAGGCAAACCATGCGGGACAGTGCCAGGCTTGCTCTTGAGCGCGGTGAGGTAGGCAGTCTTCAGCCCGGCGCGAAGACCGCGGTGGGTGTAATGTTACAGGAGCACGTTGTAGAGTCAGCGCCCCCGACGGGGGTCTTTGAGGATGACGATGGCGACCACATGATGGTGGAGGGCTACAGAAGTAAGATCGAGGACAATCCGAATCTGATGAAATGAGCTACGAGAACTGCGGAAGAGCAGTTTTACGAGGAGAGGAATACGTCGTGACCAACAGTACCAACCGCACAGCCGAATGCGTACGGCACCTGTCGAACGGCTTGGTACCACCAGCATGCAGTCATGGGAACGGCATCACTCCTAGTTCAACATCACCACAGCAGCGCGGCGAGGGAGAGATTTGGCAATCAAGTATCATCCTAGACGCTGGGTCCAGGAATCAACGACACCTTGAAGGGGTATAAAGACCTGTCTTTGAGATCTTCCTAGTATGCACTCACTGTCGCCAATCCGAGATTCCCCCCGGGGGACCGTATGTTGCCGTGAGAAAAGCAGAGCCCGTAAAAAGTCGTAACATGCATGAATTCGCCCCGTAGACGCCCCATACCCCTATTTTTGTTGTTCCATCGTCCGTGCGAGAGTCGCTTAGCGGCGGTCGTTGAAGCGGCGAGGGCCACGCTCGGGCTGCTGCTGCTGGGAGACGGCCTGGGCGTTGATGGGGATGTTGTCGAACTGTGTCTGTTAGAAGAAAGACTCGAGAAATATCTGCCAAAATACATACGCCAAGGTGCTTGAGCAGGTCGCGGGTCTCAAAGTCGACCTCGAGACGGCCCTCGTCGCTGAGCTGGGCGAAGTCGAGCGCCGAGATCTCGGGCACGTACTGATCCTTGCGCTCACGCTCCTCCTCCTGAAGCTTGAAGGAAATACCGCGGACAGGACCACGCTGGATACGGCGCATCAAGTGGGTGGTGTAGCCGGCAATCTTGTTGCGGAGGCGCTTGGAGGCAATGATGGCAATCTCATCGCAGATGCGCTTGTTGGTCTCGAAGTCGAGGGTGAGCTTGGGGTAGTAACGCTCAATGATGACCTTGGCGGACTTCTTGACGGTCTTGGTGCGAACGCGACCCATGTTGGCGGTATTGGCTCGGGGGCTGTGAGGGTGGTTGTGGTGGTTAGTCGTGCGTTGTAAGGAGGCTTTACGAGATGGACAAGCGCAGCCCAAATTTTGGTGCTCGCAGCGTGCAGTGGGGCCCAATCGCAATTCGAGTTAGGGCTGTGGGAGGATGATTGCACGTGACCTCAACAGCCATCCGTCTCGGTCATTGAACGGCCCCACTCACGGTTGGGTTAGTAATCAGCACGGAGTATAGAGGATGCCTTTGATGAATGTTCCGACGCTTCTACAATTGATACTATACATGTACATAGAAACACATTATACATCTAGCTCAGGCCGTACGTCTCCGAGCTGCCTAGGATGTCTGTCTCGGGGCGTTTGGCCTCCTCGAGCTGTGCAGCACGCTCCCTCTCCTTCTCCTCGGCAGCAGCCGCCTTGGTGCGCCTGATCTCCTTGTTGTTGTATATCGACCTGAAACCCTTCTTCTCATCCGCAATGAGCTTGGCATCCTCCTTGGCCACGTTTGTTGAGATAACGACAGATCCGCGTGAGTTGACGATGGCCTTGGATGGTTCGACGTACGCCTTGGCACCACCGTAAGTGTCCAGGTCCAGTTGCTGAATACCCTTGATCGTGTGGTGGGCGCTTCCGTACCGCCCGCCCAGCATACGCTTTGTAAACTCGTTTGACCCAGCGGGTATCTCTGCAATGAAACCGCCCACACCAATATTGGCTTGCGCGTTCTTGTGCCTGGGGCGGACAATGCGGGTCAGAGTGGGGGTCTTCTGCTCCTGGGGTCCGTAGACAGGATGGTTTTCCATAAAGGCCGTTGTCCGAAGATAGCCAATACCAGCAGAAGGGTGGCTCGGAGGAGGTCCATTCATCCCATAGGGGCTGAACTCGGAGTTGGCCTTGGCGTAGATGGCATCGGCAACGCCAACCTGCGTGACAGGTGGCAGATCGAGGAAATCGGACACGTAGCCGTACAACTCGGCTCTCGAGTCACGCAGCGTCCTGACAAAGTGGTCAAACTCGGCGTCCGTGACGTCCTTGACCGTGGTCGTGGTCACAGTTGTTGAGCCGTCCTCCCTGGCTTTATGGCGCGCCTCGTTCGTCATCTTCTGGGCGAGCACTTCCCTCAAGTACGTGCGGAACTCCGATCTCCGAGGCTGGACTTGCTTCCGCATAAACTTCTTGAACTCTCCTTCACTAAGCATGGCCAGCCAAGGGCCGTTGAACTTCCACCTCTTCGCCACAGCTTCCTTACTGCGATCGTTGGTGAGAATGTCGACGTCCTCCTCAAAGACCGACCTCAAAGGATCGTGCTCCACCGAAGCGAATGCGCCAATGTTCCTCGATTGGGGCACCGGTACCGTCATTGCGACCCTCATCTCGCCAAACTTCTCGAGACTCATGACGTGGTCTGCTGCCGAGCCATAGTCCGTGATCTTCTCAATCGAGTCGAACTGCCTAATCTTCACGAGCGGCGTCGTCGTAGCCATGGTCTGCTTGAGAGGGAGAGGGCGCTTGAGTCCCCAGTCGCCCTTCTCACGGGAGGACAGTGGTGAGGTGATAGCCTGGTATTGTGGCACATTGCGAGTCGCGGTCTCGGAGGCGAGGACGTTCGTCATGAGTTCGGGCTGGGCCTTGGGCATGGCAAACAGGCGCGATGAGCGCAGCAGCGCCGCACCGGGCGACACTGAGCTGGCCATCGTCAATTGTTGTTGATCGTGCTTGATGCTGTGACTTGATGACCTCCCGAGACGCGAAGGGGAAATTTCGAGATTTGGCGATGGACCGGGGTTGAGCCGGACACCTTCGAGGCCGAGTGCGACTTTGCCCTTTTGGGAAGTCTTGCAGCTCCATCGACCTACCCGGTGCTGCATCGATCCCATTTGAGATCAAATCACAGGCAACCGCGGAAAGATCGAAAGCATTCTCTGGACATGTGCTTCTGGCTGTTGGACGCTCCCTAATTGCAAAAATTTCAGCTATAGACCACGTTTGATGGTGATGGCCTCCAACGCTTATGAGTCACCTGCGCTCACGTTCGAGCTGGTAGCAAAATGCGAAGTGAGAGAGAATGCACTTTCTTTTGAAGCTTCTCAGTCGGACACTAACAGATCAACTGACAGACAACCAGAGCGCGAGCGTCGAACCTTACGTTACCGCATGGCCCAGTCCAGCTACCTCTATTCATGCCAGTGGCCACCCAAGCCTCTCTCAAGGGCCTCACGTATGAGCAGCTCGAACAGACGTCCTGCAGACTATGTCTGAACAACACCTACCATCTTGGTCTCAAGCCTGGTCAGGAGACCCTGGACGCTGTTGGAGGTGCCCATAAACTACAGGGATGGGATCACAATATCCTGACCGATAGTGGGGGGTAAGACACATCTTGCCATGGCGGAGGATCTAGACTGACGGTTTGCCAGCTTTCAGATGGTGTCACTGCTCGAGCTCGCCACGATCACAGAAGAAGGCGTCCGCTTCCTGAGTCCACATGATGGCTCGCCTATGCTTCTTACGCCCGAACACTCAATGAGTCTTCAGAATTCGATAGGCAGCGATATCATGATGCAGCTTGACGATGTTCTCGTCACGACATCTCCAGACGCGGCACGTATGCGCCTCGCCATGGAACGCTCAGTGCGATGGCTAGACCGATGCATAGCAGCACACAAAAAACCGGAGACGCAGAACCTTTTCTGCATCATTCAGGGAGGATTGGACCTGGAGATGAGGAAGGAGTGCTGCGAGGAGATGGTGAAGCGGGATACGCCTGGGATCGCCATTGGTGGGTTGAGTGGAGGCGAGGCGAAGGACGACTTTTGCCGCGTCGTCGAGACCTGTACAGCACTTCTTCCTGACCTGAAGCCGCGCTATGTCATGGGTATTGGGTTTCCGGAGGATCTTGTTGTGAGTGTAGCCCTCGGTGCAGACATGTTTGACTGCGTGTGGCCTACGCGTACAGCACGCTTTGGCGCCGCCGTCACTCGCCACGGCGTATTGAACATGCGCAATGCCCGATTCGCGCACGACTTTGGTCCTGTCGAGACAGGATGCGGGTGCAATTGCTGTCTGAGTGTGGACAAGGGGGGCATGGCCGTGACGAGGGCCTTTGTGCACCACAACTCGGCCAAAGAGACGGTTGGGGCGCATCTGTTGACGATTCACAACGTGTATTACCAGCTGAACCTCATGCGGCAGATAAGGGAGTCAATCATTGCGCAAAGATTTCCCGACTTCATCAGGGAATTCTTTGGAAACCTGTACGAGGATACAGAAGACTATCCAACCTGGGCAGTCGATGCCCTTCGCCGGGTCAACGTCGACCTGATCAAATAAATGGATTCTGAAGACGGTTTCTCATTGGTCTCGTGCAAGTTACAAACTATCGTTGCTTCATAATCAGATAACCATCCCGAGCGCGAGCGCAGCCACCGCTGCAGCGCCGTACCCTACTCTAACCGACACAGCTGCATCACGGTTATCAGGAGGCTCTTCCACATCCTCATCGCCCGTGTCAATTGGCTCATTGTCCTCTTCCGAATCCTCATCGCCCGTGCTAGTTAGCTCATTGTCCTCGTCGTCGTCGGTGACAGTAGGCATTTCAGTCTCCTGAGACTCGCACACGTCATCATAGTCGTCGCAGAAGGTGGCGAAGCGTGTTGCGACTAAGAAGACGGGTCAATAATAGGATGCTGGGGAAGGGACGTGCGGTTGAGAACTGACCAGGATAGACGGTGTAAGGTTCGCCTGTGCTTGCCCAATCGGCACATACAGAGGCGGACGAGTCGATCTCGTCGGTCCATTGTCCGGAGCTACCGCAGCTATTAAAACAGTCAATATCTTCTCGCAGCGTGACTGGGCTGTGTGCGAAGACTCACCAATAACAGGATGCCTGCGCGGCAAACGGCATGGTAGAGAAGCCGGCTGTTTCCGCTTCACACGCATCAAACATGGAGATCATGTCCCAACATTCAGCCGGCTCGGTGGTGGTCGGCATGTAATCCTCAGAGGCGATAGTTGTCACGTCAATACTAACAGTGGCGGTGACGGGCCCTTCGTCGGAGTCGGGCATTGTTGTCATAGAGGCGTCGTCTTCCTCGGTGGTGGTTGCTGTTGTACCGGAAGCAGCACATGAACCTTCGGCGTTGCAGACGGTGTAGAAGACTCCGTATGCTAAAGGCGCTCAGTAAGTGACACTCGTCTAGATTCCCATCTGCCGAGGGACTCACGCTCGTAGTCTGTGGCTGCGTAGCCTGGCGCGTCAGTCAAGTAATCGTAGCAGCTCGAGTAACCGTCCGCCAGGAGTGTCCCGGAATCGCAACAGACGCAAGCAATCAGGTCTTCCTCCGGGACATTGAAGATATTGGTCAGGCCACCCAAGCTATCGGCACACTCAAGAACATGATCAGCCACGGTATTGCAGGCGTCCATGTCAGCCGCCAAGTGGACGACATTGTTCAGAAGAGGTGCAAATGTGACGGCTGGGGCCGGAGGGCCAGTCATGGCAGCAAAAGCAGAGTCCATCTTTCCAAAGTCCAAGATAATGCTTCTTAACGTGAGGTCGAAGGCCAATGACAGCTAGCAGGCTAGCAGTGGGCAACCCTTGACCCTTAATATACTGTGTGCGCAACATAGCACGTGGCGGTCAGCAACATCTCGGTCATGCGGGTTCAAGTGCTGCCCGACTGCCTCGCGCCTAGCATCAACAGATGCATCGTTTTGGTTGGACAGGAAGTTCAGCTAAGATCCTGGATGCTTGATGGGTGTTGTGCGGCTGAAGCGGAAATGCGGGAGAATGACCAGGCTACTATTGACGTTTCCGCGCGCGGAATGATTTAAACGGGCTAAGGATGTCGAACTTCAGTGCAAACTGGAACGTGGTCAAGCAATGATTGGTCAGATAGGCGATCTTGGGCGGGCTCGACAGCATTGGGAGCGACTGCTGAACGCAAGGGATCGTCACTCGCGCATAGAGGCTAGTGAATGGCAAGGCTGACAAAATCTGAAAATGCCCGAGGCGGAATTCATTCTGCCCAAAAGAACGAACGCCGAACGGTGGGAAGCATGGCGTGACTAATAGCAGTGTGTGGCTCGGATGAGTTCAATTGTAGCGGGGGTGGCAGTGACACGTATTGCCAACTCGAGAGAAGAGGTTGATGTCTCCGGATTCACATTGTTCCGTCCCGGGCAACTTTTTGAGATCGCGTTACGAGCAGCGACTTCCAGCACAGAGCTGGTCGACATCACGAGATCCGCCGGTTCAGGCGCAACCACCACCATGTAGGTCCAATTGGCTTTTGGAGGATGCCATCACTCTGACGAATGCATCAGGTCGGCCCCTCGAATTAGCAGCATGCTGCTCTCGCGCGCACCGGCGTCTCGCGCCTTCGCATCAACGCTCACCATGCGGCCTCTGACAACATCAAGTCGACTCCTTGCCAAGGATCGCCCTGTCCGTCACAATCCTCTGGTCGGAAACTACACTCCTCCCAAACCGCAGACCGCAACGCCGACGGAGGAGCCACCCGTCAGCACCGAGGACCCCAAATCATCGGAACCGCCCGCGTCCAGCGCAGAAGTCCCCCCCAACGCCGACATGCCACCGCCCCCTCCGCCTCCACCGTCCGCTGAAGCTGCGACGAATGCGAAGCTCGGAGATTCGAAGAAGCCAGCGGCTTCCTCGCCTTTTGCTTACGACGCCACCCGTCACGTCGACATTCACAAAATCGTCTCGGAGAAGATGGAGCCCCTGGTGGCTACCACCTCCGCAGACCCCCTGAAGCAGCCGCGCATGCGTACCGCTCCTGTTGCCGGACGTACCGTCTTTGTCGACCAGTCGGTGGGACTACCGGCTGCTCTCAAGGCTCTGCAACGCCTCGTGTCCCAGAGCAAGATCAAGCGGCTCGCTACTCTGCAGAGGTTTCACGAGCGACCAGGCATGAAGAGGAAGAGGTTGAGGATGGCCAGGTGGAGGAGAAGGTTCAAGGATGGTTTCCAAGCGACGGCGCGACGGGTGCGCGAGATGAAGAAGCAAGGCTGGTGAAAAAAGGGTGCGCGAGCGCGTACACGTGTAATACTGTACATTAAAGGAGGGGCCTGTTAGATTACCGTGTTATGAATCAAAGAGATTATGCAAGGTCAATTTTTTACGTCAGGTACATCCGTGGAAGGCTTCAATAATCGCCCCAGTCTTCTCTCGTCGGACTTGGCAGCGGGCTCGCCTGGATCTTGGGTCGCGAGCGAAAGACTGCCTCCATGTCCTCCTCTGCGATCATTTCTTCCCTCAGGGTGTCCTGCTCCTCCAGCTTGGGGAAATAGCTTCCTTCGCGCATAGGGGGAACTCTAGACTTTCTCTGCGATCTTCGTCGCTCTACTTGGGCCTTTTGCCGAGCGTTCTCGAAGCCAGCCATGCTGCGGCGAGTGCGAGCAGCCAGATCCTCCAGAATATCGTTCTCGAGAGCTTCCGTCGTTTCACCTGACGTAACGGGAGTAGGCTTGTTGGTTTCTGAGCTCCCCTCCCCTTCTTCTCCTTCTTCTTCAAGGAAGATGGATGATCCACGAGGAGCCATAGAGAGACGGGTCCTATCGGCCAACGACAGCGTATGTCTAGGCTTGGACTTGTTCTTGGGGAAAGGCGATGCGTCGTTCATGGACTCGAGGATTCTGTCCGCAGCAGCCTGTGTTGGAGACGGTGCGGCTTGCTGAATGGGCGTCTTTTGCCGCCGAATCGGGGACAAACTTGTGTCTGGCCTGAGCCTGGGTTGGAAGTCAAGGCGCACGGTATCGTCGTCTTCACCGTCACCGCCCTCATCGTCATCATCATCTGTGTAATTTTGACGTCGCCTCAACTTTGAAGGAGTGCTCGGTCCCCCGCTTGAAGAGCTGGCTCGTGAAAGGCCGGGACGTATAGGTTGCTCGTGGTCTATTGCCGGGACAGGATGAACGGGATCTTCTTCCGGTGATCGATCCAGGGTGTCGTCTTCAAGCTCACTCAACTCCGAGATCTCGCTAATTGACTCTTGGGTGCCCATGGAGGTTCTCTTCCCTTTCCCCTTTACTTGAAGAAAGGGCAACGGACTAGGCTTGTGCCCTGCGTCGGCGAGCTCGTCCTTCAGTCCTTGCAGCATCTCCTGATAGTCACTGGTGAGCCGCATGCCTTGACTTAGAGTCTTGCTGGTCCCCGTCGCTCTACCCAGCCTCAGCTCTTCGTGCGCACCTAGCCCAAGATCGATGCCCCTGTCTTGTGACCTAGCCTTGCCTTCCGAGGGCGACGCCGCTTGCGCAGGCCTTTCGCCGTACATGCTCGCGCGAAAGCGCTGCCATTTGTCGAGTCGCTCCCTGTGCATCGTCACCCGCCCGTGGAGCTGCTCGAGCAGCCCAGCATCTTTCGCCTCGACCTCGCCCAGCCTATCCTGCTCGACCCGCCTCCACACTCGGTCGAGCGGCATACCGAGAGGCCCGTCCTTCTTCTCTGCTGCGTCTCCTTGGACAAGGACATGCATCCACTTCTCGTTGCCTGTCCAGTTGGTTCTCACCAGTCTAGCCATCGCAGCTCTCGCCTCCTCAGATATCGTTTTGCCGGGTCCGCCCTGTTCCCGACGCAGAGCTTCCTCCTCTCTCTGGGCGAGACCTCTTTCTTTGACGCCCAGCAATCCTTCAAAGTCGCGGTATCTCCTGGTCATATCTCGTCTTCTATCCTTGATCCTACCCAGAGAATGCTTGTGCGCCAGAATCAGGCTGGACAGCTCATTCTTGTCGTCATTGTAACCCTTGTTTTCCAGCGTCAAAGTAAGCGACAGCGCTGGGTGGCCTTGTAGCTGGTCCACCGCGACTTTCCTCAAGACTGCCGCGGAGAATGCGGCCAGGACATCTTCCAACCGTTCTCCTTTGCACTCGTCCAGCATGGTCTTTCGGAGAAGGGCATCGCGGCCCAGAACGCCGTTTTTTTTGGCGTTCTCGAGGGAGCGGAGCAAGGCAGCGCGTAGGTTGATAGACTGTACTTGGTCGAGCGGCGGGAAATAGGGCTTCAGTTTCTGCACAAGTGTTAGTCGGGAGCACCAGCGAGAAGAGTAGTAGGTAGTCTTGCATTTGCCGTCTCCTCTGGGTCCCAGAGGGCAAACAGCTGGAACAGCGCCCATTCCACGCTCTGCACCCGCTTCTTCTGCCCCTGAGACGTAGTCGTGCCTGCGGCAAAGGTTCGCGTCGATATATCCGGCCAGTCACGCCTCCGGTCAAGGTCCAAGAGTCGCAGATTTGTCAGAAATAAAGACAAAGGCGAGGCTGTCGGCACCGCGCTATGCGTATTTGCTGATGGCGGTTGCTGAGGCGGTCTGGGGCCAGCTGACGGTTGCCCAGCTCGAGGTTTGCTGGACGCCTGCAGGCGTTGGTGAACAGTCGTCATGGCCGTCGCATTGTATGCGTGTTGATTGCTTCAGATTCGCGCTCAAGACTGGAGGGATTGGGCGCATGCGTCGGTGTGCAATGTTTATTTCATGTCGCACAACAGAGGATGGAGCTAATACGGGCGACATGATGCATTAGTGCAATGCCGATTGTGAATCCCGGCTGTCAAAGCCCCCCCTGTTGTTGAATTTCTCCTGACAACACCAGTCACCAGCATGGGTTGCATGAAATCATCATTTTCTGCTCTAGGTTTATTCAAAATTCACTGGATAAATCATGTGGGAGCGAAACCTGTCGATTTTGAGCCTTTGGACTTTGTCATTCACTGTCCTTGACATGGTGTTGAACGCGGATCTCCTTGCGCCAACGTCATGTAGAAGCCCTCGTACTCCTAAAGTCGACAGTATAAGATTGGAGAGGTCTCCAGCACGTTTTGATGAAGCTCGGCCCTTCTCAATCCCTCTTCATGACGGATTGATCCCCTTTCTTCCAGCAAAACTTGATTGTCCACTTTTGAATTTTCCACGAGTTGCCGCCAGCATCCTTAACGAGATCCATGAAATACATGACGCCTGTCGTGTACTTGGGCGCGGCGGGATCGATCCCCTCCCCAGGTCTGCAGTGCTGATTCGTTGCATAGGCCGTGAGACTGGCTTTGGTCGGATCGTCTGTAAGATGAACGCGAACGTTGCTGATGGAGTGCAGTGTGTCCATCGGCCCTATCAGCCCAAAGAGATTGGCCCTGGCCTCCTCTGTGCCATGCATTATCTTTCCTCCGAGGTCGAACTCGATTTCTGGCGTCAAGACTGAGTTGAATATTTCCCAGTCATTGGTGTCGGCTCCATAGATGGCTTGGTACAAGACATCTGTGACAGCCTCACGAGGACTCAGTGCTGTGAGATGAACGGGGGCAGACATGTTGGGAAATGCCAACGGGGGTTGTTTGACCTCTGAGTACGAACATAATTCGTAAGCAACGCGCCATGTTTTATACACCTGGCGATCTCCGAGATCTCGGCCGGGAGGATCAGCCCTTGGGTGGCTAAGTCCAGCCTTTAAGTCCGCTCAATGTCCGGAGAAATATGAACGCAGGAACCTCCGCGAAGATATTCCAGTGCAAATCGGCTGAGATGTTCGTGTTTTTGTGGAGGCTCGCTTGTGCTCGTACTCGTTGTGGTTGGGCGTGGATCCGTCGACATTGTCTCAGTAGCTTCCTTGCCAACACCTCGTGCGCCACCCACACTCAGTAGAGCGTGTAGCCTCGTCTGGCTGACTGTTAAGCTGGACTCTGGATATTGATCTCCCTCACCAAAATTCGTCAAAGAAACCCTGACATTTGACTTCTCCAACACAGCCTTGGGCAGGCCCTGAGGAAGGACGTACTCAACCCGCTGGACATGTCTCTGGAGAACAAGCCAAGAAGCCAGAAGAGCGCCCTTCAAGCCCCATCGCACTCCTGTTCTTTCAAAGAGTAAGCCGTCAGACGCACTCAAGGTGGTAGCTTTCTGTGTCCACTCGTGCAGAGGGCGGCACCAGGTTGTGCTGGAGGTTGCCGCAAGATCTTCGATAAAAACGTTTCGCTTCATGACAACACCAGCCTCTGCCAGCATGTATGAAACGACGGATGAGTGAGTTTTCTCTGAGAGGTTCAATGCGGTAGTGAGAGCTCGGCAATTGGCACTCGGTCTCGGAGAGGGCGATAACATCGCTCAGGCGCACAGTGATGGTTCCCTTGCCGACAGCGAGATGAAGGCCATAAGGCATGTCAAACACGAGCGCATTCTGCGGATGATGCAATTGCATAATGTAAAGGAGGATATCGAGGCTCTTTGCGTCTATCATCATATTGAAGAGGCCAGGTCTGGTTATCTGGTTACTACTTGGAGAACCGCAAGCTTCCATCCGACTTCATGGCTTCATCCTCGTCGTTCTCGTCGCGTGAGCAAGGATGACGATTATGCACTTTGTGAACAGACTCAGCCTGGCCGCAACCTAGGCGGGCAGTAGGGAGCCATCTTATGCTGTTGGTTCGGACGCACATAGTGATGCCAAGGCATCACTGCCCAAGTTGGTCGAAGCTTGCTTTGGTCGTCTTGCATGTTGGAGCGTCACCAGAGCCTATCCCAAGTTCATGGGCATCTCCTATCCTTTATCGAATCCATTCGTCAGGATTGCAAGCCAGGATGCACCGTGAACGATGATGTGCCGTCGAATCGTGACATCAAATGCTGCAGGTTATGACGGACGGCAGGCGTTCGGAGTTAGTCTGGCGGAACCCCGCTCACGGCTTATGTCATCCTTGAACTGAAGTACATCCGAATTCGTCACAGCTGCCCGCGAAAAGTCGTGAACCCCGTCTGTCTGTCTTGGAAATCTCACCAAGCAAGCCAGCACGCACGATACACGAATGTCGCGCGCTACTCAACCCAACCCACCAACGCCGTCGCACACCCGTCTAGAGTAGGACACTATTCTTCAATTGAGGCAGACACGGATTTCAAGGGTCTTGCTCCTTTCCCGCGACGTCAGAGCCGCGCAGCATTCCTCTTGCAGCCCGGAATCCCGGTTCGCCCATCGACAGCTCACGGGGTTGGGCCACCCTCAACGTCAAACTCCTGCCGGCTCACTCACGCCCGCACGCGCATGGCACCTCCGGACTTGACGCCCAGGCCGGGCACATCCTCGAGCAACCCGGCCGACGGGTCGCCTGCGGGCTACGGGCGCTCGTGTACCAACTGCTCGCGCGCCAAATGCAAGTGCATTTTCAAGTCGAGCGTCGGGAGCTGTGAGCGATGCCACCGCCTGGGCAAGGACTGCCAGCCCATCGCGGCGTCGAGGAAGCGCGTGGAGAAGAGACAGACCCCCTCGAGGACGGCCCAGCTCGAGGAGAAGCTCGATGATCTCGTGTCCATTTTGCGGTCCTCGCAGGGGGGCTCCATGGCTGGTATCGCGGGTGGCAGGCAGCCCTTTCCTCCCATGTCTGCCGAGTCCAGCTACCCTCCGCCGCCTACGAGCCGCCTGGACTCGTTGGCCACTGCTGCTACGGCGACAGATCCTCAGGGCTCGAACAATGCGGCCGCCGCTGCTGCGTACCCAGCCATCACAAAGGCCAACAACAGCAATCTCAATGCAAACTACAATGAGAGCGACGACAACTCGGAACCAACGCCCGCAGAAGCAGAGCTCTACCTGCAAAAATTTCGAGCGTGGCAGCAGAATCTGCCTTTCATGGTCCTTCCGCCCACCATGGACGCAGCCCAGCTGCGACAGGAGAGTCCGTTCTTGTGGCTGTGCATTATGAACATCACCAGCATGTCACTACCGCAGATGCAGGCTTTGAAGGAGCGCGTACGCAGAGAACTGGCGGAAACCATGGTCATACGGCACGAGCCTTCGATGGACATTATCCAAGGACTCATTGCCTATCTGAGCTGGTCATTCATGAACTCCGGCCCCGGCTGGAAGCCATTCTTGATTCTGTTCTCGCAGCTGGCCATGAGCGCTTGCTACGAGTTGGGCCTGACCAGGTCTTCTGCTGAAGAGGAGCATTTTGCGAGATGCTTCAAGGCTTGGGTCCCCAGGCCGCCGCAGGTCAAGCTGCGAACCTCGGAAGAGAGACGAGCCATAGTGTCTCTCTGGTATCTGATATCAATGTACGTCGGGTACAGGTGAACCATGCGATGCGCACCACCACTGACAATTTTGCAGCATATCCACGTTCATCGGCAAGACAGACTCACTACGCTGGACAAATCATATGGAGGAATGCCTCGAGGCACTAGACCAGGGAAAGGAGCATATCCAGGATGCCATCCTGGTCAGCCTCGTCCGAATCCAGCTCATTGCTGATGAGACGCACAAACTCGTGATTCAAGACGTTCTCAAGGGCGAGACTTTTGACTACACGCCAAGTTACGTGTATCGAAAGACGTTGCTCAGCCGCTTGCGAATTTTACGCGAGAGCCTGGGCCATGTGGCCAACTCGAGCTGTAAGTGTGATTGGCAGCAACAGACGGAGAACCGTACTGACAGGACCATCAGATGTTGTACAGGCCCACCTGTATGCGACAGAAGTCATGATCAACTGCTTGGGGTTCTTCAAACCTTCCGTGCCAGAGGCACAACGGCTCGACTCAATGTACTCTTGCCTGCGCGCCGTGCGTGCGTGGTACGATGTCTGGTTCTCGATTCCCATGACGGACATTCCAGGCCTCCCATTCGCGCTGCTGGTGCAGCTCTCGCATGTGCAAGTTGCCTTGTACAGGTTGTCCACGTCCGACGATCCTGCGTGGGACAAGGAGGTCCTTCGAAACACGGCCGATCTCTTGCTGGTCTTGGATAAGATCATTGAGCGATTCGAGGCCATGCAGACTGTGTATCCCATGAAAACGGGCAAAGACGATGCCGACTCCACACTGTGGTGTCGAGCGACCAAGATCATCAAGAATATCAAGGCCAGCTGGGAGCCAGCGTTGACGCAGCACTACAGCAGCAATAACAGCAACAGCAACAACAGCAACCCTGGGTATCCGACACCGAATAGCCAGGGCCATGGTGTACCCGTCAATGGCGGAGGGATACCGATCGGTATGGGCCACACGATGGATCCAAATCTCCCCGACACGACGGCAGGCATGGGGTTTGTTGATATGCCGTGGATGATGGACATGTTTGGACCTTGGGAGTTCAATTAGGCTATGCTAGCTAGGTTTGCCTTGGCTCGCTGTACAAGTATACCCTGCGCTCGTCGCGCTTTGCCCTACAGTGTCTTGTCATACGTGGTTGCATGTATAGGTGACAATGATTTGTGTCACCGCGCCACGTGGTTCCTGATTTCATAGTCGCCCAGGGATAGATAGACTAGGCACGTCGCATCTTTCTAGAGTGATCCATGTGAGCGCGTTGATCACTGACGTGATGAGCATGTATGTAGGAATGAGTCCATCAATCAAGGGCTGGAGGCCGCGGTGGAGCACGCACCATCAGGGTGCCCAGAGCGCAATTGGACTTCACCTCTACGTCTAAACGCGTGTATCCCCCATTGCTCTTCCCTCTTGCATGATGCTGAATCGACCGCGTAACCGACAACCTCGACGAGGCGATCCCCAGACGGGCAGTCCGCGTCCTAGCAATCGCGGCGGCGGCGGCGGTGGTTGCGGCGCAAGAGGTGGCAGAAGCTCCCGACACAGCGCACCACGACTTAACGGCAACGTCCCTGGCACCCACCAAGTCATACCGGGAGCAAGCGTCTGGATTGTCCTCAAAGAGGACCAGCCCACGGGCGACCAGACACACGGCATCATCGCGCAAGTTCTGACGCGGGGCAACCATCCTAGAGGGATCAAGGTCAAGCTTCGCGATGGCCAGGTCGGACGGGTGCAGAGAATGGGCGCACCCGTCACCGAGACCGCAGCGCCGCCCCAGACGACCGACAGAAACGAACCACCGTACTCTACGATGAACGCGACGAGTGCGACAAGATTCACGCACCGCTACACGGATGTGCGCTACGAGGACAACGAGGATTATGCATCGGAGCCTCCGCCTCGCTCCCTCGCCGACTATCTCCCCGACGAGCCAGAGCCGCCCACGACGCAGACGAATAATAATACCACCGTGACGGCGACCTGCCCTATATGCGAGGCCTTTGAAGGAGATGAGATTGCAGTGTCGCACCACGTCGAGCGAGAGCATTGAGCGTAAGCGAAGTTGCTATCGCGCCTTGCCGCGTTATAAAGCACCTTCTACACTTGGAGCCTCGCCCCAACTCGGGTGGCTGCTGGAACTTGAAAATCACGCATCCTCGCGCACTCGTGACTCGGGGGAAAGATCATTATACAGCGCACGGAGTACTATACCCCACGCCGGCAGTGAAGCCAGATGTCTTGACGGTACCTTTGCAAACACCTTCAAACACGGCTCTCTGGATGGTCAAAGATAAGACACAGTACATATCCAGCTTCCCGATCGCGGCAAGGAGGAGGGGCTGGCCAGCCGGCGGCAGAGACAATATATCAGGTTCTGACTTTTGAGCGAGATGGGGTGCATCTGCCGGAACTAGTGTCTGCCAGTAAGGAGACAGGGGTTGTTACTGGAGTGGCTGGACGACATGGATGCTGGGGGGTCACTTTCATCCACGACTCTGTCAGGCGCTGTCGATTGGGAAGGTCAGAATACGCGCATGGCCGAGTTACCGAGGATTCGCTTCGAGCCAAGACGCTGCTTCATTTCGCACGTTGGAGATGACACGAGATGTCGAGCACTGGCATCTTGACAGCTGCTACTATGATGGTAGGTAGCTCGATGCACGACCAAGGGCCAAAGCTACCCGCGACCAAGTGAGAAAGAAGAGCTATTAAACCTAAATGTTAGCGATGGGCCATCAATGATGGCAATTGTCGATTTAGCTGGATTACGTCCACAATCTTCGACCTAATTGACGACCCTAGTCGGTGCAGCAAAGTGCCGATCACCCAAGCCACATTTCCACAGACAGGTCCCATGAGTCCACGACGCCCACGGACATCTTCTCGAAAAGGAAGCTACTTTTAATTCGCTTGGCCTGGGCAGCCTCAAGTGCCATGCTGTGGCGCTCGAAACAGTAGACCTCGATAGCCTCCGTCTAAGCATAAGTTTCTCCGCCGAGAAGTGCGGTCCAAGGGAACATGGAGTTTACGGGACTTCCAGCTCGCTGGAATTCTCAACCGCGTGTGTAGCGCCCACGAGGACGATGACCTCTACAATCTACATACTGTGGCAGGATGGGACCCGTAGATCTCAACTTCAATGATCAACCACGCGGATAAGTGCTCAGTGTCGACTCGAGAGTCGAGAGTCCCGACTCCAGACTGAGGAAGGACGGATCCGTTTCCAGCAGACATGGGGTCCAGCGACTCCAGCCGGTCCACTTGACGGTGCTCAGGCTGCAGGTCGTGCATCTGCACTTGTCCCCAAACGGTTGTTGAACAAACTACCATCGGCTCACGATGCGGTCCGGGCAGCTTCCGTCTGAATGAAGCAGGAGGTCGTCGTATATGCGACGCCTACGCTTACAAGAGTGTGGATTGAAGGCCGGCCACATCCCGCTGGAGAATAGAGGAGGTGTGGTCCTCGCTCGCAAGACACTCTATAAAAGTCCCGGTGTCTCACATCTCGACAGACTTGAAGAACCAGCTTCTCTCACTCAGCCTTCCCAGCATCTTCAGTCCAGTCTATTCCAGTCCAGCCCAGTCTATCATGTCTCTCAAGGCCATCCTCCTCTTCGCCGGCGCGGCCCTGGGCCACACCATCCACAGCCGCGACACCGTCCGTGGCTGCGGTGCCCCCGAGCCCAGCGACGAGCTCCTCCAGGTCTCGCGCGAGTTCGCCAAGCAGGAGGCGGACGTCGAGAACAGCTTCAGCGCCCAGGCGGCCATCAGCGTGCCCGTGTACCTGCACTCCGTCGCCTCCAGCCAGAGCACCGTCCTGAGTGTGAGTCGTCCCTGACTTTGCCTCTCCCAGACCACATGTCTAACACCCCGTAGGATGCCACCCTCCAGAACCAGTTCAACGTTCTGCGCAACGACTTTGCGCCCTCCGGCGTCAACCTGAGGCTTGCGGGCACCACAAAGACCGTCAACCCGACCTGGTCCCGTGACCGGGGCGAGATGGAGATGAAGCGCGCTCTCCGCAAGGGCGACTACGGCACCCTCAACATCTACCTGCAGGACGACCTCGGCGGCAACCTGGGCTACTGCTACTTCCCCACCAACGCGCCCTCGGGCTCGACCGCCTTTGTCCGCGACGGCTGCTCCGTCCTCGCCTCCTCCGTCCCCGGCGGCTCGGCCACCGGCTTCAACCTGGGCAAGACCGCCACCCACGAAGCCGGCCACTGGTTCGGTCTGTACCACACGTTCCAGGGCGGCTGCACCAGCACCAATGACGGCGTCGCCGACACGCCCGCCCAGAGCAGCCCCAGCAGCGGCTGCCCTATCGGCCGCGACTCGTGCCCCAACCTGCCCGGTATCGACCCCATCCACAACTACATGGACTACTCCCAGGAGTGAGTATATGCTCTTGTGTTTTCGTGACAATTTTGGCTGACGAGATGGGCAGTTCTTGCTACGAGGAGTTCACTGCCGGCCAGGCGGCGCGCATCAGCAGCTTCTGGAACGCGTACCGCGCGTGAGAGGCGGCGCGTGGGTTGGATGTGGGATGGACAGATGAATGTCATGACCTTGACGAGTGCTGAAATAGGATCTGGAAACGCTGGGCAGATTTTGAGCATGGCGCGCTGCTGCCGCTGGTTGGTCGTATATATTTTGATTTGACGGTACATAGGACACTGCTGTGAACGTATTGAGTTCCCTTCTCTGAGACCACTGGACACTGCCATAGAAAGACTCGAATCGCACAGGCCTACCCGTCATCAAGCAATGAGTGCTAGCTGATGTCTCCATTCCCGCTCGCCGCTTGCTTCGCGTATCCCGTGAGCCCCTGAAGAGGTGTTGGGGCAGGGGCATTCTTCTCCTTGTCACCACGGTACTGTAGATAGGGGGCTGTAAGTGCCGACCAGCCCTAGGGGTGTTTTTGCGGGCTGCTTTTCTTGTGTCTTCTTGCGCTGTTTAGGTAATGCTTCCCTGTTCATAGTTGCGCTGTCTTGTTTGGCGTGCCCTTGGCGGGCAGGCAAAGAAGGTTGGTTGAGGCTGGTCATTCTTCGCGTCCGAACTATCTTGTGTTTTGATGTTTTGATTTCTGTTTATGCCCCGTTTCTTTCTCAGCTTTGTTTCGTAGTAATGGTTTCCTGTCTCCTTCCGAGTCGGTAGAGCGCGCCTTGCGCCTGAATATGTCGGCAATCTTGCGGCGCCAATGCATCTTGACGGTGGGACCGTGGGAGACGATGTTGATCTAACGCCAAGCACGTTGGAAGAGTGCTAAGGGGAAAACAATGTTTGGTATTTCAGTCTTCGGCCTCTCTGGCGCCAAAGGCTCCCATCACATGTTGCGATGGTTACTGGTGCAGTCACCTGATCATGGCATCTCCTGTCTTGAACTTTATCTCTTCATTATCATGCGCAGTGACAAAGCTACAGGTCAATGGCAGGGTTAGAACGGCCGTAGACGAGGTTCTGCGCTTATAACAAACCGAGTTTGATGTTCAGTTGGCGTAGATGGATGGTGTCACGCATACATTGTAGACTGCCATAGCGAACACAGGCCCAGCTTCTGTTAATCAACTACACGTAGAAGACGTCAAATATGTTGCCAACCTCACAGCAACACTCCGAATGCATTGAGAACTTGTCACGAAACTGATTACATGTGACATCCGAAGCTTAGGAGCTCTCAAAATGACTCCTTTTTGGTGTTCAATGGGAAAATCTATCCTCATATCGTGGCCAGAGCAACAAGAACTGGTCAGTACCTCAGGGCCCGTGCCTCTTTGTAAAATCGATTCCGAGACGCATTCTTGCTCTATTGTGCCCTTGAAGTACCAGGTAGTCATTGAAGGAAAGAGATTCCGGGTAGGCAAATAAATACGTTGAGGTGCGTCCGATCGACACTCAGCTTGGCTTGGCCTGCCTCAATCAACGTTTCGTCACTCAATCAACATTCTCCTCTACACACCTCAAGACTCGTCCCTCTTCGGCTCAATGGCGCACCACCGCCGCCACCACCACTACCATGTCCCTCCACATCGCAGCACGAACCAGTCTCCCGGGTCACCTCCGACACCAGCCGTCCTCTAACCTGGCTCTGGCTCTGGCTCGCTCGCGAAAACAGCGACGCCTCCACCTGGCGCCTCCCTTCCTGCTCGATGGAGGCCCTTATGTACCCCGTTTTCAGATGCTCAGTTCGCGCGATGCAGCCCTCAAGCGGTCCCGCGCCTACGCCCATCTCCGGAACTGCAACCTGTGCCCGAGGCTCTGTGGCGTCAATAGATATGAGACGACGGGCATGTGCCTCGTCGGGGCCACGGCCATGGTGAACACCATTGCGCCGCACTTTGGCGAGGAGGCCTGCATCCAGGGCCACCATGGCAGTGGCAGCGTCTTCATGAGCGGCTGCAACATGAGGTGCATCTTCTGCCAGAACTACGACATTGCGCACCAGAGAAAGGGCATGGATCTCACGCCCGAGGCGCTGGGTGAGTGGTATCTCAAGCTGCAGGACGTGGGCAATGTGCATAACATCAACATTGTCACGCCGGAGCACGTGGTGCCTCAGGTCGCCCTCTCCATCCTGCACGCCAAGGACCTGGGGCTCAAACTTCCCATTGTGTACAACACGTCGAGCTTCGACTCGCTCGATTCTCTGCGCCTGATGGATGGCCTCGTGGACATTTACCTGGCCGACTTCAAGGTCTGGAACGCGGCCTCGTCCCGGCGCCTGCTCAAGGCGGACGACTACGCCGCGACGGCCAGGGAGTCCGTCAAGGTGATGCAGCAGCAGGTCGGTGATCTGTGCTTCACGCCAGACGGTGTCGCCAAGCGAGGGCTGCTGGTCAGGCACCTTGTCATGCCGGGGATGGAGGAGGAGGGTGCTGCCATTATGCGCTTCTTGGCCGAGCAAGTGTCTACAGACTGTTTCGTGCACATTATGGAGCAGTATCACCCTGACGCCCACGTCGGCAAGAAGACTAGGCGCAAGCCAAAACAAGGCTCCGAGGATGAGTCTGTCAGGTACGCCGAGATCAATCGTGCCGTCACCCACAATGAGGTCTCTCTCGTGCGCAAGGCGGCGGAAGACGCTGGACTGTGGCGTTTCAATGACCCGCCCAGGCACGAGGGGTTTGCCATCTGAGTGGCTGCACATCTTCAATGAATGTGCATAGGCTGTGATACCATGCTGGGAATGGGATACATGGACCAAATAGCCCAACTGTTCCTCGAGTCGGTTGCAGACATTGCTTGCAGGCACAGTTCCGCTCCGAGTTCCTGGAATGCTGAAGCGATCGGGACGGCTCAAGAACGAGGCCGCACAAACAATCCTTATGTACGTGTCCGAAGAGGGGGCATGAGCCATTGGGAACTCTGCTCAATAAACTGGGCTCCATTGCGTGCACAGATCACGTCGGTCCTTGTTCGCGCCCTCGGAGCGCACCGCGCACCAGGCTATTGGGTGACCCGAACAGACTGGTCCCCAACACCCTGACCACCCAGTACGAACAACGTTAAAGCTTGGGCCCCCTCGGTGCTCGAGGACGCCAGGAACAAGGTCTTTCACACTCTGGGCTCGGCCAGGGCGGAACTTCTGGCTAGTAGACCCAAGCCATATAATTGGCAGGGAGCGAGTACGAAGAGGAGAGGGACGGCCTCATTTTGAATCAGCAAACACACCATTCTATCCAAACCATCGACATAAACACCACATGATCATCACCATGGAATCGCCTTCAACATACCAACCCGAAATAGTCCACACATCCGTCCCAATGACACCCCCTCCCGAGAAGGCAGACTGCGGCCGCCAGCAGCAGCAGCCCCTGACGATTGTGCCGCCACCACAACCGCAGGGTGTTGAACCTCCAACGCCAGACTCGCTACCCAAGGACTTCCCCTCTGGCCACTGTTCGACAAGCAGCGAGAGCATCTGTTTCAGCAGCAGACGCCAGCGGAACCGCCCTCGGCGTCAATCCACCCCCGCGTATGAACTTGCGTGCTCGCCCCGCGACCCCTTGTCGCTCCACACGGAACGAGCCTACCTCCACCAAGAGCTCATGAGGCACGCGGCATGGTCTCAGAAACTCTACCGAGATCACTGCCTGGCGAATGAAACCTTTAGAGCCGCCGGCAACGCCAAAGAGCAGCGTCGGTGGAAGAAGAAGCTGAGTCTGCTGCGAGAGAAGATCAACGAGGCCGCCTGCCAGGAACGCGTCATCTACCAGCGCCTGGGCGACTTGACCTTTGCACTCTCTAGCCAGGATCGGTGGACACATGCTCAGCGTGCCACAACCCTGACCTACTCGCCAACGACACTGCCACGGATGGACTATGCGACGGACTGCAAGGAGCCCAACACGCCCCGCGTTCTCAATGCTACCTCTCCGACGTTTGTGCCTCGGAGCGTGTCCTTGAACACGTGCTTGGAGCCCGAGCGAGGGCTGGATCCAATCGGGGAGGATGACGAGGGCTATGCCGATGTCGTTGAAGACCATTCTAGCAGCGAGGCCGGGGATATAGAGGCGTCGGCCCGCGAAAGACGATGCTCCTTGTCCTCGCCCGTCTGTTCGCCTCTGGAGAAGCGTCTATCTCTGCCGGATCTGCCGGCCTTGTGGTCTTGAGTGGATTGTCTACTGCATGCTGGCGTCGGTCAAGGAGGGGTGTCTTTGCATTCAAGGGTCGTTTTAGCATTACATCAGCCATTAAATCATCAGCGTTCCGGCCAGCCGGATCGGTCCGTCTACATGTTCTCTCCTCCCCCCGCGCATGTGTGTACTTATTTTGCTTTTTGAGAACGCCTCATGCAAACTCGCCAAATTGACCGTCGTCAAACCCCAGCTGCTGCGCTGAGCGCCTCTTTCTTTTCACATCATCTGCAGTCGGTGGCGGTGGAAGACTGAAGCCACCACCGGGCGGCGGCGCCAATGCGAAGGACTGCAGATCCCCTCCGCCCGGGCTCTCCTCGCCCTGCTCCTGCTTCTCCTGTGCCTTTCTCCTCCCGATGCCCGTCTTGCCGAGGTTGACTGTGATGGTCTCTCCCTCCTTGAGAGAGTAGTCCTTTGCCTCCTTCTCTGGCTGCTGCTGCTGCTGCTGCTGCTTCTGGCCGCTGTCCCAGCCCAGGACCCGACGAGCCTCCTGCAGCGCGACGCCGAAATCAAAGGCCTCGCTCCTCTCCTCAAAGCCGATGCCGAGCACGGCCTTTTTGCCAGACGGATCGCGCACCGTCACGGCGAAGAAGCGAGAGCTGTCGATGACGGGCTCCACGGCGTTGGCGGCGCTATAGGGACTGGCCGCGAAGAGGGCGCCCGTCTTGGGGTCCTCGAGGAGGACATCGACCTTGAGCGTGTCCGAGTGGGACGTCTCGAGGAGCCGCAGGCGGGCGGTGAAGATGTGCCGCTGGGGCTCGGCCGTCCAGGTTGAGGCGGTATGGCCCCGGGTCGACTGGAGGGGTGGGATGTTGTAGACGTGGACGGCGGGACCGACGAAGAGCACGCGCTGGAGGGCGTCTTCGGGGAGGGCGTGACCGGTCGCGGGGTCGATGGACTCCATTGTGCAGCGCGGGAGGACGAGAGACACGACTCAGAGCTTGTAATGGAACGGTGGTGCTCGGTCTGGAACAGTGAAAGAGTGCACCGCAAGACTGATGGTGGCAGGATTCGATATGCCGTGGACTGGACTGGTCATGGATGGAGGGGCCCTCTTGCCGGAGCGGCTGCAAGCGGCTGGCAGGGGTCCCGGGTAGGGCGAAACACCACTGCCGAGAGCTGCACGTGATTGCCCTGGTCTTCACCAACCACGATCTGTCATCCACCCACGACCTTGACCCTTGTCTCCATGTCGTGCCCAGGAGCAGCATGGAGTTGCATCATGGACCCGTGGCGATTGCTTCTGCATTTCTATGCTACGGCTACAAGGCAACACAGGGAGATAGTCTGCTCTCAAGATCGATGAATACTTAGGCATAGTACCGATATGCTCATGACGCAAAGCCAAGTCACACTGTAATACCTACCAATTCGTATGCGCAGAGAAGTCGGCAGTTCAAAGGATCTATTTCCAAACTCACTGCCAAGCACCAAACCCAAGAAACACTTATTCCGACTGTCCTGCTAAGTAAACATCACCTCGCTTGGTTCTACAGTCCCTGCTTGGGCAGTCAGCTTCTTGCGCTCCTCTTGCCAATGAGCTCTCTCCGCGCGTCGCATCTGCTCCAGCTTCGTGGCGCGATGCACAGTCTCGTGTGGCTCTGGCACAGTCACAACCCGGGGTGTGCTTTCCAATGCCAAAGTGTCCCGGGTGCCAGGATGGTGCTTCAACGCGGGGAGGAGGAAGATGGCGCTGTCCGACCCAGCCCCCTTGACACGATACAGCCGAGAGAGCATGTCAAGTTTGATCAGTGCCGGGCTGTGGGCGGCGGCGTCGACAGATCGCCCGCTTACACCATTCAGGGATGCCCGAGCTTCTGTTCCGATATGCTTCCGCTCCGCCTCGTCAAACAGCCCATGGATCACTCGCTCCATATCTTCCGTCACGTTGACCAGGACAAATTTGCGCTGGGCCTCCCTTTCATACTGTTCTGAATCGCGAGATTTGTCCACGCTCCTCACTTGCAAGGGCGCAAAGGCCGCGGGAGTTAGAGCATCCAAGGCTTGCGCATAGAGATACTCCAACTGCAGTATCCTTTCGGCGGACTTTTCTTCTCGGAGTAGTAGCTGCCCTACCAGGGTATTCTCAAAGTCTTGGAAGCCCACGGAGTTGACCTCAGGTACCAGTGCCATTATGCCGCCCTTGCCCGCCAGGTCATGATCCAGAATGCTGAGGCACTGGTTCGCGTGCTGGGTCAGGTGAGCGTACGACACTTGGGGCTGAGGTTCAGGTGATTTTCTGTCATCCTTGGCTGATTCGTGGCATGTAGCGAGGGGACAGTGGTGTTCTGCACCATGCCGCTCGGACTCGGATGCCACGTGGTTGTGAAGAGCCCAAAGTGGTCGGTTGTGGTGCTCGTCATCGTTGGCGTACGGCGCCGACAGATCATTCAACCAGTCGAACGCTTCGTTCTCATCGAACCGCGGGGCACAAACATCCTTGCGGTAATTCTCGTTATCGATCACGCCGAAAGTCGTTGATAGTGATACTCTGCGGATGAGAATGGCGAGAGATTGCGCATGCTGCTTAAGTTCGAACAAAGTGGGCGCCCTGCTTCCCGACAGATACGAGCAGTTGACATGCGAGAGCGTCTTCAATTCTTGGGGCGCGAGACCTTGAGCATAACCCCCAGCTGTAAAGGCACTATCGTATGATATAGCGAACTCGGTTGCAGGGATGGCTGGGACGAGCGATTGGGTTGGTGTCTTTGAGCTCGCCATGCTGACGCAGTAGGGCCACGGAAAGGGGCTTCACTTTGAGTATTGAGACTACTCAAGTCGGGAAGACAAACTTGTTGCCCTGATAAATGCGTCTCGACATGCTTGCCCTTTATCACTATTGCACTTCTTTGTCTGCTCGCTGGAAGTTCTATCTTGGGAACAAAGACGAAGGTACGATGAGGCTTACAATCATAACCTCACACGGACTCGGAGCCGCACTGCACTGGCCACGCCGGCAGACGCTCGGGCAAGACACTGCCACGTTAGACCACATCCCAAATGATAGCAAAAACAGCGCAAGTAGCCGTCACCAGGGCGTTCACACACTTTGGGGACGCAGGTCTAGGTCCTGTGGCTCGCTGACAATCAATCAGTGGCCTTGCAGAAACCGCCAGTCGTTGAGATTGTGGCCGAGAAATGGTGCTGATAGAGCGCCTCGTCCTGCATGTAGCTGGGCGAGTAGGCCAACGGCAAGATCACATGCCTCACCAGCAACGCTCTCCAGGTACTCCGTATGGCAAGCTTTGAACGTTGCCAAAGCGCTGCGATGACACTTCGTGTGCCTTCGTTGTTCTTCTGGAATGCGGTCACATCGGTCGAGTCGCGGGTGAGAAACACCATGACGCTGATGAGGTTATGACGAGGAAGCTAGCCGCTATTGAGAGGCCGCAGATCATTGTTGGATGGTGTGGTGGGGACTCGACCTACGTTCGGTGGGATCCCCACGGGTCATCGCTCGGCCGCAAGGGAATTTGAGCTGTCCAAGAGGTGCTGCGATCGGATCGTCCCACAGACGATGGACCTACTGCCACACTGGATAGGCACATTGTCAACATGACCGCTCGAACTTGGACAATGGCGTAAAGCTAAAAACGTATTCTTGGTCCAAGCATAGCAGCCACTTGGAGGGGGCGCACACCTTAATTACGTGCGCCGAGCAGACAGACGCGACGAGGGGTTGGCTGCACTCTTGCTCATCGTGCTGATACTATTTTATTTTCCCTGCACAGTAGCGTCATCGGGAGTATTGATGGGTGCATGGTCCACGGCAATCTGCGCTGGCCCCATCATCAAACACTTGGCCAGTCGAGAAGTCGAAACACCTCCATGTCGTCGTATCGAGAACATTGCAAACAGAAGGTTGCCGAGGAAATGCTCGCCGGCAGGCAAGCACCGCCAGCATTTGATGTTCTTCGCTGGTCTTCCCTTGGGCCGATGGCTGGATCTGAGACTCTTGAGTCAGGGGTAGGCACTCGGGAACCAGACATCCTTGTGAGATGTCGACGGCGCGGTCGAGATTCGTCGGGACCCACCGTAGAGACACGAGTCCCAGCCCAGCAGGGGTTCTTTACAGATTTTCCTGCAGCTTCAGCTGCGATGCTCACCAGGGATTCAAAGGGATGTGGGCGGCGATCAGGTAGAACAGTCTGGGCTCGCGTGATGCAGCACAGTTATCGATTTTATTTGAGGGAGGGCGGCGCAAATGCACCAACGATTTTTGTCAATAAGGTAGGCTGTGTTTGATGCTGGTCACGCCGTTGTTGTTGTTGTTGTTGTTGTCGTTGCTGGCATGCTGCTGTGACCAGAGCTGGAGCTCTCAGCTAGTGCATGCGAGCTGAGACACGGCTTATTGCTGGCGCTAGGCCACAGTCTCAATCGGGGGACTGCTGCTGGAGCGATAGTTGGAGCCTCCTTAAACGCCCTCGCCAGCAACGTCACTTTGCGAAGCCTCGCTATAAGAAGTAGATGGTCGTGCACAGCTCATGTATTTTTCATACACTGCTTTCGACCATCAATACGCATTCCAAGTCTCGAAGTTCATGTTCGTCAAACCCAGACACTGACGTTGGCATCGCGCTAAAGCTCCGTACATCTTTGACATCATTTAACTCCTGCGGTCGCCTAAGACAGCCCCACTCGTCTAGCTGCAGGGCCTGTGCCAGTGCAGCGACCCCCGGGCCTGTTTACGGCAGTGACTGGACGCCAGCAGCCTGCGTATCGATCCTTCCTTGAATTGCTGGCACGCGCCTTGGCAGCACATTTTCTGATATCACCAACTTTGTGCCCCTTCTTTGCTGTACCATTCTCTTGCTCCTTCCCTTTCCCAAACCCGGACCTGTCACCAGCCAGGTACCCAGTACCTTACCCAATCGCCAGCGGACGAGCTTTCAGAGTCCAGCAGCTGTCGCAATCATGGGTAACTTCATATCCTGGATTCAGACGAACCTTGGGGACACGCCGGGCTCCGACTCGCGCCAGGGTGATGCCCGCAGTGAGCAGCCTCAGTCCCTCTCGGGCATGGTGAGCACTCTTGTGCCTCTGCTCGTCATTTCCTCCATCTACATCATCATCTTCCTCTTCCTGAGGCGATCTAAGAGGCGGTTCTACGCGCCGAGAACGTATCTGGGCGCGCTGCGAGAGAGGTGAGTACTCATCCTCAGCATCAATCACACAGCCGCCAGACCCTGACGAGGAAAAAACAGTGAGCGATCGCCTGAGCTACCCAGGGGCCTCTTCAACTGGTTCGGCAGCTTCTGGAAGATCCCCGACGAGTATGCACTCAAACACCAAAGTCTCGATGCCTATCTATTCCTACGCTTCCTCCGTGTTTGCACGGCAATCTGCTTTGTATCCATGATCATCACCTGGGTTGTCCTTTTCCCCGTCAACGCGACGGGCGGCAATGGAAAGTCGCAGCTGGAAATCCTATCGTACTCGAACATCGACATTGACACCGAATACAATCGCTTCTACGCCCACACCTTTGTGGCATGGATCGTCTACGGCTTCATCATGTACACGATCACCCGCGAGTGCATCTTCTACATCAACATCCGTCAGGCCTACCTCCTGACGCCTCAATATGCGAGGCGCATTTCATCGCGCACGGTCTTGTTTCTTTCTGTGCCTGACGACTATCTCGACGAGGCCCGTCTGCGCACCATCTTCAGCAACGATGCGGTCAAGAATGTCTGGATCGCCGGCGAGACCAAGGAGCTGGACGATCTCGTGGAGGAGCGCGACAAGGTTGCGATGAAGCTCGAGAAGGGCACCGTCAAGCTACTCAAGGCCGTCAACAAGGAGCGAGCAAAGGTCGCCAAGAAGTCTGGGGGTCAGATCGCTCAAGGGAGCGACCAGGACGCTGAGCACGGCAACATTGCCGCCCGCTGGATCACCGACAAAAAGCGCCCCACGCACCGCACTGGTCCTCTAGGGCTCATTGGCAAAAAGGTCGACACAATCGAATGGGGCCGCAGCGAGCTGCACCGCTTGGTTCCCAAGACGGATGCGGCTCAGGCCGAGTTCATCGCCGGCAACTACAAGAAGCACAATGCCGTCTTTGTCGAGTTCCACCACCAATCTGACGCCCAGGCTGCGTTCCAGGTCGTCTCGCACCACCAGGTTCTGCACATGGCACCCAAATACACCGGCGTTAAGCCCGATGAGGTTATCTGGAAGAACCTGAACATCCCCTGGTTGCAGCTCATCATCCGCCGCTACGTGGCCTACTTCTTGATCGCCATCATGGTCATCTTCTGGGCCATCCCGGTGGGCATCGTCGGTATCATTGCTCAAGTAGACACGCTGAAGCAGCTGCCTGGCTTGACCTGGATTGCCGACATTCCCCAGGTCATCCTTGGTGTCGTGTCAGGTCTGCTGCCCTCCGTGGCGCTGGCCATCTTGATGGCCTTGGTCCCGATCTTTATCCGCATGTTCGCCCGCCTCGCCGGCGAGGTCACCGAGTCTCGCGTCGAGCTCTTCACGCAGAATGGCTACTTTGTCTTCCAGGTTGTCCAGGTTTTCCTGATCCGCACCCTTACCGACACGGCGTCCACGCTGGTTGTGCAGATTGTGGACAACCCTGCTTCCGTCTTTAGCATCCTGTCCACGGCGCTGCCCACATCGTCCAACTTCTACATCTCCTACTTCATTCTGCAGGGTATCACCATTGCTACGAGCGTCTTGACCCAGGTCATTGGATGCATCATCTTCAGCCTCATGTACAAGTTCCTGACCGGCACCCCTCGCGCTATGTACAACAAGTGGACTTCCCTCAGCGCCATCATGTGGGGTAGCACCTTGCCCGTCTACACAACCATTGTGGTCATCAGTAAGTCCTTTGGTCACGATACGAAGTCTTCATGCTGACCAATCAGGTATCACGTACGCTGTCATTGCCCCCCTTATGCTTTTCTGGGCCACCTTGGCGCTCTTTCTGTTCCACCTGGCCTACCGTTACAACATCCTCTTCATGACGGACACCAGAATTGACACGCGCGGTCTCTTCTATCCCCGCGCCCTCAAGCAGCTCTTCACCGGCCTATACCTTGCCGAGATATGCATGGTCGGCATGTTCGCCGTCTCCAAGTCGCCTGGCCCCGCCGTCCTGATGGGCATCTTCCTTGTCTTCACCGTTCTCTTCCACATTACGCTGATGCGGTCCCTGGGCCCTCACCTGTCTTCTCTCCCTCGCACCCTCCAGGTGGAGGAAGAAATGTTCCAAGAGCGCGCTGCAGTCAACGGTTCCGACCCCGAGGCCGAAAACGGCCGCGTATCCAAAGAAGATCCCAACGGCAGGGCTGGGAAGCTCAAGGGCATGGGTTCCAACTTGCTGCCCGGCAGCAAGCCCGGAGCTACGCCCAAGAAGGGCAACTTCCTGATGCGCTGGCTCAAGCCCTGGGTGTACGCTGACTACGCGGCGCTCCGTAAGATGGTGCCTCACGAGGACATGGTCGACATGCGCGCCGAGTACCCGCCCGAGGTTGAGCAGAATGCCTACTACCCCCCGTCCGTGACCAGTGAGACACCCATTCTGTGGATCCCCGCCGACCCGCTTGGCGTGTCCAAGCAGGAGGTTGCCCTGACGAGCAAGGTGATCCCCATCACCGATGAGGGATGCACGATGGATGAGAAGAGCAAGCTACACTGGGACAACGAGGGCGCCCGCCCTCCTATCTGGGCTGAGAAGATTTACTACTGATACCCGTACCTGGTACTAGCCGGTACAAAATGTACTTATGTCGGGGTAGGATAAGATTGTGAGGGGCGCTCGGCCGAGTTTGGTGATTAATTTCTCTGTTTAATGTTAATATATTGGATGTCTCATGTGGATTGATTGCCTAATTCGTGAAGCACAATACTATTGCCTACGTATTTACAGCCTGGGCCAGCCAAGTCACTGACGACATTGACCACGTTGGTCGTCCATATTCAAGCCGCATAGCGAAGTATCCCTGCCGTTTCCCCGATGAAACACAGCGATAGCGAGGAGAAGGATAAATTAATAACGCAACAATCCATTGTTGGTTGGACATGCAGGAAGTTGGAATTTGGAGAGCGCCTATCTGACCGAATGGGACGTTTCACGCTGCCAAAGGCCTAGAGCTGTCCCGAATCCAAACGTAACCACAGGGGATGGTTGCTTGCTAGGAACGTGCCTTGTTTTTGGCTCACTTGACAAGAGACCTTCCTTGTCGGGGACGAGGGCGCTGCTGAAAGTAGCAGACCATCATACCAGGTAAGATACGTAGGGCAACGAAGAGGCAGTGAAGCGGACGAGTTGCCTCTGATGGGGACCATCATCCATCACCGCCCTAGCCAGCCAGGGCCAGCCGCTGCGACGAAACAACGTACTCACAGCCAGATGAATCGTAAATCCGTCAAAGAAAGAGATCACATGTCATCTCCCATTGTATCATCCATCCCTGCGTCTCCCGCATGAACGCAGCACGCACCGCCTCCACTTGGATTCCCCCACCGAACAGAGTTCGCCGTCACCAGGACAACGCGCCGTGCCGCGTCAGGTAAACAGTCAACATGAGCTCCCACGACAACCAATGGCCGCACAGAGCCGGCTGCATCCGAACCAGAACTTGGCAGATTGGAGTCTGGAATATTGACTCAGGATCTGATTGCGCGCATGGGCTTGCAGGGCTCCGCGCTCCACGGCGGGTTGCTTGTCCAGCAGGGGCGGAAGGGGGCATCCCAAGATCGAGAGGGGACTGTTGATCTTTGTCTTTCATCCTTGGGTCGTCTTAGTTGACACATCTCTGCTTCATCTCCTTCTGCACCATCATTGAGAACCTTTTGTCTTGCGCGCAAAGGTTTCGCCCATAGCGCTGATCGCAAAGTACAGTACAGAAGAAGTGAAAAGCAGGGAACGAAAGACAGGAAGAATTTGCCCTCCTCCATTCGACTACTGGCGGGCGCGTCCTGGTGATGCCGTCATGAGAGCACGTTAGCCCTCACCCCGCGCAGCAACCATGGCCCTCCTCTTCGCGCTGGCGGCTTTGGCGACAGCGCAGAGCATACCGTACACGCCGACACGAGTGTTTACGTCCAGCTGCAGCAGAAACAAGAGCGACAGCAATGACTGCTCCGGCGCGGATCTCGCATACATCTTGACGGACGGGTCACTCCTGTCCTACAACTATTCTTCTTCGTCCACCGACCTCGAGGTGGTCACCGACACGCTGCCCTTCAACGACACCGATAAGGAGACGTACAACGCCGTCAGGACGAGTACGGGCCTGATAGTGTATGGAGGAAAGTGTGGTTCCACGAATGGACAGATGTGGACATTTACGACGAAATGGGAACAAGTCACCCTCATGAACGATGGCAACGGATATGGGCCGTGGTTCCTGGGTGGCATGGTCGCGCAAGAGTCCGACTCCGCGAACGACACGACTCTGTACGCCTACGGAGGCATGTGCGGATCATCGCAATCGGCGGGCGAGTACACCAAGACCATGCTGAGCATCGCGCCTGTCGACGAGGATCAGACGGCGATCCCTGACAGGGCGGGCTTCAGCTTGGGCGTGGCCTCGACGGGGGGGCCAAGAGTGCCCATGGCCGGCTTCAGTCTGACGACATTGGAGAATGGGGACACTGTCCTGCTGGGCGGTCATGCGCAGGCCGGTTTCATCAATATGAGCACGGCAGCGGTGTGGTCTCTGCCGGGGGAGACCTGGGATTTCGTCGGCATCAATGCGCCCAGCTCGACTTCGTCAGGAGAGCTGGTCAGGGACGAAGCTAGGGGTGTCTTCTCCCGCTCCGGCCACACAGCTGTCCTCAGTGGCGATGGGAGTAGGATCGTCATCTTGGGAGGTTGGGTCGGGGACGTTGATACCCCGGCGGAGCCGCAGCTTGCCGTCCTCGACCTTGGGAACGGATACGATGACTGGACGTGGGAGGTCCCCAAGGAGCAGCCCACAGATGGACTCTACGGCCATGGCTCCGCGATCTTGCCGGGAGACGTCATGGTCGTCTACGGAGGATGGACTATTAGCGGTGGAAAGGGCAAGAGAAGCGACAAAGGACTGAGTTTCCTGAGCCTTGACGACATGACCTGGTCGAGCAGCTATACGAACCCAAACAGCGCCAGTGGAGGCAGCGAAAACACCAAGGGCAGCAACAGCAACAACGACGACGGCGAGCACAAAGCAGGCGACAGTAAGGGAGAGTCCGACGCTGCGCCTGACAGCACCGACGATGGCTCAGGACCAAGAACCCTTGGTCTAGGTCTAGGTCTTGGCTTAGGACTGGGCCTTATCCTGATCGTCGCCCTTGTGCTCCTGGGCTGCCGTTACTGGCGGCGAAAGAAGAAGCGCGATAGCAGGGACTCGATGGTCCGAGGACTCACGACGAACATGACGCCGCATGAGGAGATGTCCGAACAGGATGACTTCTTCTCCGTCTGGGGCCGAGGCAACTGGGACGCGGGATCAATGCAGGATCCGTACAGCCTGGGACGCAAGAGCTTGGGATACGAGAGCTTACGGGGCCAAAGAGCTGGTCTCCACGAGCCCAGTGCCATGCCACCTCCGTTGCGGCTACCAGGCAACACGAGGCCCTTGCGAACAGGCTATGCACCAGCCCAGGGGAACCGCATCCACCCGATCCTGGAGGACGATGAGGACGCGGACTCGCGGAATCCTCACACACCCACGTCCGACGTGCTGACCGACCCATTTGCCACGCCGCCTACCGCGCCTGTAACAGCAGCAGCAGCAGCATATTCCCCTATGAGGGGACTGGCGACGCCTAGTCCAGACGGGAGACGACGCCACGATCCTGATGTGCAGGATTGGGTCTCCGATGTGGACGCCTCGGATGGCCTGCTCGCAAGGATGGGAAGGGTTTCGCCCACGAGGAGGGACGATGACAGCCGGACGGGCAGCAATCTCAGTGAGGCGTCGTCGATGATGAAATTCACGCCCAATGGACGACGGCAACAGGTGCAGCAAGAGAAGCCTGGGAGCTCCAGTGGCAGCTCGCTCAGCTACAATACTGCACAGTCCCACGCTGCCTCTTTCAACATGCTGCAACGCGAGGGGCCAAGTCTGCTGCTCGGCCACACGGGACCGGTATCCCCCGCCTACGACGACGACGAGGCGCCCGGGTCGCCGTCCAAGTCCAAGCCCCGACGCGGCTGGCTGGGTTCGCTTCGACGCGTGTTCAGCACGACGGACAGCGCCAGTTCGAGAGAGACGATCACACCCTCGCCACATTCGTGGCAGCACGACGATAGCCAGGGGTATTCGGAGGACCGCATGCCCGGACTGAGCGGCGAGCTTCTTAGAAGGAAGCAAGGTCGTCGCGACTGGGAGTTTGGACACCCACCTGAGCAGGCACACGGCGGTGGCCCGGGGCAAGACGACGCGGGACCCAGTGAGTGGGATATCGAGCGGGCGGCGGAGCAACGCATGGTGCAGGTCATGTTCACCGTGCCCAAGGAGAGACTACGGGTGGTCAACAGGGCGGAGAATGACGGGATCAGCGAGAGAAGTGTGGTCAGTGTGGTACCGCCGCACCAGCCTCCGTCGTCTCCGCCTCCGATGCCTGCCCCGACGACCACAAGAGGGGAGGAAGACGACAAGATCAAGCGGGTGACGCTGAGCGACGGTGATGTCTTTGTGGACGACCACATGCATCATGATGGTGGTGATCTGGGTGTACGTGAGAAGGACTTTCTGATGCCCACCGATGCGAGGAGTACCGGTGGCAAAAGCAGCTTGAGCCTGACGGACGACGGTGACAGTAGCTCACGGCGGCATAGCGCGGTCATTGAGACGGCGGAGACGATGACGATGGAGAGACCCAAGCCCGCGTCCAAGGTGCTGAGAATGGTGGAGAGCATTGAATCGGCCAAGAGCCTGGGCTTGGCCAAGGATGCTTATGTAGAAGGATAGGGCCAGGATGCTTTGGGGGACAACACACTTGGGCACGGGTAGCATGGAGTTTGGTGGTTCACTCGAATTGTCTCGGGTACGACAGATATATATGTACACGGTAGATATATTTGTATGCGTGTATGCGTGTACTACTATAGGTACACATTGGGCATCTATCACGTGTTGTAGCCAAATCAGATATTGCATGAGCCATTGTCTATCTAGGCCATCAGCCGCTTGTTCCAGTCCAGTATGGCCTCGACCAGTCGACGCCCGGGAAAGTCGAGGATCACAATGCCTGTCCTCGAGACGCCCTCGACCTTTTCAAAGTCGCGCAGCCACTGGCCCGTCATGTCATTCATACCCACGACGGTCCTGTTCCTAGGCCCGGCGGCGGCCTCGATGGGCAGCACGCCCACCGAGGCGGAGACGTGCGCGAGGTGGAGCTTCTTGTTGTCGAGCGGCGCAGTGGCGGCGTCCATGAGGGCGTCGCGGATCGCCGTCCACTTGTCCGCCAGATGGTAGATGTCAGGGATGATCCAGTAGTCCTCCAGCACCATCTGGTCGCCCTCCCAGGCCAGGCCATACGGCTTGGCGTTCCCCGTCTTGAAGTTCTGGAGCAGGAAGATGCGGGAGCGCAGCTCGCCCAGCGTCGGGATTGGGCGGATGCGGTCGTAGAGGTAGAGGTGCGACTGCGCGCCCGCGGCCGTCTCGGGGGACGAGTCGAGGTAGTAGTTGAACGTCTCCTCAAACGTCCGCGTGTTGGCCTTGCCGATTGGTTTCCCCTCCTCCTTGAGCCGCATGACAATGGCCTCGCTGGGGTGGGCGTCCAGAAAGTCAAACATGGCCAGCAGGACCTCGTCGTACTCGAACCCCGTGAAGCCATTGGCGTGATATATCCTCAGCTTGTCGTCCTCGAGCCGCGCGCGAATGTCAAAGTAGCGCAGGCCGCTCTCTAGCTGGGTCGTCAGGTTTGCATTTTGGCACTGCAGCTTGATATTGTCCGTCATGTTGTAGGTCATGGTGTCGTGCGTGCCGGGGATGCTGAGGCTCGTAATGGGCGTGTCGTCCGGGATGGAGGCCATCCAGTCCGCGTGCTGGACGGTCGAGGCATCGAAAGACCAGCTGCTGGCGAAGCCCCGGTAGCAGGTGCTTGAGGGGATCATGCAGGGCGCGAGGGAGAGGAGGGTGTAGAAAAGCACCATGCAGAATGCCGTGGCTGTGAGGATGAAGGACGGCAGCCGGCGAGGCCGGAGGATTGCCGGGCGCGGGAGGCTGGGGAACTTCTCGGGAAAACCCATGATGGATAGTTGCGGGGGGAATTGACGAGATAAACTCTGCGATCACATTGGGAGCGCGCTTCTCCTGGAAATGGGAAGGTCCAGGTGGGAAGGTCCAGGTGGGAAGCTCGCGGTTTGGAGCGATCAAGTGGTGAGATGCAGGTGGTCGTGGTGTGCTTCAGGGTCTAGCTTGACGACGTCACAGCTGCGCGGCCGGATCCGTGTTGCGATTGCAGCCTGTGATTGGTAGGCCATCCTAGCTACCCTACGCCAACAGTGGTGTCACATCTTTTCTAGCCCATCGCTGCCAAGTGATGGAATATCGTGCCTCTTGCTGCTGCATTCGAAGAGGCCTTCTCTGTTTGCTTACGAAATCTTATTTTGACATCTCATCTCGAAGGAAAACGATGGTGAAAGTTGTAAGCCGATTCAAGCTGAACATAAGAAACAGACGCTATCGAAAATGAAACACGAAGATCAGGCATATCTATCACAAATCAAGTTGAAAGTACGGTAAATCGGGCGACGACAAACGAGCTAGAAGCACCTCATATCGAAAGACGCAAGAACAGAAAATTACTACCAAGTACGTGTTCAAGTGAGCGAACCATGTATGTGAGGTAACTTGCCTTGACCATAACTTAGCATCCGCGATCACTGGCCTACCCGGTAGAGAGACCTCTAGCAAAACTAACGCAGCAGCTTGTCCATGGCACAAAGGCAGACAGGCAAAATCAACCATTGAACCTTATCTCAAGGCGCAACCTAGATTTTGTTGAGCGACATAATAATCTACATAGTTCTGGCGTCCGTGTGGGCGTTGAACCTGGGTTTGGCCTAGAGGTGGAGATGCCTCTCGGTCCATAAAACACTCAAGTAAGTGAGTAAAAAAATGGACCAGTCATTCCAAGTGCATGCATTGTGTGATCGCCTATCTCACTGGGTAACGTGGGGTTGAGTATAGTGATTGATTGATATCAATCAGCTATTAAGCTGATCCCCCCGTTGTCTGCAGGCATGTGCATCGATCGGTAGAGAAAGCACCCCCTGGCTACAGTAGTGTTGGTTGTATCGCAAATCATTAGTCGACAACCCCAGCGATAGACGGTTTTCAAGGACGGCATTGGGGGGTTTTGCAAATTGCAAAACCTTGCAAAACCTAAATCAAAACAAGCTTCCGAATAGGTAAATGCAGGCCGGCAGCCTTCCTAGCGAGAGGGTTGCACGCTCAGTGGGATATACGATTTAAGCCTATTGCTGATCGTCATGAAGCGCCTCGGCTCCTGAGAACTCGGTACAATTTTCACCCGCTGCAACGATGCCGGTGTTTAAGTGGGCTCAGCAAATTCCAGACCAGCATGTTTGTACTTTTACAGCTTCAGAAGTTCAGAGTCAATGTACAATTGTACATCGCGCGTAGTCGCGTCTCGTTCTTTTTCTCGCGTTCCACTGGTGCCGATGCTAGCGCACGGGGGGGGGGAGGGGCAACCTTCTTGAGTTCTGACGATGGCTGTTAATTGATCTTCGAACTTCAATGTCCAATAAAGGACTCGGGGAGGACGGTGTGGATGCCAGCAGCCAGCACGCTCTCAAACGTGTGCCTGCTAATGAAGTACCCTGATAGTTATATCATGTATCCGTACGCAGTGCTTGCCTGAAGTCTCGGCAGTGAAAAGCTTTCAAGTCGTTGACGTTGAGGTGGGGGGACACACCAGTCGCTTAAGCATCTCGCACGCCAGGCGCCGCAGCGCAGTGGCCTAACGCGAGGGTATGTAGCACTGTACAAGTAGTTTGGGCCAGGATAAATCAGACACAGCCTGTGAGGAGCAAATGAACAGACCTGATAAGGACCGGGAATACGTACGCAACGCGGCATGCTTCATGTTTGAAGCGCATCAGCAAAGGTGGCGCCTCCAGTCGCGTGGTGATCTCGTGGTCATGCGTGTCTCAGGGTGATTGATGGAAGAGTGACAGAGTGTGGCTGCGGGGGCTAGCAGTGTGCTAAACTGTAATTGCTTTATTATGGCGACTTGGAGCTGTGGACACGAACTCACGATGGACGACTGGATTCCAGAGTACAGTCTGCAGAGCCTTTGTTGACAGTTGAGGACCGAAGTCTCCGAGACAGCCGAAATATTGGCTGTTGCGGAGCATGGCTGCGAGGAATTTGTCGATGAGATCTCTGGTCGGCACCAGCAGAATAGGCGCCCCCCAAACTGCAGCATGTGATGCCGCCGCATTGCACTGTCGCAAAACGTGGCACGACGGATGCAGCTGGGGGAGGGTAGATGATAATAGTTCTCATACGAATATTAGTAGTACGTACTGTACATACTAGGTAGGCATGATGGATAGACAAGAGTCCACTGACTCGAAACATATCGAGCACCGATCTTCCTGTCTGTTGACGTCGAGAGCGAGTCGTGGTGCTGGAATGATTTCACCCTGCTGGGGCCGAGAGATGAGCTTCATTTCGTTCCTGAAGCCACACTGGGAACCCCGTACGTACCACCCAGCAACTTCTTTCCCACAGCATCACGGCGAGCGTCATTCTGGTCTTCGTTTGGCCTGAGCATTATTATATAAATGCTATCTACGTACCAAAAGTCGTCCAAGGTCCAACGATCCCGCACACGCGATCCAGAGTCGCGCGTCGTTGTTGTGTTGACCTCGTATTCTGCTTCATACTGCGGGCCGCCGAGACGCCATTGATGGCAAGCGCTCAGGCTACGGGCTTCTGGCGCAAGCTCCAGGTGCTGCGCAGCTCCAGTCAGCGCTGTTGTCCGCTATCCACGGGTCCACTCAGCCACTCGGCGGGCCGTGCAGCTCACCAGATGATGATGCATCCATTGTAAGGTCCCGCAAGTGGCAGTTAGTGCATGACTTGATGATACCTTGTATCACAAGCCTTATGATGCGCACTGTGAGGTACTCCCAAGCAATGCTATAACATTTGGCCGGGATATTTCTCTTCCGCCTGGGCAGCGTTCGTAACATCAACAACCGGAAGGAGCAAGCGATCGCCCAGCATGCGTACGGGGGCCCTCCAATCCATGTCGCTCCTGTAAATCAGCAACATGGACGCTCCCAGGCGGCTCGATGGTCCAGTCCCAGCCCCAGCCCCAATCCGAACCGCCCCCGTCAACCTGGCCTCCTCTCTTCCTTCACCTCTTGATAGTCTCAACACCCACCCGACCAGCCATCCTCGACGCCAGCTGCTGTTCTATTTCCCTTTCTTGGAGGACCTGGCCTGGCAACGCTCTTTTTCTTCTCTTCCTGTTTCTGTACTTTTCGCGCCTTTCTCGAGCTGCAGGAAGCCAGCCTGCCGTCCCAACAAAGCCCCCGAGGACGTTTTCAGAGCCGTCAACACGCCACCACATACCAGTCCAACCTCGCCTTTGAGTCTTCCCCTCCCGCCCGTCTATTGCTTGTTTGCAATCGAAACCGGCCGACAACACAGGAATAGTTGATTCCCCCCCAGGCAACGTCTCTAGCCTCGCACACATTCCCACGCAGCCGTGGTATCCGCCCTTCGCCCCAGATTCAGTGCTTCGTTGCATACTGTTTCCGGTCCTGGTCGTACTACAGTCGAACCGCGGTCCTATCAGGTTTGGGTTTACACCATCGTTGGCAACGGTCGCGGAGGAGCCTCCAGAAACCGCTCGGCACATCGCGAGGGGCCAACGGATACAGGGCGACCACCGGTCGAACTAGACTAGCCTTTCCCCTGGCCACACTTTGGATTCATCCCTCATCGACAGCCCTCTCACGCGACACGACTACCGGCACAAGGTTCCATCGCTGTGCTATGAGCTTGCATCAGGCCCATTGCGCTACCTTCCCGGCTTCTATCTAAGCGCATTTTCTTGGACACACCTTCCATCACATCAACATGGCCTCGCCGATATCGAGTAGAGCAGGCCTTGGGGCTCTGCTACTCTTTGCCGCCACTCCAGCCTTCGTGAGCGCTGTTCTGCCACTCGATCTCTGCGCCTCGTTCAACTCTGGAACCACAGACGAATGTAGGTCACACTCATGGTAGTGTCGAGCTGTGATACTGATTCTTCCCAGTCCGCGATGATTACCAAACGAACGGTCTTTGCTTTGATCACTGCAAAGAAGATTACGCCTTTGCCATCACCCAGCAAAACTCCTGCTGGTGTTCCGATTTCGCCCCGTCCGAAGACAGCCAAGTGGATATGGAAAGATGCGACCTCCCCTGTCCAGCCTTTCCCGACGAGAACTGTGGTGGACGTGGTCTTTACGGCTATGTCACACTAAACGGCAAGCTCCCAGAGGGGACACGTGGGCCCACGAATGATGAGCCGTCGTCGACAACAACAGTAAGTCTTGCTGATTCTTGCCTTGCTTTGACATGATTCTGCTGGTCAAGATTCCACCATGACGAACCTACTGTCTGGTTAACGACACTGATTTACCGAACGCCGTCCTCATTCTATGCGCTCTGCCCTCGAACCAACGAAGAAGCAAGTGCTTGCCCTCACCTCCAATTGCCGTTCTTGTTGCGTTCGACAGCCAGTGTAGCTAAAGCCCAATGTGCAGTCCGAGGAACCCACATCGACTGAGACAACCCAGGAGGAGTCGACATCACAAGAGCCAAGCACTACCACCACGGCCACGTCAACCGAGGAGGAATCAACCACCACCACAACTGCCACCACAACTGTATGACCAATTCGCCTTGACGATGCATCTGTGATGGATTGTGATGTTGTCCAGACTGCGAATGCCTTTACTGACATATCTTTGCCCAGACCAAGTCGAAAGCCGAATCAACAACGACGACTGAGACGGATACGGATGACCCGCAGTCAACCACAATGACACAGACTGTGACTACTGACGGCGAAGTGAGGACGGTCACTGTCATCCCTACAATCACCAGTGACAGCGGCAACAGCGGCAACAGCGGGGAAAGCGCCAACGACTCGACCGGGTCACAAAGCAAGGATGACGACGGTGGTCTTGGCACTGGCGCCGTTGTTGGCATCGTGGTCGGTGTTATTGGTGCTGTCCTTGTTGCGGCGGGAGTCATTCTGTTCTGGTTCTTCAAGCGCCGCAAGAGGAATCAGCAGAGTGATTTCACGGAGGACCCGAGTGTCCGTGGCAACTCGTCGGATCGGGTGGGCTCCTCGAACCCCGAGATGAGCATGGGCGCTGGCGCACTCTCAGGCGCCGGCAGCAACTCGCCCACATCTACCAGCAACCGGAACAGCATGCTAGCTATCGATCCACGCATGGATCCCTTCAAGCAAGGGCTGTACATGCGCACCGGCAGTCATGAGAGCATCAACACTCTGCGCGACGACCATGACTATTCGAGGCGGATCCAATCGCCCAAGGTCCTCCGGGCGACAAATCCGGATCCTGATAACCACGGTTGATGGTCTCACCCGCCTTGATACATTTGTGATCTAGGCCTATATTCCTTGAGGACGTCTTGGAACATCAGATAAATCATGACGCGCATGAACTTTCACGCTGTCTACACTGCGAGTCGGGTTGCCGGTGGTCGGGATACTCTTTGCATTTTCGAGATACCAGGATGGCGTTTGCACCTCCCGGCCACGCACTCACTCACACATACACACACAACACACATCGCATTACCGCTCACATCATATTGCGCGGCACTGCACGTCAAGCGCCTCGGCGCGAGTGCAGCAGGAGAAAAGTATTTGTGCCACACTTGCACATATCACTATCTTTTCGAGTTCCCGAGTGCGTCATTCATCACCATCGCTAGGCGCGGCAGAGAACACGAAATAGCAGTAGCAGCAGCAGCAGTAGCAATGATACAGCAGGGAATAATGCAGTTCGCTACGGCATGGAGAGAGGATGCGACGGGCAGATTCTTGTACATATATTGTTGACGATCCTGGTTTGAGCGTACGGTAGATACACAGCACCATGGCATAGAGCGCCCAATATGAATTGCATTTGCATAAGATGGATGTACCTTGTCACCGCGGCACGCATGCAAGAGTCGTCAGAGATACCTGAGTAGTCAACGTAAATTATCATTTGTATCTCTTCGCCTTCCTACCCTAACGCCATTCTCATGCTGTACATCGGCAACTGAAGAAAAAAAGAAGATGATAAAAAGGGAAAAAAAACTACGGGAATGGAAAATCCCCATCCACATTGCATCGCACTCTCTGATATCTCTTTCTCTTCCTTGTGTTTCATCCTTGCACATTGATAGTACAAGTAGTGAGTATGGGTAACAGATACTGCCGCCGCAGCCGCCGTCAGACACGCTCATTCTCCATCCTCCGTGGTTGATGGTGCAACCTCCGCCCGGACATGTCTGGTGTAGCGTTCAATTTTTTCATAGCGGACAATTGCGTGCCCTAACGCCGTTGTCGTTTGTCGCGACTATGGTCACCGGGAGGGCCTTGGGGTGGTGGTGGTAATTGTGATGGTGGCGCTGGCAACCCCGAGCCATCGTCTGTCCTCCGTCGGCGACGATCGTCACCGCCTCGGCTGCTGCGGCTGCCGTCATCGTTGCGGTAGCGCCCTGAGCCAGAGGACGATGGTGGCGGGAGCATGCCGTCCTTGAGGAGGCTGCCGCCGCCGCCACTGGCTCCGTTTTGTCGACGAGACGACGAGTCGCGGGACTCGCTGCCGCCACCGGCACCAGATCGTCTGCCTTCCCTCTCGCGGTATTCGCGGTGGTCCTTGTGCTCCTTGTCACGGGCAGGGCTGCGCTCTCGCTCGCGGTCCCGGCTGCTGCGGCGGGAACGGTAGGATCTATCGGACCTGTCCCTGTCCCGGTTGTCGCGACGGCCGCGGCTGTCGTGGCTGCCGCTGTTGCTGCTCTCCTCGAAGCCGCCGTTGGAGGGTTTGCTTCCCATCATCGGGTCGGCACGCTCGTGACCGGGGGTCGTGACGGGCGAGCCTCCTGTGAGGACCTGCACATCCGAGTTGGCCAGCATGGTGCGTGGCTGGCCTCGACGAGGGCCGCTGCCTGCGTTGCCGCCCCCAACGCCACCGCCGACGCTGGGGCTGTTGGCCTGCAGTACGTTGTTGATGCCAGCGAGCTGCCTCGTGCCTTGTCGGGCATTGTTGTTGTTCGGTGGTCGATCCCTCGAAGAGTTGTCGGCCGCGGCCGCGGCAGCCGCAGCGTGCGCATTGGCACGAGGGTCACTCCTGGGGCGATCTGGTGCATCGGCAGTCGGGCCTTGCTGTGCGGGGCCAGGTCCAGCTGACGGTGACGCCGGCGCTCCTCGTCCAGAGTTGCCAAGCTGGGCCAGACGTGCGGGATGGACTCCCCCGCCAGACGGAGCGTCGTTCATGTTCCTTGATCGATCATTGTGATGTGAGTGACCGCCCCCGGGTCCCATAGGCGGCTGATTGGGCGGACCAGGGGGGGGAGGTCCGTCGTTGTGTCGGCCACCACCGTGTCCACCAGGCCCATGTGAGTGCGTACGTCCGGATGCAGGCCCGGTAGGCGGCTGACGTTCTGGCGCTTGTTGCGTGCTGTCCTGCTGCGGGTGCGGCCGCGGCGGTAGGGGCCCAGACGAGGAATGGCCCCCATAGCGCTGGTCAGATCCAGGCGCGCTGGGAGAAGGCAGAGGGTGTGCGTGTCCGTGACCCTGAGGACCAAGGTGTCCGCCCCTAGCACCACGTCCGCGACTCCTAGGGCCGGAGGGGATGTCTGGGGTCGACTGCACGGGGTTGAGTCGCCCGTAGTTGGAGTCTTCGTGGGCGCGAGGGTCAAAATTCTGACGCATAGTGTCCGGTCCACTGGGGAAAGGTCGGTCTCGGGGACCGGGGGATCGCTCGCGGCCACTACGAGCAGGCGGACGACCATCATATGATTGATCGAGCTGGCCAGGGCCGCCTCGTCGCGGGGAGTGCGTCCTTCCACTTCTGTCTCTCACGTCCTCTCGGCCGGGCCTGGACGGTGTACCACTGGCATCAGCAGCTGGGCCGCCTAGCAGGGCTGCCCGGTCGGGGTTGATGTGTTCCGGTGTCTCAGCCGGCCCAAGACGGCGTCCACGACTCGGCTTTTCCGAGTCACCGACACCACGAGGTCCGGGGCCAGAGCCGGGCGCATCGTGACGCAGCAGCGCCGCACGCTCGGGGTTGATGGGCAAGTCGGGATTTTGAGGCGTTGGCAGTTGATGAGCGGACGGTGGTCGCTCAGGAGGGAGCTCACTCACCCTGCCGCCGCCACGGCCTTCACGCAGAGGCCGTTCGCGCTCCTGGCCGGGAACGGGTCGTGGCCCATGATGCGATTCGCGGGGGTCGAGGCCACGTCGGTCCGGCGGTTGGCTCATGTTGTGCTCCGCCCAGTCCTTCTCCTGACGCCAGTTGTCACGCGGATCGTGTCGATGTTCGCGAGTATCGCGTACGTCACGAGTCCCTCGCGAATCGGAGCGAGGGTCCCGAGCAGGGAGTCCTTCTCGTGGGGAGCTGCGCGCGTCCTGCCCTTCACGGCCACTTCGAGTCTCCCGAGGTTCTCTGGTCTCCCTGGGGTCACGTCGGTCGCCTGGACGAGCAGGTGTGTGAGCGAAACGATCACTACTGTTAGGGTGAGCAGGTATCGGGACATCCGGACGAGTGGGCAGGTGGTGAATGGGGCGATTCGGCAGGTTTCCAGGTCTGTTGTTATCGTTCCTGGACGTCGAGGAGCGTGAGGTATTGGATGAGGCCATGTCTCTCTTTGGTGTATCTCGTCCATGGGCAGGCGAGGGCTTTGACGGGAGGGAGTCGGTATTGGACTTGGCTGGTTGACTTGACCCGTCTGCGCCTCTTGTCTTCGCGGCATCAGCCACCTCGCCATCTTCCGCGTCGTTGCCACCGCCAGCCCTTCTGGTGTCGGCGCTTGTTGGCTTGAACTCGGCCGCTGCCGCGTTTAAGCCACCCTTGTCTTCGGACTTCTGGCCGCCTCCCACCTGCTCTGTGTTAATCGAGCGATTCGTGGACTGCGTTGGGGATGTACGTACCGAATTAGGGCGGAAGGCTTGAACCATCATCCACTTGGGTTTTCGCCGCATCAGTTCAGACAATGTCCCCTGGGCCGCCACAGACAAGTCCACACGGTGAGCCGCCTCCTCGTCGCCGGACGACTTGGACGAGGCACCCTCTCTCTCGTGGATGGTCTCGAGCTGCCTCATAAACTGCTTGGCCTGGAAGTCGATTGCAGGGAAGAAGTCAATGACGCGGTTGAGCACAGTCAGTGCGTTGCGGATGTGCATCCACTCCATGCCGCCCAGACAGCTCTTGAGAGCCGTGTTGAGATTCCTGTGCCACTTGAAAAGCATGTCCTGGAATTGTGCGTGCTCGACAAACGTGCTGGGCTTGCCACTCTCGTCAACTGTCAGTGCGAAGCCAAGCTTAGGCTGCTCAGCCGGGCCCTTGGCTTCCCGCTCGTAGACGCCAAGCTTTGGGTGATCCTTGCCGGCCTTCTCGGTCGGCAAGGGGGCATTCTTGTGCCACAGCGCTAGGTTCTCCAGGATGAGTGAGAGGAAGCGCCCGACATTCTCGGCTTCCCGCACAGATGTGGCAAAGATCAGGGCGCGGAGACGATTTGCGTTAAAGAGCCGGTCGTAGAGCGTCATGAGCTTGAAGCCGGGCGCGTTGCACTCGTGTATCATCCTGATGAAGCGATAGGTGTACTCAGCATCGGCTGGCGAGACAACCACACGGGGCAAGAAGCAGCTCTCCAGCAGCTCGTCCGCAATGGCCTCTGGGCTTGGCTTGGGGTCAGGGAACGCCGACTGGAAGTGCTTGGAGAGGTAGAACTTCCACCGACCCTGACGCAACGCGTGCTCCTGACGTTCCTCGTGCAAGCCGATCTGGAAATTCATAAGTTCCTTTCTCTTGGCGAGCCTGCGGTCCATCACACGGCGATTCGTCATGTCCGTTCGATCTTGGGCCAGAGCCTTCTCGGTTTGCTCCACATGCTTGGCCTCTTGGCGGTAGATGTGATCTGGGCAGTACAGATCACCCAACTGGAGTGCCCAGAAGGTGACGAAGAGGTCGGGCGTCATCTTTTCCCAGACGTCAGCAGGCAGAATGTCCCTGATGGACTCGGCGATGGGGGTGAGAACAGCGCCATCGAGGGACGGCTCGTCGGCCTTCTGAACCTCTGTCGCCGTCGTCTCCTGGCCCGTCTCTTTCGCAGATCCCGCCTCGACCATCTTCGCATCCCCATCCTGGTCTTTCGCGGCATCCTCCTTCCCCTGTGTCTCCTTTGGCTTCCAAGGAAACATTCGGTGCGAAAGGCTGCTCCTTCCAATGTGGAACGCCAGACTGGCGTCCAGTCCAAACGTCTTCATGAGGTCCAGTATCGAAGGGACAAGTTTATCAAAGGTGGCTGGATCAACGTTGGCCCAGAGAAAATCGACATACTGGTACAGAATCTTGTGCGAGTCATCAACAATCGTCGACAGATACTTGATGTGTGCTTCGTCCTCATCAATCTGGTACGGACGCGCTTGTCTGAACTGGGCGAGGTTCGTGAGGATCTGGGATGCTAGCTCGGTTTCCGTCAAGGCCTGGATCAGACGTTTGGAGCTCCGGGCGTTGTCGTAGCGCAGGTCGCCCGACTTGACGAGGGTCTGCTTGCGGAGGTACTCGCCGCCCGCCATGCCGAGGATCTGGTCGTACGAGAAGTCGGATGCGTCGACAATGCCGCCCATGGAGGAGAGGAGCTCCTTCAGGATGACCAGGTCGGTCGAGTTGCCAAGCGACAGCTGCTCATCGACATAGCTGAGCACCGGCACGGGTGTGAGGTTCGAATAGCGGCGATATACTTTGCCAACAAAGCGCGACAAGGCCGAGAGCCACTTGCTGGTAGTCAGGGCGTGCTCGGCCTGTGTGCGGCTTCGGGGCTTGCCCAGGGAGCTCAACAGAGACCAGATCAATACGTCGTACGACAGGTCCGTGAAGTACTTGGCGCACTCAACAAACGCCTCGATCAGATTCGGGTACGACTCCAACTGGCCAAAGGCGACGGTGAAGACGACGCCGGGCGAGGAGTAGGAGGTTTTGGCCAGGCGCTTGGCCATCTCGCTTAGGTTGGTTAGCGAGACACGCTTCATGGTCGCTCGCGTTTCCGCCCTGGCACGCTCAAAGGCCGTCTTCATGCTGGGCAGGCGGGAGGTCTGGCCTTCAAACCACTCGGCGTACAGGGCGTAGCGGGTGGTGGTGTCGAAACGCTTCAAGAGGGTCCAGATAGCATCCACCACCGAGGCATTTGCGTGGGTATGGCTGAGCGCTGGCAGGAGGAGGCGTTTCGAGAGTTCCCTCCAACGAGTCTTGTTCGACTCGGAGGGATCAACATGCAAACTCTTGGCGCCGATTGTGGCCAGCTTGCTGAGAAGGGCAGCGTCCTTGCCAATGTTGACGCCGGAGAAGTTGAGGAAGGACTCGCAGAGCGTGAAGATGTCGTCGACGGTCTGGCAGACGGGTATGTTGTCGGTCCATTCATCCCAGTAGTAGTGGTAGTCCTGGTTGTCGCCATGGTCGTTCTTGTCCGGCGTTGGCCACTTGAGGGTCTTCTTGATGGTCATTGGGCTGACCTTGACGCTCCCCTTGGGCACGCCTGTTTGGTCGTAGTCTGGCATATTCTTGACGGGACATGTGGTCGATGTCGAGAGTTTGGGCTTGGACTCGTCAAAGACCTTGCTCACACAGACATGCAGAATACGATGGATGCCATCGAGCACGTCTGAATATGCCTCGGGTATCCAGGGGAAACGACCAAGGATAAAAGTGGCTTCTGGCAGTGCGCCGATGGTAAGGAGTTGGATAAGAAGAGACACCTTTTGCTCATGGGGTTCGTCCTTTTTGGCCTCCTCAGGCTCCTTCTTCGTCGTCTGCGCCTTGTCAGGCTCATTTTTGCCTGCTGGCAGTCGGCGAGGGCCCGCGTGTGGATTCTCGTCCTCATCGTTGGTCAGCGCGCCAGCCATCAGCAAAGCATTCATAGAGCCACCGCGTGCCTTGCGTTCGGCCTCCTCCACCTCCTTCATCTTGGCCTCTCGGACCTTCTCCATGCCTTCGTCGGGTGGTGACAGGTGCGGGTAGAGATCGGGGAACGAAATGAATCCAATTTTGATGAGGAGCGCGGCAAGGTAGAGCAGATTGGCAGGCAGTACGTCGGTAGGGTCGCGGTTCGGCGAGTAGTAGAAGAGCAGCTTGAAACCAAGAAGGTTGGCGGCGACATAATTGCCATGGGGCGGTATTGTCTTTGTGATTTCGACCCATGCTTTCCGCGCCGCGACGACGGCATCATCGCCATCCTTGCTTTGCCAGGCATCGCTGTGTGGATGAGAGATGCGTCGGCCACCGATTTCGAAAAAGGCCTCGGTTCGCACCTCGCGCGCTCTGGTCCAGAAGCTGACATCCCGAAGCAGGCGCTTGGCGCTGTTCCCTGCCTCGTCCTCATCTGTTGTTAACCACGCTGGGTAGCCTGGTGTGGCCCACGTAGGCAGGCCGCCGACGAAAGAGTCGTTCCCTTGGACGAGACCACCCTTGGGCCACCAGGAGCTGTCGCGCAGGAGCCTGACGAAGAACTTGAACTGCTTGACGAGCATAACGGCAAACACGTCCAAGGTCACATCAAGTGTGCGGCCCACGTCAATGTCAAAGGTACCCACGAGGGCCTTGATTCGCTCAAATGTCTCCTTGGGAACGTCCGTGCTGAAGTTGTCGCTCGTCATGTGCAACTCTGTAATGAGCTTGGCGTATCCTTCCGACTCCTCGCGAAGCAGGTTGTAGTTGGCCTGGCGGTAGAGATAGTTGGTCGCATGCTTGACGCCCGTCCTATCGAATTGATTCCGTACAAGACCAAGTTGCGAGAGGACGTTTGCATCCAGCACGCGCCGCGCCAAGTCGACCGAGATGCCCGTCTCCTCGAGAAAGACGCCTAGGGTGGGTACGAAGCCGCCCGCGCCGACGTCGAGAATGAGCTGCAGCAGGTCGAGAAGAAGATTATGTGGTGAGAACACGGGTTCTTTAGACGAGTTGGCCTCACCCAGCATCTCCCTGACACAGCGCCCAGCCTCTGTTGGCGGCATGCGCCCCTCCATCACCGAGTATATGAATTCCTGGAAAAGCAATGAGAGCTCTGCTGTGTCCTGGTCATCACGAGACTGGCAGCCGTGGCTGACAATCCGATTTCGTGAGCCATCGGTCCAGCTCTTGAGCTTTTCGTCTGTGAGGTGTTCGTATCGGCGGTCGGAAGGGGCAGGATTCGTGGATGCCGGTGTGGGCGGCTGCATTGTGGTCTTCGTGGGCGTCGTGAAAGATTTGGGAGGCGCTGGTGTCGTAGCTGGCGTCGTCGGGGGGCCACCGCCGTGCGCGTTCGCTTCTCTGCGCGAAGGCGACGGGCTTGGCTGCGTCTGGTTTCTACCGCTCTGACTAGCCGAAGAGTCTCGACGATGGAAGCTGTTGTTCCTATGGCCTCCCGCGCGACCGCGACCCCGGTTGCCAGCGTCTCGATCATGCTGAGCGAGGGACGTGTCACCTGGGCGGTGCGGTGAGGGTCGCCCACCCTCCGGGGGAGCGGGTTCGGGGCGCTTGCGCTTCTGAGGCATGGCTCAGGAAGAGTCGCTAATGGTAATTATGGTGTGTGTATCATTTGAAGGCTGTTTTTTTTTTTCCGTGCACGGGAAGCTGAAGTGGTGATCAGCAGCGGGTCCTCAAACGGTCGAAGAGAGCGGGTGGGTTGCGACAAACATCGTGAGGGGGCTTCTCGAATCGAAGTCGCAGCTGCTCTTGAGCTGTAGTAGATGGAGCACAGGGTTGGAGCCGTCCAGAACGCTTTGCAGGTTCTTCTTTACGCTGGCGTTGACTGTACGCAGTCGTGAAGGAAGCGACAGAGCTGTGTGCGAGAGCTCGCGGTTGGAGACAAAGAGCAAAGCTCAGGCCAGCGCGGCTCGATGTGAATGGAGTACTCCGTAAGGTAAGGGCGATCGAGCAAATTAAAGGCTGACGCGATTCAGCAGAGGCGGAGAGAGGAAGAACGGCGATTGTCGCGTCGCTGTGCGGGAAACTGGAGCGATCAAGCGATGAACATCAATCGTCCGTCTGTCAGGCAAAAATGGCAGGCAACGAACGAGCGTCGCGAATTCACGTTGGGAACGGGTTACGTAAGGCTTGGCGATTTGCCTGTTTGCCTGTGCGAATGAAGGCAGCCAGTGACAGCAAATCTTGCATTGATTGTGAGTGTCTGGCCCTGGCAAATACGCAGATTCACCGAACAAACTTTTGGGCCTGTCACACACCGGACTTCCAGGTTGTTGATGATTCACACCATCGTTCACGTCCAAGTCCAAACGCTGCTGCTCGCCTCACTTGGCCCTGTGGCTTGACGTGCAAGAACAGCCAGTCTCTGTGGCTGCAGAGGCGATCGCTGATTGGGCGCTGAGTCATTGGGGTCCTCCGAAATCCGCTGCTTCCATGAGCACGACATCGTCATGAACGTGGAGGAGACATTTTCACGCCTCTGTCTGATACCCGGACCATTTGAATATTCCACACGTGGATTTCGCTTCAGACTTGATCAATTGGACATTTTGGGGCAGCAGTATCTCTGTTCTATTTGAAGAGACACTCTTCTTGGCGGTACTTGTCACGCAGCGGCCTCTTCCTGCGTCCAACTGCCTCACCGAGGCCTCACTCACCTTCGAGGCTTGCCAGCCATTCTTCCCAAGACATCCGTCCACCATGTCTTCACAGTCACAAACCCCCGCAGACGTCTCGAAAGGGACATGCACGGCTCGTTACGGTCAGTACACCCCCCAACACCCAAATCCATTGGCTGCCGACATCGGCTGGCTGGTTATGCCCCAAGGACGGTGACTGAATACCAGGAAGAAAGAACGCACAAGCAGCCTGAGAACCCGTTTGCTGCGCTCATCCCTGAGCAGCAGTTTGCCATCATCCCCGAGTTCACGCTCGAGTCGGGCATTGTGTTGAAGAATGTGCCAGTTGCGTACACCGTACGAGGCACGCTCAACGCCAACGGCGACAATGCCATGGTCATCTGCCATGCGTTGACTGGCAGCGCCGATGTCAGCGACTGGTGGGGGCCCCTTTTGGGCGGACCCGGGCAGGCCTTTGACGAGACGCGCTTCTTCATCGTCTGCATGAACAGTCTGGGCAGCCCGTACGGCTCGGCGAGTCCGGTCACGGCAAAGGACGGGAACCCAGAGAACGGACACTACGGACCCGAATTTCCCCTGACGACAATCCGCGACGATGTCAAGTAAGCTATCAACGCTAGGCCCTGTGCGCATGCAAGATGGGTGCTAACCTTGGAAGCCTCCACAAAATGCTGCTGGACGATTTGGGCGTCAAGCAGGTTGCCGCTGTGGTTGGAGGATCGCTGGGAGGCATGTTTGTGCTCGAGTGGGCATACTTTGGCAAAGACTACATCCGATGCATTGTGCCCATTGCCACGTCGAGCAGACACAGCGCATGGGGCATCAGCTGGGGGGAGGCGCAGCGCCAGAGCATCTACGCGGACCCCAAGTACGACGACGGCTACTACGCCTTTGACGATCCGCCGTCGACAGGGCTGGGTGCCGCGCGCATGTCGGCGCTGTTGACGTACAGGAGCCGCAACTCGTTCGAGTCGCGCTTTGGGCGGAATATCCCCGACCCAGCCAAGGTGCAGACCATCAGTGGACGGACGCGACCGGCGACGCCTGGCGAGGCGCACTTCCACATCCACAACGACGGCCACATTGTGAAGCGCTCGTCCATTTCGCGCACCAACAGCGAGAGCACGATTGGCAAGGGCGCGGCGCTCATCGAGCAGGGCGTGTCGGCAGACCCCCAATTCCACGGGCCCGCCTCGTCGTCCAACGGCGGGGGTCTGACAGGGGGCGACGCGGCGATGCCGACGTCGACATACTTCTCCGCGCAGTCGTACCTCCGGTACCAGGGCACCAAGTTTGTCAAGCGGTTCGACAGCAACTGCTACATCGCCATGACGCGCAAGCTGGACACACACGACGTGTCGCGCAACCGGGCGGCGACGATTGGCGAGGCGCTGGCGCAGATTGAGCAGCCGACGCTGGTGCTGGGGATCGAGAGCGACGGGCTGTTCACGTTTGCGGAGCAGCAGGAGATTGCCGAGCACGTGCGGGATGCACGGCTGGAGCGCATCGAGAGCCCCGAGGGCCACGACGCGTTCCTGCTGCAGTTTGAGCAGGTCAACCGGTACGTGCTGGGCTTTCTGAAGGAGGTGCTGCCGGACATTATGGGCAAGGGGGGCGTGACGCCCGAGGCGGTGTCGGTTGGCAAGCTCACAAAGTCGAGCACGTTTGGCGAGGCCGAGGTGGAGGACATAACAGCGTGGTGATGGTAGTTGCAGCGAACATGTTCAAGCAGACTGTTGTCCACCGTACGTGCGTGTATGTAAGCAAGCTCACTTTCCCTTCTAGAAACCTTGCCATGCGGCAGACGAGACGCACGACGTGAAACGCGCGTCCGACGGCGCCATTGGACATGCAAGGCAGCGATGGCCAGTCCACAGGCCGTCCACCAGTCACGAGACGCAGCCGACGCACGCTCCACGGCGTTTGTCGGCCCTGTAGCTCCCATTCCCAATCGAGGAGGTCATCCATGTCGCCAGCTCAGCTCAGGTCAGCCGGGCTTCCACTCTTCTTCGAGGGCTCGGCTTGGATGGCGAACGCTGTGAGCGCGCTCATTGCCTGCGTGAGTGACTGATGCTTGCTTGTCGCTCGTACTCCGTACGTATTTACGTACCATGAACATGACTCTGTCTCACCATATCAGCGCGACTCCACAAGGCGTGGACCGACCAGCTCGTCGACCCGCCGCTAAACCGCCGACGGGCCCGTCCCATTGTTCTAGAGGCTTTCCATTCTTCTGTCGATGCCCCATCCCATCACGTTGCCTTCTGCTTGGCACGGCAGTTTGTCTGTCTGCACTGGTGAGCATCATCACTTCTTCAACGCTGCCCCGTGCGCCTCCCTCTCCTCTCCCCTCCTCTCCAGTTCCGCCGCCCGTATGAAGCGATAGAAGCAGCACCCCTTCCCTAGGCACATTGGGCGGCGACAACCTCGCGCGTGTTTTCTGTCGGACCCCCCGTTGTCGCCGTGTGCCCTGCCCTCTCCCCCTCCCCTCACCAACTCGCCCATCATGGAGGAGAGCCGGCCGCCGCCGCGCAGGGACATGGACCCAGCGACGCAGGACCGCACCGTCGGGGGCAACACGGCATTCCACAACTTCTACAACGACTACTCGCACATTCCCGATCCGAATCTACGCCGTCGACTGGCCCTGTCCGACATTGACAAGGTGCCCTTTGGGTGGTACCACGTGCGCGCCATCCTGGTGGCCGGCGTCGGTTTCTTCCTCGACTCGTACGACATCTTTGCCATCAACCTCATCACGTCCCTCCTGGGCTTGGTCTTTTGGGGCGGAGGCGACCCCGACAATGGCTATGGAGGCAATCAAGGGCACCTTCCGGGGCCCATCAACCAGGCGCTCAAGGCGTCCACGAGCTCGGGCATTATCATTGGCATGATCCTGTTTGGCTGGTTGGCAGAGTGCGTGGCCTTTCTCTCTCTCGATTGTGATGCAGTGTACTGACAACAACCTCCAGCGCCTTTGGTCGTCGACGGATGTACGGATATGAGCTCGCCATCATCATCTTCGCCACGTTCAGCTGCGCCCTCGTCGCCTCCAGCCCAGGCATCGGCTCAGCAGGCCTCATGATCTTCTGGCGCGTGGTCATGGGCATCGGCATCGGCGGCGACTACCCCCTGAGCTCCGTCATCACGGCCGAGTTTGCGCCCACCCGCTGGCGAGGCGCCATGGTCGGCGCCGTCTTCTCCATGCAGGGCCTGGGCCAGCTGGCCGCCGCCGTGGTCGCGCTCGTCATGACCGCCGCCTACAAGGACGCCTACGTCAACGTGCCCAGCGAATCCGCCTGCGACGCGCAGTGTCGCCTCGCCGCCGACCGCTCGTGGCGCATCATTGTCGGCGTGGGTGCCCTCCCGGCCTGCCTCGCCCTCTACTACCGCCTCACCATCCCCGAGACGCCACGCTACACGTTTGACGTCCAGCTCGACGTCGACAAGGCCGACAGGGACATCCAGACCTACATGGCCAGCAAACACCCCAAGGACGAGGTCAGCGCTCTCCCCACGCACACACGCCAGCACATCATCGCTGGCCCGACGCTCGACGCGCCGCAGGCGTCGTGGCGCGACTTTGCCACCTACTTTAGCGAGGGCAAGAATTTCAGGGTCCTCGCTGGCACCTCCATGTCGTGGTTCTTTCTCGATCTGGCCTACTATGGCCTAGGCCTGAATAACAGCATCGTTCTGCATGCCATTGGCTACGGGGCCGGTGCCAATATGTACGACAAGCTGCACAACCAGGCCGTGGGCCTGATCATACTGGCCTGCGCAGGGTCCATACCGGGATACTGGGCGGCCGTCTTCACGATAGACACCTTTGGGCGCAAGCCCTTGCAGATTGGGGGGTTCCTGCTCCTCACCATTCTGTTCAGTATCATTGGCTTTCGGCTGCATTCGCTGAGCGAGAAGACACTTCTTGGGCTGTATGTAGTTGCGCAGTTCCTCTTCAACGCGGGCCCGAACACGACGACCTTTATCGTCTCGGGCGAGTGCTTCCCCACGCGATACCGAGCTCTGGCCCACGGCATATCCGCAGCCATGGGCAAGCTGGGCGCTGTCGTCGCGCAGGTCATGACCATCCCCATCCTGAACCACGGCAAGAAAGACGGTTGTACCGGGAATGAGTGCTCTCCGCATCTCGATCGCCTGCTGCAGCTGTTCGCGCTGTTCATGCTCCTGGGCACCTTGGTGTCGCTGCTGATCCCGGAGACCAAGGGTCTCACCTTGGAAGAGCTGGCTGGGGAGTCTCGCACATCGTACAACGCAGGCTGCAATGGCAGTATCAATCTGGCTCCCTCGAGGGGGGGTTGGAATCCCTTTTCCGGTGGACAGCCCGCGGGCTTCGCCTACCCAAAGGCGCACGCGGCCGGCTTTGCAAAGGGGACGCGCTCACGGGGAACCACCAATACGACGTGCGGGACACTAGACAGCATACGACGAAGACGAGCACCGTTCTGGAGGAGCCGAAAACGGGCGCGCACGAGCAGCAACGACACGTCCGACATTGTGCTCGACGCTGGGGTCTCGGCCGCCGCGGAGAGCCCCCTGCCACCCGCGACACCAATGCGAGGCAGCGGCGTGTCCTCCCCACCGCACCAGCAGATGCCCATGTGGGGAGCGGGCTGGGGACGGATCGACCGTGGCACGCCGACAGTGGAGATGGACGAGGTGCGGCTTCATGACGTTGGGTCCTTGCTCCCTTCGCCCAGGGAGTCGTTGACGTGATGGATACGGGGGTTTTGTTTTGAGCGTTCCATGAACTTGCATATGATACCACTTAGACCTGGGCTTGGCGCATGTCGAGACGAATACGATTTGGCGTGAGTACAGCGCCATCTTCTGACCACTCGATATGTACACCTACCTACTACTCCTGCCCGTCGACTCGAAGTCGACCGTGCTCGTTCCAGGACACGCAAATCTCCCTCGACCCGCCCCTGGCGGCGACGCGATGCTTCAAGCATGGGATAGACGTTCGCTGGGACAAAATGTTGGTGTTGGGATCGGCTTTGAGCACCAGTGGCTCTACTGGCTCGTCCTGCCTGCGCCGACAAACCATCGCTGAGACTTGAAAGCGAATGGGGGCGCCTGCAAGGCGACGTGCGAGGTTGGGAGATGGATAGAACACGTTTAATTTGGCAGAACTGACTACGCTTCACACCGATCATATGAAACCCAAGGGGGGCTTAATATGAAAGATATCTATCTCCACCTTGGCGGCTGAGGAAGCCTTTGGGTGATGCACTTCATGGTTCTGAACAGGCCCCCCCGGGGAAAATCTCCTCGGATAAGTCAAGTTCCTCGCTAGCGTTTGCTGTGACGTTGTCTTACTCAAGATTGCAGATATCAGGTCCGCCGCTCGCTACTCCTATACCATGTGCTCGCCATCTGCATCCTCCCACCACCAGCCAGCGGACTACAAGCGCTCAGCTGCAGATAACACGTCAGACTCAGCTTACCTTACCTTACCCCGCTTGCGCCTTTGACGGTTGCTCCTTTGCGAAACCCATTAATGTTGCCGTTCATGCTCCTCGTTGAAAACTTCGTCTTTCGTCTACTGCTGTATATTGCGACTTTGCCGGCGCATCCCCTTGATCCTCGATCAAGATGGAACGCATTTTTGGGAGAGCCAAATCGAAGGCCAGGAATCTATACAGAGGAGCCACTCCTGAATCTAGCTCAGTCACCTCATCAGTACTTTCGACTCTGCCGACGCAGCCAGCACCAGGGATCGTAACCCAGCCCCCGGTGGATGCTCCGCGTACGACCCAAGTGGGACCATTACCGTTGCACAATCTACAGGAGCAGATCTGGAACCAAGCGTACGATGATTTGAGACAAAAGGAGCCAAAGATTGTGCTAGCCTTTGAAAACACTGTAGCTGCTGAGCTTGAACGATGTGGTACAAGCTTCGCATCAGCCGATCGAACCGAACACGAGCCCACCGTAGACGACAGAGAAGTCAGGTCGTTTCAAATGCAGCAGTTGGTTCAGAATGGACTAGATCGGACGAGAAAGGGGGCATCTTTCAAGCAGGGAATTGATGATAGCTTGCAAGCAGTGCGTGCTATCCGGGGAATCATGGACAGGGCTGTACACGCAGCTCCGGAAGCTGCTGTTGTGTGGGCCACTGTGTGTCTCGGCCTAGAGGTGTGTGATCTAACTTCCCGACACGCGCAAAGGCGTGTGACTGAATCTGGATAGATCCTCGAGAACCCCGTTGCTGAGGCTTTGGAAAATCGCAACGGCATTCAGTACGTGCTATCTAGGATGGAGTGGTACTGGAACTTGGTGGACCTCCTCCTTGACGAGAATAAGGCCGAGGCATCTACGGCAGCACTTCGAGACAAATTGAGGCAGAACATCGTACGACTTTTTGAGAAGCTCCTCTCGTATCAGATGAGCAGTATCTGTCTTTACCATCGCAATGGGGCTGCCGTCATCGGCAGAGACATCTTTCGCATTGACGACTGGGCTGGCCAGCTCAGCAGCATCAAGGAAGTAGAGGAGGCTGTGCAACGTGATTTGGAGCAGTACAACACTCAACAGGCCAACATACGACTGCAGAAGCTCAACGTCACTGCCGCCGCCTTGGAAAGCAACCTACAAGATATCTTTGCAGCGCTGCGGGACCAAAGGGAGCACCAGACGAAGAGAGACGAAGATGACAAGGATAAGCAATGTCTCAAGGACCTTCGCGTGACGGATCCTCGCACGGATAAGAAAGAGATTGAAGAGAGAAAGGGTGGATTGTTGAGAGATTCGTATGCATGGATTCGCGACCATGTCGACTTTCAGCGTTTTCGACATGATGGGGAAAGTCGACTCCTCTGGATCAAGGGAGACCCTGGCAAAGGCAAGACAATGCTCATGTGTGGCATCATTGATGAGTTGGAGCGAGACTCTTCAGTCTCGCTCTTCTACTTTTTCTGCCAAGCCACGGGTGGTGATCGACTGAGCACAGCGACATCTGTCCTGCGAGGCCTCATTTTTGACCTTGCGCGCCACAACACACAACTCACAAAGTACGTGCGGAAGAAGTATGACTACGCCGGAAGAGATCTCTTCTCCAGCGTAAATGCCTGGCAAGATCTCTCTGAAATATTGCGTGCCATGCTACAAGATCCAAGCCTTGTCAATGTGGTTTTGGTCGTTGATGCCTTGGATGAGTGCAGCGTAGACCGGATACGCCTTCTCGACTTCATTTCCACACCTTCGCCTGCCAAGTGGATCGTGTCAAGCCGCAATTGGTTGGATATCGAAGAGAGTCTCGGCGGTGCCGAGCAAAAGGTCAAACTTCACCTCGAACTGAACCAGGAGTCGATTTCCAAGGCCGTTGATTCTTACATCAAGTACAAGACGGATCAGCTGGCACAGAAGAAGAACTATGATGAGCAGATGAGGGACGCTGTTTTGCGTTACTTGACGGCGAACGCCAACGGCACATTCCTCTGGGTCGCTCTGGTTTGTCAAGAGCTGACCAAGCCTACCATCCGAAAACGACACACTTTTAATACACTAAGATCGTTTCCCCCGGGGCTTGTTCCTTTATTCGAACGAATGCTGTCAGAGATCTCTCACTCAAGGGATGCGCCACTTTGCAAGGAGGTCCTCGCCACTACCTTGGTCGCATACCGACCTACTGTCCTGGAGGAGCTCAAGGTCCTCGTTGGAGGGCTAGGGGACCTGCATAAGGAAGAGATTGAGGAAGTAATCAGCTCATGTGGCTCTTTCCTGACTCTCCAAAGCGGCCATGTGTCTTTCGTCCACCAATCTGCAAAAGACTACCTTCTGGAAGCTGGATCATGCGTGGTGGTACCTCGCGGTATTGCATGCCAGCACCGCGTCGTTTTCTCGAGGTCATTGGAGCTACTTTCCGCCACACTCCACCGCGACATGTATGACCTGCAGAATCCTGGGCATCCCATTGACGAGGTTTGCGCGCCCGAGAATGATCCGCTCGTTGCTATCCGCTACCCCTGCGTATTCTGGGCTCATCATCTTTCCGACTGGGTATCTCGGATAGATATGCGCGACGAGATACTGGATCCTACTAGCAGCATTGCAGCTTTTTTTCGAAACAGGTACCTTTACTGGTTAGAGGCATTAAGCCTACTACGCAGTATCTCATCAGGGGTGGAATCCATGGAGACACTCGGACATTTGCTTGTAAGCACTCTCGGCATGCAACACCTTCAAGATGTTGTAATAGATGCTCGCAGATTTCTCCTTACTCATAAGGGGATCATCGAGATTGCCCCATTACAAACATATGTCTCAGCTCTCGTTTTCAGTCCAACCAATAGCATCACCAGACAAAACTTTTGTCTAGAAGAGCCAGATTGGATGATACGAAAGCCACGCGTCGAGGCAGATTGGACTGCCTGTTTACAGACTTTGGAGGGCCACCTCAACGAAGTGAACTCGGTGCTCTTCTCAAGTGACAGCCAGCGACTAGTATCAGGGTCTCGCGACAGGACAGTCAATGTCTGGGACGTAAGTTCCGGCATTTGTCTTCAGACTCTACGGGGCCACGAGTCAGCAGTGACCTCACTCTCAAACCACGGTCAGTGGCTAGCATCGGGATCTGAGGATAGTACTATTAAGATCTGGCATCTGGCTTCTGGTACATGCTTGCAGAATTACGAAGGCCACGGAAGTTCTGTACACTCGGTGACATTCTCCACCGACGGTAGGCAGCTCGCGTCAGGGTCACAGGATTGTATAGTCAGGATCTGGGACGTCACTTCTGGTGTATGTCTACAGAAATTAGAGGGTCATACATCTGCAGTGTGGTCGTTAGTATACATGTTCTCAATTGGCGGCCAACGACTGGTATCTGGATCTTGGGATTCGACTATCAAGATCTGGGAAGCGACTTCTGGTACGTGCATCCAGACTCTACAGGGTCATAAATCTACCGTTACCTCGGTGGCAATCTCCAGCGACAGCCAACAACTGGCATCGGGCTCTGGGGATAGCACAGTCAAGATTTGGGACGCGACTTCTGGTATATGCACCCAGACTCTAGAGGGTCACGAAACTTTCGTTACCTCGGTGGTGTTCTCGAGTGACGGTCGGCGACTCGCGTCAGGGTCTGATGATAGGACGGTCAAGATCTGGGATGCAACTTCTGGTATATGCATCCAAACTCTAGAAGGCCATGATTTCCGGTTAACCTCGGTGGTGTTCTCGGACGACGGTCGGCGACTCGCGTCGGGGTCTCTTGACAATACAGTCAAGATCTGGGACGTAACTCCGGGCACTGAGCAGACCCTCGAGGGCCATAATTCCATGGTGAACTCGCTGGTGCTCTCGAGCGATAGCCGGCGACTAGCGTTCGGGTCTGATGATCATACTATTCAGACCTGGGATGCGACTGCTGGCACACATATTCGGACTCTAGAGGGCCATCGCCGTCAAATAGGCTGCTTGGTATTCTCGAGCGACGGCCAGCGACTAGCATCAGGATCATATGACTGCACAATAAAGATCTGGGACGAGGAGTCTGGTCTATGCTTGCAGACTCTAGAAGGCCATGATCTTGGGGTAGAATCGGTGGTGTTTTCGAATAATAACCGTCTACTGGCCTCAGGGTCTTTGGATGGGACTATCAAAATCTGGGACCCGGCGTCTGGTATATGCTCACAGACTCTGAAGGGCCATGATCTTCGGGTTAGTTCGGTGGCGTTTTCGAATGACGGTCAGCTACTGGCATCGGGTTCCTGGTCTCACGAGAGTATGATAAAAATCTGGGACGTGGCATCTGGTGTATGCTTGCAGACTCTCGAGGGCCATGATCGTGGGGTGACTTCGGTGGCATTCTAGAGCGATGCCCAGCGACTCGCATCAGGATCTCCTTTCTACACCATCAAGATCTGGAATCTGACCCTTGGTGTGTGTATGCAGACCATCAAAGTGGGCGGCTCCATCTATCGCCTTTCATTCGATCCTATGAATGACTCCTGTCTTTTTACGAACCGGGGTGCCCTTCATCTAGGAATACCAGCCGAAACACCAACTGTCAATCACATTTCCTTATGTAGCCCTAGGTTTGACGGCTTCGGTATCAGCGCTGATCATGAATGGATTGTGCAGGATGACCAAAATTTACTTTGGTTGCCCTCAGGATATCGTCCTCAGCTTGCGACTATAATATCAGGATCCAAAATTATTCTGGGTCGTGGTTCTCGTCAGGTTGTTGTGATGGAGCTTCGACGGACTTGGCAGTTTCCCAGTTATGTCACTCATTGACTCGGCACATAGTCAGTATTCATAGATGGTGATGGCAAGAACGAGTACAAAATTCGGATACAGAGGAATGGGATCGTTCTTTGATCAATTTTGAGATAATGGTCTTCTTCCTTTCCCTGTGTGCTGCTCACATCAAATTGGAGGAGCAGCTAGAGGCGAAAAAGGCGCCCTTGGAGACTGGGTACGACAGCTCCGAGCACATCGAAGCGGGCGGCAAGAAGTGACCTCGTCTTGAGGTGCGTTGAAGAGCTCCTGATGATAAATGGGAATGGAACCTTGTGCGAAGTTTGCTAGTCAGCTTTTGCTGCTATTTGCTTAAGAACTTACAGTGGACAGCCTGACCTGTTCAAACTTGCAATCTACACGTGCATCAACCCTTGTCTCTTTACAGACTTTAATCTTGCCCTTTCTCTTTTGTTTTCTCTTCTTGTTCTCAAAACCTGACATCGTCCCCCCATGACGCATCACACTCACTACAAGAGCACTACAAGAGTTCCATTAGAAGCGCAGAATCTTCAGAGCCTTGTTCAGTCCATCAATGTCCCGCGTCAGCGCCTCACGGCGGTCGCGATCAGCAACGTCCTCACCGGCCACGTCCTCAAGTTCCGCAGGCTTCATCTGCAGAACGAGTTGGTCACTCAGCGCGGAGAGGGGGCTGCGAGGCCCAAAGAGAAGGCAGTGGTCCACCACCTGCTGGCAGACAACGTCCACGAACCGATCACGTGCAATCTTGTAGTACTCGTGGAGTACGTCGTGGATATCCTGACGCGTTTTCTTGGTCGGGTCGTTGCCCCCAATGTGTTTGTTGAAGAGCGAAGTCAGCTTATCTGCGACGGCAGTGTCCGAGAGCACATAGTCCTGTCTGTCCCAGGACAAGAGTGTCTTTTCCTCGGCATGCAGGTTCTTGACACGCTCAGTCTTGGTGCGGGCGAGAGCCTTCTCAAACGCAGGGTTGTAGGTCATTGCCCGCCCCTGGAACTCGACGCCGAGCAGGAGCTCCGTGTGCTCCATGGCAGCCTGGTAGCGCTGCAGCAGCTCGTCGCTGACAAACATCCACAGCGAGGAGCGGATCGTCTCCTCGGGGCAGGCTACCTCAAGATTAGACTTGATGAAGCGATCTACAACAAGGATAGCATTGGAGACATGAGCGCGCGTCAGGGGCCGCCACTTCTTGGCCTGTTCCTTGAAAATGCCGGACACGACTTCGGCACCAAAAGTGCCCAGCTCGTACCCGCGAGACGTGAGGTACTCCTCTTCAATGTGCTGGAGGATGTCGTCTTCCAAGGGTGCAATACAATCGTAAGGTTCGGCCAAGACGGTGTCCAATTCGCTCAGTTCGTCATCGGGAATGGTAAAGGTGCAGTCGACGCAGTAGTAGCCATCGCGGACGGTTCCCCCTCCAGGCTCACCGTCCTCACCGTCCTCAGAGGCGAACATGCTGTTGACTTCCGGCTCAAGAGTCGTCCCACCACCATTCACCTGATGGCCTTTCGGGAGCGATGAGGAGCTAATCTCACCAACAAAGATGCGCGTGTGTCCTGCTCCGTACAAAGTCTTGGAGAAGACTTCATTGAGCTCGCGCATGCGGGTGATGAGCTTCAGACCAGGCTGCTCTTGGAAGACAGTGTCGCGCGTGTAGTACGCGTCCAGAGCATAGAGCTTCAGCTGAACAAAACGAGAGGCGACCCTGCCGAGCAGAGCCCTCTGTTCCTCTGGGGTGGAGTGAGACGCGCCCATTGCTTCCAGAAGCTGCTTCTTGGTCTTGAGGCGGGCGGAGATTTCGTCTTTCACCTTGGGGATCTCGCTCTTCGTGCGGCTCATGAGGAGCCCGTGGATGCGAGCGCGTAGTGCCGGAATGCCCAGTCGATCATCAGGCAGAGCACTCCATGGGCGTTCTGCAAAGAAGACCTTCTCCTTCCAATGCCTCTCCTCGATGCCGGTGGAGCTGTCGTCCGCGCCTCTGTTCTTGACAACGCAATATCCAAGAGCGAGATCACGGCGCTTCCCGTTGACAAGGTCCACCACGACCTTTTTCGTAGCCTCTCGACGGCCAAGTCAGGCTTGGTCAGGACACCCAGCGTCCTTTTCCCTTCTGGATCAGCATCCGCAGCGTAGCGCAATATCTTTTGGTTCGCGATATCACCATTACGTGGAACCACAGCCAAGATGATTGTGCGCGACTCCCGAATGTATCCTTCCACCATGGTCTTGACCAGCTCAATGTCCGACGTCGTCGTGAGCCCAGGTGTTTCGTTTTCAAACATGCCCGGGACATCAATGACAGTGAGGTGCTGCTCATTGGGGCCGCTGATTTCCACGCGGAGGATGTCCCTGCTGAAAACACTGCCAGCCTTGGCCTTATCTTTGCCGAGGTCGATTCCCATGATCTCAGCTGCCTGTATTCCACGTTAGCATGCGTCGACACGTCTTGACGGCAGGACTTTCTCCTCACCTCTTCAAAAATGGACTCGAAACCATCTTCCTGAAGTGTTTCGAGAGTGCGGCGGAACGTCTGTGCCCTCTCCAGATCCTTGGTGTCTGAAGAGTGCGGGACAATGGACACGGTGACGCTCTGGCTGTCCTCGCGACGACAAATAATTTCCGTGGCATGGCGGGTGCACAGGCTCACGGAACGAGGGAGGTGAAAGCCAGTCAAGGACTCGAGGACGCTGGACTTTCCAGCGCTTTGATCACCGACTACCACCATCTACCGCGTGTTAGCTGTGGCAGATACGAAACGAAACCTAGGAATACCTGTGGCAATGGGACCTGACCCGCGATACCGAGCTCTCGCAGTTTGTCGATCTTGTCAAGCAAGGTTCTGCTGCCTAGGCCTCCGCCCGTATCGACAGCGCGAGAGCCGGTCATGCTGGCTGCGAGACGTGTAGAATAGCTAATTTCAATCGAAAGCTAGATCCCGCGCTTTTTGAGTGAGAGGAATTTGTCAGACCCAAGGAGTGCACTATCCAAAACTGGAGCGTGACGAGTAGAAAGAACTGAGAGAAGTTAACAGCGGAACTGGGGTAAATCGGAGAAAAAGAGGAGGAAGAAAAGAAAAGAAGCGCAAGGACCTTTTGACCATTAATTCACCTAACAAGAAGAAGATCACGCCGCCACACACGCACGCATGCATGCACGGTACTGCGAAGGGCCGAAAGGGGGCCAGGCAGAAGCAATCAAGCTTGAGATCAGCTCATCCACGCAAATGGCACGCTGGAAGCAGAGGAGTGGAATCGGACGAAGTCGGAACTCGAAATTATTGAAGTCAGTGACCATGGAGGTATCGCAGGGAGCCGTGTTGCTCTGACATCGTGCCATTTTGCTCTAGGACTTGCATCTTGAAGCATGCAGTCCGTGGTTCATCATGTTTGTCGAAGCGGCTACCAGCAGACCGCAGGGGCACGTTCAATCAGATGCTGTCTGTCACAATCGCAACCTCAATGTGAGGCGTGGTAGCTTTCGGTATCTTTCTCGTTGATCGCTATGTCTTAGAAGTCAAGCATGTAGTAGACGGATGTCCTGCTTATACCATCAATGGAAACCTGCCACGCACCCTGGATAGCGGGTAGTCCATGGAAAAAGTCTGGGAAGTCGCCTGGTACGTCTCGCACACATCACTCCACGGTCCACACTCTGGTTCGCAGATTGTCTCCTCGTCAGGCACTTTGCCCGTATCCATGTACTCGGCCAGGTGCTTGGCGAGACACTCGCTGCGGGCGCCCCCTGCGACACCGTGGCCCATTGACTCGAAGACGATCAGCTGCGCATCATTGTGCGCGTGCGCCATGGCGCGCGCAGACGTCACGGGCGTGACAGGGTCGAAACGGTTGGCCAGGAACAGCAAGGGCGCCGAAGGGTTGCCCTCCGACAGCGCAGGATCGGCCTTTGGCGTGGTAAAGGGGCCGTTGAACTTCCAATTCGACTCAAAGGGCCAGCTGGAGCAGGCGAAACGAAGGCTAGCCCACATGTCACCCCAGAGCCTGGACGTACTCCGCATCTCTTTGACGTACTTGTGCCAGTAAGCCAGATCCTTGTCTGTGACATCCTCGCCGTCTTGACAGATGACTGAATAGAGCACATCGCGTCTGTTAAGGAGGTTGGTTGTCTTGTTGGCTGGCGCATCGAAAGCTGAGCACCCCGTTTCGAGATTAGGAATCGCGCTGCCCGCGAGCATGTCTACGAGCTCCTCTAACTCGCCATCCATGGAGCGATCGAGCACATGGGCCAGCAATTTGAATGTCTCGATGGGCGAATACATCATACTACCAATCAAGCCGCGGACGTCAGACCCGGTGATCACGGCATTGACGTCGTTGGGTCCGATCAGACCCAAGGGCAACTCGTCGAGGGATACCAGGTAGTCCCAGACACGGCGGGAAATGTCTGTCCAAGAGGCGTCATCCTCGCGCACGAGCTCGCAGTACTCAGGTCCTGCTTCGTAGCACCCCTTGAAAAACTCATCAAAAAGGGGATCCATGTATCGAAGGCTGGTGAGCCACCCCGGGCCATGGGCGTAGTCTTCGATATCGCACACGCTGTCGAGGATGACGCGATGCACCCGGCCGGGATACATGGACGCAAAGTAATTGCCCAACACGGTGCCGTACGAGAACCCAATGTACTGCAGACGCGGTGTCTCGTCGTTGCCGCTGCCACTCCGCTTCTTGAGCTCCAGCCAACTCTGGCCGCGGGTGGCAGCTTCCTTGCTCCGCAGTGCATCGATCTGATCTACCATCTCCACCATGTCGCGCACGACGTTGGGTGTGCCAATGTACTTGAAGATGCTTTCCTCAACCAGCTCATCCGCGCGGGAACACCTCCTGTTGGTGGCCTTTGTGAGAGCGTAGTTGTAGGCTAGGGACTCGGGCGAACCGCCCAGGCCAAGGGTACCACGGGTCTCGAGCGACGTGCCCTGCCTGGCCAGGATGTTACCCGAGTAGCAGTCTGCGGCCGGTGTGCTCTGACCTACGCCGCGAGGGTCGAAGGAGATGATCTCATAGTGCTTTTTGCCCGGCTTGTCCATCGTCTTCTGCAAATGATGCGCTATGCGTGGGATGAATTGCACGCCGGAACCGCCAGGGCCACCTGGGTTCGTGAAGACGGAACCACCAAATGCCGGGTCATCCTCGCCTACAACGGCAGGCAGCTTCATGATGGCGATTGTCGCCCTGCGCGTGTCCGACTCATTCTTCCAGTCGAGCGGCACCTCGAGGCGCGCGCACTTGTACTCGTTGTAGCAGTCGTGGTACTCCAGCTCGGCCTTTGGTTCGACAGCGTCCCAGTCAAAGTCAGAAAAGCGTGCGCTCGTAGCGTCGTCGATCGCGTCAAATGTTGTGCCAAAGGTTGCACCAAAGGCCATCGCTTTGACCAGGGGCAACAGGGTGAGGCCTGCGATCGAGACGCGCATGATGGCCAGGGTAAGCAACATGATAGTGATCGTTTGGCTTGTCTAGGCGTGTCGTCGCGGCAGCGTTGCAGCTGGCGCACTCACGAGTTGAACAAGCAGAGGCTGCTTACTTCAATTGAAAGAGGGGGCCGCATGATGCAGTCGGTGTTGCCTAGACGAGCGAAAAGGTGGCGTTGGAGGAAATCCTACAGCGGCGTGATGATCCATCCATCCGGTGACGGAGGCTCACTCAGATCCCCACTTGTAGATGCGCGGGATACACGCTTGCACGTGTCGCGAGCGAATTCTAGAAGATGCAAAAATACTGAAGAGACGAAAAAAAGGAGTTTTAAAAAGAATTGAACAGATTTTAATTAACTGACATGTGCTTGTGCTTGAGTTCTTGGTAACGATGGTACTCCGTACTGCCAATGGATGATGACGGTTAGAAGTGTTTGGTGTCGACGGATCCAGGCCGGACGAAACAGCTTTGGTGTAGTTATACTGTAAGTGCGTTGGGAGTTGTGGCGGTCTACGAATTTTCTAAACACTCCGAGCGAAAGACAAACAGTTTAAATCTCATTGCTCTTTGATCAAGCTTTCCTTCTGACGAGGCTGAGGCTGGTAATGAACAAGTTGAAGACATGGTTGTCTGCTCAGGGTAGGCGGAGTGTCCGCATGCGGGCTGGCTGAACACAAGCACCAAGGGCGCTGGCAAAACAAAGTCTTTATAAAGCTCAATTTGAGGACCTCAACCATGAATTACCTAAGCCTCTCGAAATCGTCTAGTTGGTTTATGGCGTTGGACTGTAACAGCAAACTTGCTATCCAAATGTCGGCGGTTCGAATCCGCCTTTCGAGATTTCTTTTTGCTCGCGTTGCATGTGAAAAAATTCTAATTTTGCTTACTAACATGTCAATTTTTACCTATATCTACTTTATTGTACTGCCTCCCAGCATCCAGTACTCGAGGTCGTCTAGTTGGTTTATGGCGTTGGACTGTAACTGCAATTTGCTATCCAAATGTCGGCGGTTCGAATCCGCCTCTCGAGATTTCTTTTTGCCTTTTTCTCGTGTCAGCCAATGCTTTCATCTTATCGTTTGCCATTTCGCGGGCTTCTGCAATTTTTGGAGTGTTTTATTCCCACATGTCGCACGGTCGGATGATTATAACCTAAAAGTCTTAGCCATTTGCGGTAGGATTCAGATGTTCTACTCCGTACCGCACAACCCTATACCTAGGGTTCGGTTCTAGTCCTCAGATCTGCATTTTCATGTATCGTCGCTGATCTGAGACGCAGCCTCAGGACGTCGCTGCATGATGATCGAACCGTCAGGGAAAGCAGCATGGCTTTGACCTGATTCAAATCCATTGAACGGCTGATGTACCGGCACTCGCATCTGAGTCGGACCAGTCCGCTTGGTACCGCAAAGTTCTCCCTTTTGAACAGAGTGCCACTTATGGCCTATTATCATCAACATTAGCTCAACGTGTCCGTCGACCCCTCTGGAATCACCAGGCAAAACTGTACAATTATCGGGAACACCATTCTGGACTGGACTGGGCGTCACCACCGGCGGCGGCTACGGCGGCGGACCGTAGTTGGAGCGATCAGGTGTGCAGACTGCCGGGAACCTGTCTATGGAGGTAGGTGAGGGCAGCCCCGTGTCGTACTCGCACCAACGACTGAAGAAGCTCTGGCACGCTCCGGGGAGATCGTCCGGGTGGAAGTCCTCTTGCCAGTCTTCGTCGATAATCCAACAACACTGTGTCCACTCTCTTTCCTTGTCACCGAGATCAGGGACCCTTGTCATGGTTTCGGGTGGGGGAGTGAAGGTGGGATCGAACTCGGACGTGAGGGTGATAGGCCCCCGAGTCGGGCTTGTGGTCAATGGAGCCGGTGACCCAGGACCCGGTGAAGATGGATGACGACCTTCACTGTCGTTAGTCTCGTGGAATTTGAGCTTGGGCATGGAGACATTCACAGCTGAGCATGGCTCGTGGAGATGGACTCTGAAGTTGTCGGGAATGGGACATTGCCTGGGGGCCTGTGGAGCATTTCTGTAAGTCTGGACATTCCTTTCGTCGCGGAAGGGACTTACTCGATGCAAATGTGGCGCCCCTCGAGCTGATCCAGATTCGGTGTGATGTTCGTGTTGCATTTGGTCTTTAGTTCTCTACAAATGCCCAATGTCAGCAAACACATGGTAGTACACTGGCATGCTAATGTGGTACTGACGGATTCCAAGACATGAGTGGGACAATGCTGAAGCCCTTGTCCTGGACAAAATCGCCGCATGTCTCATTTTTGCTGGATCGTAGCCAGCTTGCAAGTGTCTCGAATGCAGAGCTCCCTGCCGGGCTGAAGCATTTGACATTGCATGTCCAAGTTGTTCACGTCTATGAGACGGAAGGAAGACACTGAATTTGCCAAAGCGATTGAATCGCAGTCGTCATCTTCCTTGGCCGTATAGGTCTCGCCTCGGCATGAGGGCTCGGGCGACGGCTCAGGCGGGTCGGTGGTCGTAGTTGGCGCAGGAGGTCCAGGTGTGTAAGTATAAGGATAATCCTCCGGGTCTGCATCGCAGTTCTGGAGCATCTTCTTGAAAATTGCTTCGGAGAATCTGGATCGGCCATAGGGAGACTCTCGCAAGACGGCACCATAGTGGAGGATTAAGCCGGAGCATACTTCCACGGTACCATTGTGAAGATCTCCTAGACAATACTCGTCCCTGTAGAGGTGTGAGCGCATGATCTGTACATCCATGTAACGGCGCGGGTGGAATCACCCTTCCTGAATGCACATGATATTCTGCGCCCAGCTAAATCCTTCCGCTAGAGCCTGGGCAGAGCTCTTCCGCTCACTGCCCTCCTGGAAAGCGTAGAGAGTGTGACCGCAATCATCGGTGACCGTCTGTAAAAACTCGGCAATGGAGTCCGAGCAGCTATCGGAGCAGTAGCCGGTCAAGGCATCACCGACTAGATGGTGCTCTTGCTGCGCCTTTTTCAGTCGTGACCGGAAAATCGCAAGTAATGTTGTATGTGAGCGCAATACGGCAGCTCGCGGGAACAGCGGCGGAGATGTCTCCTGGAGTTTCGAAAAGCTTGACGGCGGAAATGAGTGTGTTGCTGGCCGAGAAGACGACGAATAGCCTTGAAAGAAGCTTCATGTCGGCCGTTGTTCAGCTCCGTCTCGACAGTCCATGTAGAGAACGAGAGGCACACGGTTCGTGGCGTTGATGGGGCGGTCCGTAGTCTGTCTCCAGGGACTGGTTCAAGCGGATTCACGGAGTAGGAAAACATCCGTGCTGACGGGCCCCTTCTTGGCCAAGGCTTGGGGGCCGAGTTGCATTGCAGCGTCACATACGTCTTGGCGTTTATTTAGTGTTCGTGGCCATCTCGCTTCCAACGTAAGTACCGATCAGCGTGTGTGTGTTCATCTATCTACACTGGCCTGGCTCAACATTGACATATTCTACTCCGTACCGAGGCTGCCTAGGGATAGCCACCCGCTGCGCCGCAGAACTTGCTTCCAATCAACCCCCCTGGCTCGTACAACGGACCGACCTCCCCATCTTTCCAGTACGGCTGAGTCTCGAGATTCATTTGGAAGTGTGCCATGTTCAGACGTGCAATGTCGTCCGCTACGATCCTCGAGCACCTGATTTGGTGGCCCTTGTTGTCCAGCAACACGAGCTGGGCTTGGACGCTCTCAAAGAATGTCTTGTCGAATAGCACCACCGAGGTTCCTGAGAAGGCCTCGTATTGCACGGCGTCGGCGACCCTCTCTAGCCTTGACTGCCCGTGACTTCGAGTTTTGTCCAATTCCGAAATTATGTGACCCATGTCAGGCTTCAGACTCCTGTCTGTTTTAACCTTGATCACTTCAGGCAGGATATCGTAGATCTGCGCCCAGTCCTCACCCACATCGAAGAGAGACTCATCGTTCAAAACTCTCCACCAATAGTCCTCCTCGTTCACTGGAGGCTCACTCGTGAGTGAGGAATCAGCCAAAAAGCCCCTCATCTTCTGTTCGTCGGCACTGCCGACGGCGTACCATGTGCGTGCAAACATGGGTTCATACTGGTATCTGTTTTGGAGATCCAGCAGCATGCGAGCCACTTTTCGAAGGCGATTCGGCCTCCACGGCTCGAGGATCATGCGGACTTCTTCTCCATTTGGTTGGCGCGAGATCACCCCGTTCCTGCCCATGGCACTAAACAGCTCTCGGCTGGGGGTATCTTCCTGGACAAAGGCACGGACAAGGCGCAGACGCTGCTGGGCTGGGGTGACAGACGCCGCCGTGTGGTCCCAATGTCTCTGCGAGGCTCTCAGCAAGATGCACTTTGTAGGGAGGTGTGGCCACTCACGATGAGATATTGCTCAGATGGAAAGTAGCCCCACGCGGGCGGTTCATCAGCTTCTGTCGGCGGCTCACGCTGCTGTCCGAGGCGGCGCCCAGGAAATGGCATGGCCGAATGCTTGTCGAGGCGAGAGAAAACTATTGGCTATGTTACAGTAAAGTAGATTGATTCAGCGCTGGCTGATGTAGTCGCTTGCACGACGATAGCGACAGGGATCGCACACCAATGGGCTATGCTAATACAATGTGACTCCGGTGTGCACGACGGATCAAGGCGGATTCCGAGCTGCAAGTTGGATATTCGTATCAAGAAGATGAAGAGGAGGAAGATGATGATGAAGAAGGACTGAAGTTGGGGGCCAGCCCGACTCGCTAGATGCCTGAAGAGGAAGCACTCGGTGCTGTGCCGCAGAGTCGCAGACCCCGCCGCATTTGGATCTGCAGGAACGCTGCAACCCTATTATTCAGCTCTCAAAGATACATCGACTACTTCAACCTCATGTCGTACGACATCCATGGCATGTGGGAACTAGATAACGAATGGATTGGCCCGTACCTGAAAGGCCATACCGACTGGCGCAAGATCGAGGAAGTTCTGGAGCTGCTTTGGCGAAACGGTGTTTGTCCTGAAAAGGTGATCATGGGCTTTGGCTTCTATGGCCGCTCCTTCACCATAGAAGATCCTTCTTGCGACGAGCCCAACGGCGTGTGCCGTATTTCTGATGGCGGTGCCCCTGGTTCTTGCACGGATACCGCGAGGGTTCTCACATACTACGAGGTTACCAGCCGCAACGAGACCGGCGACGTGGAGACATACTCCGATGCTAGGAATACTGTCAAGTACAGCGTCTTTGGTGGCGACCAGTGCATCTCCTACGATGATCAGCAGTCTTTCCACGATAAGCTGCTTCGTCTGTCTGAGAATTGTCTCGGTGGTCTCATGATCTGGTCTATTGATCAAGACACTGCCCAGTATGATGCCCTCCACGGTCTTCTCGGAGAATTATCCACAGGTGGCCTGGATGGTAGTACTGACGACGAGACTCTATCTGACTTTTACGGTCAGTTCACCGGTCAAGACTGCATGGTTACGGTTAGGTGCTCGAGCGGCAGCATGTCCGAGACACACGAGGATTACGACTGCCCAAGCGGTTACCGTGGCGTCACACTGGCACACAACCCGGTTCAGAGGTAGCCCTTTGAACGCCACGGCGACTGCGAAGAGGAAGAATATAGAGTGCGACCCTGAGCGCAACGTCATCGGCTGCCGGGAACTTGCGGACCTGGATACTATGAGCTCAACAGGGACACCCACGTCGACTACAAAGGAGAGGAGTCATGCTACCAGGGCCACAAGTATTTCTGTTGTGAGACGACACATCATAGACGCAGGCTACTGTACTGATTGCGATGGTACATTCACTGCTTCAGAGTCCCCCAGATGTCGCGACGGGCACAAGTGGACGGCGTACCGCCATGATAAGCCCGACGGTGACGGCCTATGCCGCGAAACATATGGAGACAATGGAAGCCCTTCTCATTGAGCCGTTCAAGAGCTCGCTGTGCTGCCCGGAAGAGTCTGCTTTTGACGAGTGCAATTGGACCAACGATCCCGACGCCAGCAAAGACCCGGACCCTTTCCAGGCAGGCCGCGATACCTGTTGCCGTACCCCCCGTCCATGTAGACAGGACCAAATCAAGATTGCCGATGCCACATATCCTGAAGTTGTTTCTCATCTGGGACGCAAGGAGGCTGAGTGCGATTCCATGTCTCTGCCCTCTGGCTACGCTACGATACGCGCATCAACCTCTGTTGCTCGCTAAACGACATTATGGGGCACAAAGATTGGCCCATTGACCCCGAACATCTTTGGGATCATGAGTTTGATTATGCGAACACTGACGACTCTCTTTGGGAGTATGAGAGCCATCACAGTAATAATGATGAAGACGACGTTCGGGATGGTGATGATGACATTTACGGCGACGACTCGTATGGCTTCATGATGCTTAACGGACCACAAAAAAACCCTGGACGATACATTTGGCGAGACGCACACGGTCCGCGAAAATGCCGCGACACCAAACTTGAAGCGCGGAATCTTGACCTCCAATAAGACGCTTCTCGAGTCTGTGTTTGAGCATTCCGAAGAAACATTTCATGTCTACTACAACCACAGGGAAGACTCGGATAAGTGTCAGCGTGTTTTCTTGGGAGGCGCCGAGGACAACATCATTCAACTGCCACCATATGTCTGCGAGGGCCCCTTTGCTCGCATTGTCTCCATGACAAAGGCCTCCAAAGACGTGCAACCCCCGGATCACCATCTGAAGCACCGATCCGCGGACAAAATCGAGGAGAACCCAGTTTAAGAGGTCAAGATTGATTAACAATTTGCCGCGGTTCGTCAAGACCGTGGTCACGTTAATATTCGAGTCGATCACACTAACCTGATGGAGTACTAGGACGAGGTCACCGCCGCCACGGCAAAGCGAAGCCGCATCAAGCGCGCTTTGCCAGAGGAGACGGGAGACGGACCTTTCAGACTCAAGCACTTCCGTGATCGAGTGAAGCGTGCACATGCCACCGAGCAGGCCAATCCTCTGAGGAAGCGCAGAGCAGCCCCTGTCAAAGCCACAGTCCCGATCCACCTGGAGTCGGACGATGCTGTAGCGTATTCAGTGGTCGACACTAAACGCGAGACCGACGACTTGGAGTCTCGGGATGAGCCCTCACCCATCAGCAAGCGTTGGTGGGGAACCTTTGCCAACTGGCTCAAGAAAGCAACAACGGTACAGGACAACAGCAAAGGCGATCTTCCACTCGACTTTGCCCAAAACATTAATCTCTTCCGTCAGTCCTGCGGATGTCTTGGAAAGGGGTACCGCGACAATCTCCGCATGGATCTCGACGCCGAGTTCTCAATGCAAGCTGCGTACGCGTACTACTACTCGGGCAATTTTGCGCCTCCCTCCAAGCCAGACGTCTTCTTCTACTTTGGCATCGAGCCAGAGGCTTATCTTGGACTCATTCTGGAGGGCAATGTGCGCTTGAACGCCACGAGCCGTCGTAGGAAGATCATCGACACGCTCAGCTATCCCGGTCTTGCCATCAAGGGTATTGCTGCCGTTGGCCCAACCCTGAATGTGTACGGTCAAGTCCAGGGATTTATCAACATTCAGGGCAAGGCGAGAGCTGGTGCCAAGGTGAGTTTCGGCAGGGCTGAGGAATACTGGCTGGAGGATGAGGCGCTTTTGGAGGATTACGACAATATTTTGGGCCTGGATCTGAAGCATGATCATGATATTCCAGAACTTGGCCAAGTGACGCCCGTATTTGAGTCGGGCGTGGCGGTTGAGACCGGACTAGACATTATCGTCCAGCCAGAGGTACGTTGTGATCCTTTCCCTTGGACTGTCTGCACGTACCAGGCCACAAGCTAAAGATCTTTTAGGCAGATGTCGGTATCCAAGTATGCGGCGGGAGCTGGGCCGCCGGGCTCACAATCATTGACACCCAGATCACAGACTTTGTCATGGGAATCGTCCAGTCCTTCGCCAGAGGCCGAACTGCCAGTGGCACCAAATGGGACTATGACTATGTTGTCTATCTCTACTAAAATGTCGGTTACAATGCCAAAGCCACCATCCTAGAATGGGCAGATTGGGCCCTCGGTGCCAGAACCGCTTGCAGTCCCGATCGGAGGATCACCATCTTCTATGACGAGGGGACAATTGACCTGGCGGGAGTCAACAGTCGCCATGACCTGCCAACCCCCGACAATGCTTCGACACCAGTCGTTGACAATACTTTCACACGCAAACAAGCTGATGGTAATCCTAATATCCCGATGTTGACGAGTGGTGGTCAAGGGACGTGTCCCGATGGCTCAACCCGCTCTTTCACGCTTCCAGAGCTCAAATGTAGTGTTTTCCTCGAGATCAAGCGCGGCCATGGATAGTGTTTTCTGACTCAGAGCCGCAACAGTTAATTGCCATGCCTTCCGGGGTATTGAACTGACTGACAATGACGGGGGGACCTTATTCGTGTCCAAAGGTCTCTGCTATGGCTACAAGGCCGGCGACGCTGACGGCAGAGAATTAACCCACGCCCCTGGAATCGAGGTCAAGGCGATAGCTGCAGAGAAGGCTAGACGTGATTCCCAGTGCACATCTGACTACTGTGATGATGAGAAGGACGAGCTGCAAGAGGCGCTCGGGGTCACTGCCAACCATGTTCCCAAACTCCAGTGTGACGAATTTCCCTGGGCAGCTAGCGAGGAGGGCGGGGACTACGAGCCGAGCAGCAGGCGCAGCCAAACTTGTGTACCGGGTCCACTGAACAGGATTGGATGCTCCTGCGTCCGTGAGTGCTCCAAAACTCCCCCGGTTGGAGCAGCAATACGAGATAAGATGGCTGACAGGCGTTACTTTCAGGTATGATGAGCGACGTGTGGTCCAACGTTGAAAAAATGGAACCCAGTGAAGGGGATCCAGATACCCGAGAAGATGTATGGGTACGGTGGAAAGAGACGTATGGCGAGGACGAGGACAACGTCTACACCTGTAAGTTTGGCAACGAGGCGGACAGAACGCCGTCATTTCTAACAAGATGTGTGAACAGTCTAGGAGCAGGAGTACTAGCACGAGGTTAACCCCGACCTGGGGCTCTGGATACGCCAGCGTCTGACCGATTACACGGAGCGACAGGGTGTGCCCGCTGAACAGGACCACACTTCTTGAAATGTGAGAGACTGGGCTCCTTCAAGATGTGCGGCATAATGTGCTAATCAGTTCGTGCAGTACAATCAACACAGCTGGGGTTTTAAGCGTAATTACACCCTCAATCTCACAGACAGCGGCGAAAATGGGTTCTGGGGAGCCACCGACAACACACTCACCGGCCCCAACCAACCGCCGTAAGACAACTCGAACAACATTCTCTGTGCTGTCAACACCTTTGGCCAGGACGAGTGGTACCGCCAGCCTCGACGGACGAGCAACTCTGCACAGTACAACGGAATCTGCTTCACCAGAAAGCACAAGTCGGAAGGAGGCTGGCCGGATGTCTACTCGACGGGGAATTGCCTGTTTACTTTCGGACCGAGTGCCTCATCGCCCGGGGATAATAAGAAGCGGAATGCAGGGTGGGATTTCAAGCGTAATTCACGCCAAATTCTTGATGAATGGGGACATGGAACTCACAGAGACACTAGACATTGAATATCTAACGGGCGACGATGCCGACAAGCAGCATTGGGACGCCAAGGACCTCCTTGGTCCCTCGGGCAAGCCAGTCTATCCCTTGGACTTGCCCGTGGAAAACAGGGCGGACCGCAGTCCGTACCTGTAGCAGATACTGCTCGAGAAGAGCCAAGTGCACTGCTGGGGAGTGATGATGGGGAGATTGATTCGTTTTCGGCGAATGTGAGAGATACAAAGCTGGACGGGAAATGAATGCACAGGGGCAGAATATGAATTCATGTCTCCTTGAATAAATTGAGCCTATAGTCATTTATCACCTTAGAGAACTGATGCCGGAAGTACACATATCTTATAGTCTAGTGATAAAGATCGGGTTCCATCCGGCATGGGGGTCATGGGGGATCAAGTTCCACCCAAAAGCTCATGCTCGTACCATTCTTCGTGCTCTCTCGCTGTAAGAGGAAAGACCTTCAACTCCTGGACACCATGCTCCTCCAAGAACTGTTCACCATCCTCTGCAGACCAGACGTACTGGACAGCTTGGCGTCCATCTCGAGTCCTCAGTACCATTTGCTCAGTGATGTGTTCAGCCGAGTCAAGCTTCTGGTAGACCTTTTTGGGCTTATTTGCGATGGTGCCAATGACAAGCGTAGCCTGTCTAAACTTGCGAAGCTCAGAGGGCAGGCGTCTACCCTTGCGGCAGTGAAAGACGAGATTCTTCCATTCAGCACTGGGCCAGTAGACGCGGAGACACTCGGTCTCTGAAAGACTTTCGATAGCCGAATTGGGGATGGCCATCTGAACAATCACGACCGAGTCAATCTTGTTCCGGCGTTTGGCGTAGTTCGCGTAGTAGATAGCAATCTCTCTGGAGATGGTGAAATAAAAGGCGTTCTCGGAGCGGTGGAAGTCACTTGGGGCGCTTGAGATGAGCGGCTGGAGGTCGATTACTTTACCGTCGCTGTCATAAAGTCCTATCATATTGTTAGTCGTACTTCCACGTCAGACTAGGACAACATTGACCCATGCCTACGTACCGTTGATGCGCGCTTGGTCTACGCCTTTGTAGACGATAATATAGCCGGGAGCATTCATGGCCGAGAGGGCTTCAGGCGACAGTGCGGTGTTCTTTTCAATGCCGGGGGCGAGTCGCTGAGTAGAGGAGATGGATCGACGACCTCCAGTGTTGCCGCTGTGGGTGGTATGGTGACCAGAGCGTTGAAGCGAATCGCCTTGCCCGACAAATGCAGATGCAGATCCCAAAGGTCGAGTGCTAGCCCGCCGAAGAGCCATCTCACGCTCACGCGAGGCCGTTTGGATCTCCTCGAGGCCGCGATAGCGCATCCGCATCGTTTCGACAATCCAGAAAACACACGACTCAGTCCCGCGGATGGGCTTGAAAACGGGATCCATGATAGCGTCCTGGAACTCTTTCGCGACGCCACATGCATCCATGCAGCGACGCCATTCTTGGTCGTCTTCATCGACCGCGTCGATGTGCCTGCCCTCGATATGTCCTGAGACAAAGTCAATGAAGGGCATGCCTCTGATGATGTCGTCTGTCTCCCGAAGAATATCATCGGGCGGCCAACTAGTCCACTCCTCCCATAGCTGCGTGGCAAAGTCATCATCGCAGCCAATGTATCGCAGTGTTGCAAGGGAGATCAAGTCGTTTGGGATGTCGACAAAAGCCTTCCCTGCCTCGGGGGAGGAGATGGGAACAAGGGGAACATCCGCATTCTCCTCATCGCTGGATCGATTCAGCCGGCGTTTGTGGACGCGACGGGTGCCGTTGGCATCGACAGGGCCTACCAGGCCGGCGGCCGCGAGAGCATTCAAATCAAGAGGGGCGAAGACCGTCATGATTTTGACTGAGGTCGAAAGTGCCTGGGAAAGCCTGGTCAGTATATGGGCAGATAGAAATAATTGACCCGTAGTGCTTACGTCTATGAGTGTTTGACCGTTCGACGACGGGAAGTAAGGTGAAGTGAGAGGAGGATATTTGCGCAGGTGATGGGACCGTGGGAAAAAAGATGTGTTCGCTAGGCGTCGAATGGATAAAGTCACCGGTTTATATTTTTGACGGTGAGGTAAAAGTGACCTAGACGAAAGTAAAAAGCGACTCATATCTGAAGGATACTCCGTACCTTAAACTCAAAAGCCAAGTTTTCGTAGGGTTTGGTAAGGACGCAAGGTCTGGTTACACGAACTCAAACTTCAATCAAACTCGCAGCCATGGGGTCGGGGGCGTACTTGACTCAGGCCTGTCACAGGAATTCAAACCGGTTCACAAGGCTACCTGGTGCGAGAAGTTTCTTTTGAAGAAGGTGATAGGGTATTGTATCGGAACAATATTGACCAAGACGGTCCAAGGGGCGCAGCTGCTATGAAGAGGGTGGCAGATTTTGTTACAACTCCAGTGCATTGGGCATGTCTATTCCACAGGGCTCTGCGAGCGTGCTCAGTTGTCCACCGTCATGACGACAGCTCCCTTGCGCCCCTGATCGAGGCTGTCCAGGGCGCTCATGTCGTTCTGATCCAGAGCGAAGCTAAACACATCTGCATTTTGCTGAATGCGACCAGCATTGTCGCTCTTGGGCAACGGCACGAAGCCCTTTTGCAAAGACCATCGTATCAAGACTTGGTTCGGGGACACATTGTGCTTTTCCGAAATCTTGACCAGTGTAGGATCCTCGGCTTTGGTGTTGCGCACGATGGGGCAGTACGCCTCAATCACGATGCCGTTCTTCTGGCAGTAGTCAACAATTTCGCGTTGCTGCGCCCATGGATGGAGCTAGAAAAGAGATCAAAGTCAGAACATGTTCACGAGATGTTGGGGCGACAAAAGACTGTACCTCAATCTGGTTGACGTGTGGTGGCCAGACCTGCGCAAACTGCTTCATCTCCTCAATGTGCTGGATGCCGTAGTTGCTGACGCCGATGCTTTTGGCCTTCCCTTCATTGTAGAGCTTTTCGAGCGCGAGCCAGACCTCCTTTCTCTTGGCCGCGCCAAAGGCCGCGTTGTGTATGAGGAATAAGTCGGCGTACCCAGCCTCGCCTGGCGATGGGTCGAGCTTCTTCACGCTCCTCACGCAGCTCTCGTAGCTCTTGTCGACGGAGCCACCTGCCGTGAGGATCTTGGTCGTCAGAAAGACGTCCTTGCGGGGAAGGCCTGATTTCTGGATGGCCTGGCCCACCTCCTCCTCGTTCCCGTAGTACTGCGCGGTGTCGACGTGGCGATAGCCCAGCTCGAGAGCAGTAAGGCAGGATTTCACGCAAGTATCTTTTAGGGACTGGTAGACCCCAAATCCGATCTGGGGAATTTTGACTGAGTTGCCCATGTTCAGGGTACTCGTGATGCTGGTGGGTGCCATTTTGATGGTGTTGGTGATGTCACTGATGTAGCCGCTGTGGCGCGATGTGAGAACAGGTACTTCTGGCAGATTGCAAGCAGAATGAACACAAAAGTAGGGTGAAGATGAAGGACCTGAGTATTCCTAGTCAAGTGTGAAAAGCAATGACATCAAACGGAAACATGCAACGTCCCCGACTCTCCAGTCGTCACTCATTGATGTGTGCAAGGGAGGTGGAGCGAGGTGGGTACCCAGCGTTGCCGCTTTATCATGGTCTGGAGAGGCGACGCGACGCGCGAGGGTCGTTCAGGCCTCCTTAATAAACTAGGTGACCGTTGCGGCCCGCAAAGACCCTTAAGTGGAGATGATAGAGAGCTACAGCACATTTAGCAGTGACAGGGATGTACTATGTCGAAATCAACAGTGGATCGCGATAGGGCATCCAGTAGCTCTAAACGTCTTTCTAATCTCCATCCATCACTGACGACTACTACGTGCGCGACATGAGCTTCTGGAGAGAAAAAATTGGCAGCTCGATGGATGCGATGAATTTCCTCAGTCAGCAATCAGTTGATGGTCTCGGTACTGCTGCACCAAGCATTTCATCGTACAGTCGAGACGCGCAGGGCGGCAGCCACAGCGTCCCTTCAGCCACAAGCCACATTCAAGTTTCACAAGGTCCAGTCTCCATGAGACCATGTCTTCAACTTTCATGCTATGCGAGTTTGTTGATAGAAGCACTAGGTGGATTCTAAAGTGTCGCGATATGTTCCCAGATCCCAGATCGTCCCTCTTCTTCACTTCTCCTATCCCACAATCAGACAGAGAGGTGTTTGGTCGTTCTCTACAGACCACCGAAGCTATGACGACAACCATCGATCCAGTCTGAAGGACATGAAGCTAGATGATCACAACATGCCGACGACCATCACATCGCATTAGAAAGGGGAGATGGTTGACACGGAGAGCCAAATCAAGCGTGATTTCAAGCCGCGTCACGTTGCATGTTCTCCATCGCATGCGACATTGGAACAGGTCTCGTCATCGGCTCGGGCACTGGCTTGTCCAGAGGCGGGCCTTGGGGTCTTCTGATCTCCTACACCGTCCCATGAATAAGAGCTTTCGCAGGCTACACCAGTAGCATGATTGATGCTGCTTTTAGGTGAGTGCCGCCGTGGCAACTTTGGCAATCATGCCGTATCTGACTGTCGTGTAGCTTCTTCACAGGATGGAATTACTTCTTCAAGTACATGATTGCCGCGCCCGCCAATCTCACAGCAGCTGGACGTGTCGTCCAATACTGGCTCCCCGACATCCACATCGCCCTCTGCTTCGTCGTCTTTGGCGTTATTATCACCATCAGCGTGCTTGGCGTCTAGGTTCCGACAGCGTGAAACAAGTGTGAGTCTCTATCCAGACTCCACGAGGCGACTCAAGAGCATGAAGGCTCACTTTGCCGTGGAATTCTGGCCGAATCGAAGCTATCCGAGGCAGACCCTAGAGATCATTCGACGCACACCGTCTGAGAAGAGGGTTTGTGCTCGTGTATCTGCGACTGCAAGTTGATTAAATGAGCGGCCACTGACCAGATCAAAGGCTCAAGCATTAGCAATGGCTCTCCCTTCACGCCATCCGGGTCGTCAAAAGACGAGCCCAAGACTCCAAGACCCCAAAGCTCCAACTGTAGTCCAACATGTCCGAGGGCCGGAAAAGGTATCCGGCAAAAGCGGCGCCCGCCCTAGCTGATTCACAGTGTCTCGACTCTCGAAGCCACCTACCGTGCCGCTACACATAACATGACGTGCTGCATTTTGCACAACTTTGTCTATGCGCTAGACTAGGGTGCCCACATACTATCGGTTCTTCGCCAACAATCACCACTCACTGACCAGTCACCGTGCCAATTGTGTCGCAGAGCAATCCGACTGGATTTAATTATTACGCATTATGCCAAACTCCAGAGAAATGTTGTGTACACAGTAGCCCCGTCTCCCTAGATATCGATGATCTCACGAATGCCATTTGAATCTGGGTACTAACGCTAGTTGGCGACCACGCTGGCATCGCAATACCCTTACTGCCATGGCGTTCAAATTCTTATTCTAAGCTCACAGACTCCATCTTGGGGGTTGCTTCACGATGGAAGTCCAGGATGCGACACCTCGACCAACGTGCTTCACCTGCACGCTCGCGCAGGCGATACAATTGGGAGAGCAGGATGGCTGTCAGCAGCCGGCCTTTACGACTGTGCTGGATCTCCTCGAGAAGCAGTCCAACGCATCACCAGAGGCACCAGCCCTAGGTTTTGCGGACTTCACCTCAGGCAATTCAGCAGACTCATGTGTGTTGGATGAGAGGGCCAAGCTGGACTGGCTGACACGGATACCAGGCATCATCACTTTCCGACGACTTCACGCGCTGTCGTACTACGCGGCTGAAATTTTAGAACTCCGGGCGAACGAGACCTCGAAGTCTAGTAGCATAGGATTACTCTGTGTCAGCGGAATCGAGTACACGCTGACATGGCTCGCCCTGGTGCGTCTGGGCTATTCCGTGCTCTTCATTGCGTAAGGACTCCGATGGACGAATAATAAACAGCCGATCCTGATAATTGTTTCAGCCCTCAGCTGGAGCCCAAAGCCATAGAGAGCCTCTGTGAGACGCTGCAGGTCAGGACGATATTTGTCCACGGTAAATTTCGCGATCGCGTGTCCTCGCTGTTGGGACATCTCGAGATTCAGGATGTTCCCGAATACGACTCTGACGTCGACTTGGCGCCGCTCGACTTGGAGAGGAGCGATGAGAGAGTATCAGAGGTCGCTTACTACTGTCATACATCAGGTACATCGTCGGGTCAGCCCAAGCCCATCCCACAGTACCACAAGGGCATGATCGCTGCGCTGCATCCAATACACAGCGAGCACAGACATGCCACTTTTTCGACGACTCCGCTGTATCACGGCGGATTCCCAGATTGCTTCCGCGCATGGAGCAGCTGCAGTATGGTATGGTTCTTCCCTGAAGGTGCGGCACCCATCACTGGCCGCAACGTCCACAAGGCAGTCCGGTTCGCCCAGGAAGCGGCTGGCGGGCCCCTGATCAAGTACTTCTCCTCCGTGCCCTACATCTTGCAGCTACTCGCCGAAGAAGAACAGGGCCTGGCGCTCCTACGGGAGATGGACATTGTCGGCGTCGGCGGTGCAGCGCTCGCGACAAAGGCTGGAGACGACCTCGTTGCTGCTGGTGTCAACCTTGTGTCGCGCATGGGAAGCGCCGAATGCGGATTTCTCATGTCCTCGCACCGCGACTTCGACAAAGACAAGGAGTGGCAGTATCTTCGAGCAGTGCAGGATACTCGACTTCTTCAATTTGAACCACACGGTGACGGGTTGTCCGAGCTGGTCGTAAAGCCCTCGTGGCCGTGCCTGGTCAAAACGAACCGGGATGACCGATCCTATGCGACCAGCGACTTGTTCGAACCGCACCCCACGATAGCGAATGCATGGCGCTACCACAGCCGTGCAGATGCGCAGATTACGCTCGCCAACGGAAAGAAGTTTGACCCGTCACCGGTCGAGGCCAGCATTGTGGCATCCAGCCGGCTTCTCGTGGACGCCCTAGTCTTTGGAGGTGGTCGAGAGTACGCGGGAGCCCTCCTCTTTGTCAAAGACGATGAGTCTGCGACTGATGAGGACGTGATGAACGAGTTGTGGCCAGTCATCCGGGACTTGAATAATGCGAGCCAGAGCCATACCCGGATCTCCAAGGCCATGCTTCATGTGGTACGTGCCGGTGATCGACCCCTCGAGAAGAGCAGCAAAGGGACTATTATCCGATCACATGCCGAGAAGACTTATGCCCAGAGCATAGAGGCGCTCTACTCTGGTTCAAGCACAAATGTTCGTGTTGGCGACGGCGACATTTCCACTACCGTCAGGAATTGTTTCTTTGAGGTCACAGGAAGAGAGCTCGATCCCGTGATTGACCTGTATCAGCAAGGAGTTGACTCGCTCGCATGTGTGCAAGTACGCAAACTGCTCGAATGCCGGGTTCTCGGACGGGCGAGGAGCTTGCCATTGAACATTATTTATGACCAAGGCACAATCGTGGATGTCGAAAGGTTCTTGAAGGATGCTCCCTCCGATGGCCAAGTCAACAGTCTTAGTGGCAATGACCAAGATACTGGCGTTCATGAGAAGATGCGGGATCTCGTCACCAGGTACAGCAGTCGCTTTGGGGAATTCGATGCCGAGAAGCATCGAACACGCCATTTGAGGCCGAGGACCGTCCTACTGACAGGAGCAACCGGCTTCCTCGGCAGCCATATCTTGAATCTACTGAGCAGAGACTCCGACGTCCAGCGCGTTTACTGTCTTCTGCGGGCCGACACGGATGCAACGGCCCATCTACGTGTGTCGCAGTCACTGAACGATCGAGGGCTCGCTCCCATCTCGGAGACGATTTGCATCTCATCAAATCTGGAGAATGAGGACCTGGGGCTGTCCCTCGAAGCAACAGAGCTCCTGCGCGAGGACCCTCCCACGCATATCATCCACGCGGCCTGGGCTGTCAACTTTGCTCTCCGCCTTGACTCTTTCGAGTCGCAGATCGCAAGCACCGTCAATCTGCTCAACTTTGCAGCAGATTCTGGAGCCCATTTCACCTTTGTCAGTTCGACTGCTGCGGTCACCGAGTCAAGCGCCAGCCCAATACCAGAGACTCTGTCGCACGATCCAGCGGACGCATCACCGCTCGGCTACTCGCAGTCGAAGTGGGTGGCTGAGCATGTATGTGCGGCAGCAGCTAGTAAAAAACTTCAATCCACTAGCTTGGGAGGCGCCGTTGGTGACTGTCCCGTTTCGGTCGTACGTGTCGGGCAGCTTTGCTCAAATGCCAAGGGTATCTGGAACATGTCCGAGGCATACCCGCTGATGCTCTCGACGGCGCGGATCACTGGATGCCTGCCCAAACTGGAGAACGAAGTCCTCAGCTGGCTGCCCGTTGAAGTCGCTGCGCAGGCCGTCATGGAGGCTTCGATGACACTCGGTGGCCAAGCCACCGATGACGTGCTTCACATCCTCAACCCAAACAAGACACCAACATGGACCCAACTGCTCGGCTGGATCCAGGAAGATTACACCTCCCAGAGCTTAATTCTTGATTTGGTAGCGCCCGAGCAGTGGCTCTCTCGTCTGGAAAAGGCGTTGCGGCAGCATCCAGATCACCCATCCCATGCCCTCCTTGGGCTATGGAAGAGGGGTATATCCGGGAAATCTCGACCAGAGGATAAGGTGCCATTGCATTTCAGCATGGATGCGACGAAGACTACCCTTCCTGTCATGGCTAACGTCATACCACTGGGTAGAGAAAGACTCGTGCGCACGTGGCGATGGGTGCAACAACAGAAGCCGTGAGTTGAAGAACTAGGTTGCAGTGGAGTAGGCGGCTCAAATGCATGAATAAATTTTGCACTTCTATTATGTCTATTTTTCACCCCTTTTCCATTTTTTCAATTTTCAACCTTGTTCAGGCCTTAAATCTTGAGGACGGGCTTGTTCTTGGCACCCTTCTCCTTCTCGTCGTTCCAAATGTTGATGTCCCACTTGGGCTGGTCTGGTCAAGGTTAGTACACTACATTATCGACTTCATCTGATTCCAGGATAAAGACTTACAGGTCATGGGGACGTTGTAGCGCTGGGGCTGCTCGCCAATCTTGGCAATCTCCTTGACGGCCTCGTCGTCGAGCTCAATCTCCTGGAAGTTGGCCTGGATGCGCGAGGGGGTGACGGACTTGGGGATGACGCTACGTCCACCAATCTGGGCCCAAGCGAGGATGACCTGGGCGGGGGTGACCTCGGTGCCCTTGGCCTTGCCGAGGCGGTCGGCAATGGCCTTGATCTCGGGGGTGTTGATGAGGAGAGGGAAGCCGAAGTTGTTGTTGCCAAAGGCGGAGTAGGCGGTGATGTGAATGTTCTTCTTGTCGCAATACTCGTTCAGGTCCTTCTGGTCTAGCTTGGGGTGGCGCTCAATCTGGTTGACGGCGGGAACTTGGCCGACATCGTTGCTGATAGTCTCGAGCTGTTCAACGGTGAAGTTGGAGACGCCGACGGTGCGGACCTTGGTCTTGGGAAGCTTGGTCATGGCTGAGTGGGGGGGGTCAGCACGCATGTTACATGGGATATGGGTGCAATTGACATACCCCTCCAGGTGTCGCACAGAGAGACACCCCTGTCGAGGGCGACCTGGCTGTCATCGCCTTGGGCAAGGGGGACGAGGGAGTCGCCGGGAGGGAAGGCAACGGGCCAGTGGATGAGGTAGAGCTAGCGGGGAAGTCAGTACATTGTTCTTGCACTCTCAGCGCTTGTGACTAAACATACGTCAAGGTAGTCGAGCTCGAGCTCGGCCAGGGTCTCGTCAAGAGCCTTCTCGACCTCCTCGGGGCGGTGGCGGTTGTTCCACAGCTTGGAGGTGATGAAGATGTCCTCGCGCTTGAGGCCAGGGATCTCCTTGAAGGCCTGCTTCATGCCCTCGGCGACCTCCTTCTGGTTCTGGTAGATCAGGGCCAGGTCGAGGTGACGGTAACCAGCCTTGAGGGCCTCGAAGATGCCACGGCCGACCTCGCCAGGGGCGGACTGCCAGGTACCGTATCCCAAGGTGGGGATGGTGGCGCCGGAGGAGAGAGTAGCGGTCTTGCGGAGAGACATGTTGGCGGTTTATCTGGTATTTTCGGAAAAGCAGCGTCTTGTTCTTGAGTTAATTGATAGAGTAGAGGTTGGGTAGGGGGCGTCGAGGCTGCGCGGGGCCTATTTAACTTGTGAGCGTATCGCCAACTCTTCGCGCGGGAGCAGGAGCGACTGGAGCTGCCCCGCCATGGCCCATACGCCATACGTAGAGGCGATGAGGGGTAATCATGGATGGATGATGATAGAATGTTTGGTCGCTACAAGCAACGGTTTGCGATCCAATGACGCGCGCCTCGCAGACGGGCGCCTTGCAAAAAATGGACGTGGCGTGCCGTAGAAGCCTAGAGAGGCTGGTGGAGGGTCCATTTCTCTGGGGCACCCTCGCCCATGTTGTGGGTTTCGTCACTCTTGTGTGGGTTTATGACGGTTCAGGAGGGTCGGCTGGAGTCGTGGACTCGTGGGAAGCTTGGAGCGATTGTTCGAAGAGGGCTTCCTCGCGACGGCTATCGTGGCTAAGGAGGCCAAATAATTTCGTGTCCAAGACTCAGAGGGCGACTCCGGGGGAGGAATAACGGCTCGTGCGCCCGGACCTTTTTTTTTTTCTTTTTTTTTTTTCTTCTTTTTTCAACACCTGGCCTCTCTGACTATCTGCGCGAGTTCTCATCTGATAGACATCATGTTGCCCACATGTGACGACAATTAGCCAGACAGCCAAGCCAGGCACGTCTGTCTTCGTTTGGCGCTCGAATCAGAAAGAAGCTCCGGCAAGTGCGAAATAGTGGGAAACGGATGGTGGCTAGCGGTTGAGAGATTTGCATCTAAACCCCCCTTCCATGCTATGCTTTGTATGCAGAATTAAAAGAAATTTCGGGAGAAGAACGTTCTACCGAGGATTGATTGACTCGTCTACTTGTTAAGGACCGGTGACTCCATGCAGGCGCGAGGCACAGGGTATCTTGTTGGGATCCGGTACAGGGTAGCTTGCTGGATGCCCATTTCGCACTAACAGACGACAGCCTGTTCGGTCCTATTTACTGTTAGCGTGCTCAAAGGCGTCAATGACCAGCCATGAGTGACGGACAGGACTGGTAATATGGACGAATTCTTTGCTTGCCATCTTTTGAGATGGCTTCAGTTTCGCTCTGCTCAATTGAATTCCTGTTTATGTACGTAGAGATTGACTCGGGTCAATTGATGGGCTCGCGTCGGCCCTACATATTTGTACGTACGTAGGTAGTATGGAAGACTTGAAACGGGTAGATTCGGGCGTCCATTCGCGGCGTGATTGGAATCAGGAATCCTGGAATCAAACCCATTGGACAGTCTCGCGTGGGCTCATCTAGGCTGGGGAAATTTTCGGGCCTGGGTGTCATTCCTGACTGACAGAGATTTTCCCAAGAATGACATGATCTGATAAAAAAATTCTTAAGCGGGTATGCGGCTAGGCGGACAGAAAGACGCCACCAGCCCCAGCGCCAGACACGTGGATGAGAACGGACTTGACACAACCGTCAAAAGCATCAAAAAGCCTGGGGAAAATTTCGTGAGTCTACTGGCAGAATGCGGGCTGTGATATCGGGCTAAAATACAACTGCGACGATAGTTGTTCGAGAAATTATGACCCAACAGGCTTGACGGCGCCTGGCAGACGATTCTGTCAACATCACGCCACATCTGCACGCGGTCCCCCGTTATCTAAAAGATCTCCGGGTCCTCGGTTCAGGGAAAGGCAAATATTGAGGACTTTCGAGCTTTGCGCTGGCGCGGCTCAAACTCACAATGTAGATTTAATACCTCCTGGCCCCCCTCGCTGGTGATTGTTTCTTTCTCCCCCTCCTCGTCTCTCCGTCTCCCCCCCTTGACCTCAACTGCCTTCACTACACCACTGTTTCTTCCATCCCTGTTTGAGAGTGTCTGCCGGTGACCACGATCATCTAGTCAGATTCCCTCGCCGGAGGAGCCGAGATGACACAGTCCTCCACCATCCCAGCAGACGTGCCGCCCACGGACGCTCACTACCAAGCCAAGTCCACCAGCGACGCACTTGGCAATTATGGCCATCGCGAACCAAAGACGGCCGCTGATGTTGTGCGCGACCTCAAGTCCCCGGGCGTCGTCCGTGTCGAGGCCCTGGCCAAGGTCCTGAATAAGACGGACCGCATCATCATCTTCATTGGCGTCTTCCTCGTCGCCTACGCCTACGGCCTCGACGCCACCATCCGGGGCACCCTCCAACCCACGGCCACGAGCTCCATGGGATCCCACTCCCTCACGTCTACCGTCAATGTCATCCGCGCCGTCATTGGCGCCGGCATCCAGCCCGCCGCCGGCAAGATGGCCGACGTCTTTGGCCGCGTCGAGCTGCTCCTCATCTCGTGCTTCTTCTACGTCCTCGGCACCATCATCGAGGCCTTTGCGCCCGACGTCGTCACCCTCGCCGCCGGAACCGGCGTCTACACCATTGGCTACACAATGGTCATCCTGCTCGTCGAGATCATCATCGCCGACATCACCTCCACGCGCTCGCGCGTTTTCTTCTCCTACATCCCCGCCCTGCCCTTTATCATCAACACCTGGGCCGGCGGCAGCATCGTCGCCTCTGTCCTCAAGGCCGCGACCTGGCGCTGGGGCTACGGCATGTGGTGCATCATCTACCCCGTTTGCACCCTGCCCCTCATCGTCCAGCTCGTCATTGTCAGCCGCCGCGCCAGGCGCCAGGGCCTCCTCGACAACTACAAGTCGTCCTTCCAGCTCCTGGGCGCCAAGAACTTTGTCCTCGAGCTCTTCTGGCTGCTCGACCTCATCGGCATCCTCCTCCTGGTCGCCACCTTTGCCCTCATCCTCGTCCCCTTCACCCTCGCCGAGGAGGCGGGTGGCCAGTCCCAGTGGGCGACGGCGCGTGTCCTGGCGCCCCTTGTTGTCGGCATCGCCCTCATTCCCGTCTTCGTCTTCTGGCAGCTCAGGGCGCCTCACCCCCTCATCCCCTTCCGCCTCATGAAGGACCGCAGTGTCTGGTCGCCCTGCATGATCGCCGTCATGCTCAACTTTGCTTGGACGATGCAGGGCGACTTTTTGTACACCGTTCTCGTCGTCGCCTTTGACTTTAGCGTCGCCAACGCCACACGCATCGCCAGCCTGTACTCATTCACCAGCGTCATCGTCGGACCTCTGCTGGGGCTGATCGTCATCAAGGTCCGCCGTCTCAAATGGTTCATCGTCGCCGGTACATGTCTGTTCATGGTGGCCTTTGGCCTTCTCATCCAGTACAGAGGCAGCACCTCCCCGGGAGAGGGACGCGCCGGTGTCATTGGTGCCCAGGTCGTGCTCGGCTTCGCGGGTGGTATGTTCCCCTATCCCGCGCAGGCCTCGCTGCAAGTCACTCTGCAGCACGAGCATCTCGCCGTCATGACCGGCACCTACCTGGCAATGTACAACATCGGCTCGGCTCTGGGCAACACCGTGTCGGGCGCCATCTGGCGACAGACCCTGCCGGGCTACCTAGAGGAGAATTTGCAGGATCCAAGCATTGCAGCCTCCGCATTCTCTGAGCCCCTCAACATGATCGTTAATTATCCCATGGGCACTCCAGAGCGCCAGGGCATCATCGCCTCGTACCGTCAAACGCAGAGGCTGCTTACCATTACCGGCATCTGCCTCTGCGTTCCGCTGATTGGATTCGCGGCCGCCCTGAGAAACCCCAGGCTCAACCACGACCAGACGCTGGCCAAGGAGTTGGATGATGAGAGCGAGCTGGGTGACCGTGCTGCTCGCGGAACGGGCCCGTCCAAGGGGTCCAACGAGAGCCCTGCGCGCGCGGTGTCGGAATAGCAGGTCATGAGGGTGTCCTGCGTGAAACCGAGCTCTAATAGTGATGTAAATCGTACCTAATACCATATATTCCCTGGCATGTATCCACAAAAGCAAATTTTACCTTGCGCAAGCTCGGTGGCACAAAGTCCCTGTCCTTGGGTCCCCTTGAACAACTTATGATGGACAGAGAGGCTCATCCAGATGTGAGTCGAATTGCAATACGACGCTCGCTGGCCTGATCCTGCTGTAGCGCGAGCTGAAAGACAGCGCATCGCCACGCGTAACTTGACCTGCGAATCGGGCATGGGTCAAGTCCCATGCAGCCCAATCGCCGACACGGTACGAATGCTGACAGCTGCTTAGGTGGCCAAATTCTGATGGTACTAATATACCAATGAGCCAGGCTCTCACTCAACTGAGTCGGTCATGGTGACAAATACACCGTCTTCACGAGATTCGGGTATCGCCACAGCCAGAGGAAAATAGATTGTCAGCTTTGGCGGCCACTCATCCCTCAGTGTCAGCGTGTATTATGGCGACCTCTGCAGGAGCGTTGCATTGAACTGGGCTGAAAAGCTGATTGTCAATAATGCTACCATCTTGCAGGCGCCAATGTGTCGTTCTCTTGGCTCGCCTTGATGCGATGAAGGAAAGGTACGCGGTGGCCTTGCACGCCCAGAACTGTCGTATATAAGAAACCGAGGCGCCTTGGCCTGACGCCTGCCGCTAGCAACCACACTCGTTCATCCTGACATTGACCTGGCTAGATTAGAGGAAACTTTTAGGATGGTCGTCATGCTGTTGGGTTATGCACTTCTCTCCGCCATGGCTGGCCTAGCGGCCGCCATTCCGACTGCGTCAAGTCAAGGGCGAGCAGCGGAGCTTGAAGCTCGTCAAGACCGTCGATGTGGTGCCGAATTCAATCGCAGCTGCCCCGAGGGTCAATGCTGCTCCAGCGGAGGGTACGTCGTCCACTTATTTCACAGCCGTGCCTAACCTATACAGATGGTGCGGTGTGGAATATGCGCACTGCAGAGCTCCCATATGCCAAATCGACTTTGGCCCGGCGTGCGATGCAAATATCCGTCCTAAAGGCCCTGACACCAAGACAATTGCTCGTCCCAAGGTTGGCAACGTGCCATACGGCAAGGGCGTGTACACGTGCAACACCACTGGCGTTGTCGCCCTGACGTTCGACGATGGTCCATGGGAGAACACCGAGTACCTGCTCGACCTGCTTGCCGTGCGTATCGTCGTGGACCCCGTCGAGGTCATCCTCTCTGACTAGAGTAGCAATACGACGCAAAGGCGACCTTCTTTGTCGTCGGCCGCAACATGGGCAAGGGAGCCATGAATGATCCCGCGACGCCTTGGCCCACGCTCATCCGCCGTATGATCAACGACGGCCACCAGATTGGCAGCCATACCTGGTCACACCAGAAGCTCACCGAGATCACCGCCGCCCAGTTCCAGAACCAAATGATCTTCAATGAGATTGCCCTGGCCGACTTGCTGGGCTACTTCCCCACGTACATGCGCCCTCCCCACTCAATGAGCGACGCGACGACCGACACATGGCTCGCGGATCTGGGGTACCACGTCACGTACTTTGACCTCAACACCCTTGGCTACGAGAACGACGACGCCACGCTCATCCAAAAGTCCAAGAACATTTGGGACAGGCGCGTCGAGCCGCTCGATCCGGCCAGCGCGAGCGTCCTCCACATTGAGCACGATCCGCTGTACCAGACTGTGCACAACTTGACAGAGCACATTCTGCAGTCGATGGTGCGCAATGACTTTCGAGCTGTGGCGGTGGGCGAGTGTCTCGGTGATCCGAGGGAGAATTGGTATCGCAAGGTTTGAGCTTTCCTTTCTTGAATAGAGTCGTTTCGCGCGTGGAAGACACTGTTCCTGGACGAAGCGCCAGCGTGTGGTGTGGTAGCCTCGATCCGGGGCACGTATTTGTTGTGCTCGTGATCTTGCTGTAACGGGAGAATGAATAGGTCGATACGCAATGGGGAGCGAAGCGCGAACCGCCAAGTGACGGGACCTGAACATCGAGGTGAGTTTGTGGGAGTTGGTTCCTCCACCAAGGTAGCTCCGAAACGGCAAGGCTCGTGGGCTTCTAGTTGCCGATCAACTCATGGCATTTCTGCTAGCACTACCGCATAGTACGTATCATAGGCGCTCCACGTGCGTGCGCAGTCGCGCGCTCCGGCGCTCGTCTCCACGCTCGCTCTGCATAATGTCTCAACTCTATCTTTCCCGCCTGCGTCGCTCCCGCCTGTGGTATCAATTCTCGGATCTTCCTGTCTTCGCATGCGTAGTGAGATATATAGTCGCAAACACCTCAGCAGCAGTTCTTGTGGAATCGGCACGATCCGTCACAGCAGTCAAACCCGCAGTGCAGACCCCCACCGCGAAGCGACATCTCGGGTTGGCTCTCGGCATTGGGACGCGGTTCAGACACCTGCAAAGGTCAGCCAGCTAGTTTGAATCATTTGTTGAGGCGTTTCGGGCTTTGACACACGGGCTGGCGCGTCACAACGCCGGTGCGCTGGTCCTGCGCGCCCATGGGCTGCTGTTGCTTGGGCTGTTGGGTGGTCGTCTGAGGCATCGTAGCGGGGATTCGGAAAGCTGGGCTATTCGTCCTCGGTACGTAGTCTGTGGTAAGCAATCTGGGCTTTGGGGAAGATCGAGGCGCAGGTCTCATGGATAGAATCGCGTTTCGTCAATGGTTCGTCGCATCTCAGCCGCAGCTGAGAAAGACGCGTGTGTTTGGGCCCCAAGTCCCCTTATGGTGGCGTCTGGTCCCTCTCGAGCTCTCACCGCCTGCCCACCGTGTACGTACAGCAATCAAATTCGCTAATCACCTTCGACGTGCGACGGCACCAAGCAGCTGCAGGGGTTGCTGGCTGTCGCGACTAGCGACTCGCCAGTAGCGCCCGCATCGTGGATGACTACTACCAGCAAGGTCCATGTGCTGGTAACAGCAAAGCTAGGCGTCACAGTACGCAGGAATGGGCTGCTGGTAGATCATTTCAATGGTCATTATCTATACCTTAATTCATGCCGCATGCCAGCCTCCAATGCGCCTTTGACGACAACGAGTCAGCCATCTTTTGAATACCGCAGACACTGATATCATCCGTCTATCTCATCCGCTACACGCACCTCCGCCCTAATCGTCCTCTTCCGCCTCTTCATCCGCCTCTTCATCCGACTCCTCTTTCCCGTTGGCAACGACCGCCGGCGGCGCCTCCGTGGCAGAGCCGCCCTCAGTTTCCAGCTTCAGCCACGCGTCCCATTCGGGGAAGAGGTCCTCGTCCTCGTCCGGAAGTCCAATCAGCTTGGAGACCCTGGCCTTCTTGTTCTTCTCCAGGTTCTCCTTCCACTGTTTCGCCAGCGAGGTCGTCAAACTTGGCTTGTATGTCTGCGAGAAGAGGACGGCCTCGGCCAGACGTCCAGTCTTGCTCAGTAGCTGCGTGCACTGCTCGGCGTCACCCAACAGCCAGTAGCTGGAGAAGGCCACGTTGTGCGCGCCAACTTCCTCCGCCTGCTTGGCCAGCGCCATGAGACCATCGCGGTCACCTGTCGAGGAGTGTAGCAGAAGCAGCGAGCCAAGATCTTTAGCCCTGGTGAAGCACTTGGCCGCTAGAGCGACATCCCACCCAGCCAGGGCCGCATCACCGACTGTCTTCCACTTGTGCTCAGCATCCACCTCCTCAGCTTGCTCGAGGGCAATGTCCAGACGGTTCAGGCCCAACGCCAGCTCAAATTTGTGCTCTGAATCCGTCGCCACTTCGAGGGCCATTTCCTTGTGACCTTGTCCCTCCAGGAAGCGCGCAATCTTGTTCATCTGGTCGGCAGGAATCGTCGAAAGCAGTTCGGCCGCAGTATCCATGTCTTCACGCAGCACCAGGGTCTGGTACTCGAGGACCGGCAGCGACAGAGCGAACGAGGTGGCATTGACCTCCTTATCAGCAAGGTAGATGCGCGAGTCACGCTGGATGTAGCCCAGAATATACATGGGCTTGTCGAAGTGTGACACGGTGTAAGTCTGGTCGCCGACGAGGTAGTTGAGGCGGTTTGTGCTGTTCGTGTAGATGAAGCAGTCACCCACCCATTCACCGGTGCGCACACTATGTTGTTAGCAAAATTTGCGTACATGAGTCGCCAAACGTACCTCTCGCTGATGTCTGTGATAACCTCAAAAGCCGCCTCGACGCCGTCCTCCTCAATCTGACCGGCTTGCGCAGCCTCGACGTACGCCTCGCGGGAGAAGCGCAGCACGTAGAACGAGTCTTCGCACGCAATGGTCACGAGCTCGCCGCTGTCGGACCAGTAGACCTGCTTCGGCTCTACCTCAATCCTGCGGACCAGCCCCCCCGTCGCCCAGTCGAAGAAAGAGACACCACCCTGGCCAGTCACACCCAGGAGAACACCGCCGGTGAGGCCATCGGCTTGGAAACCGACATCGAGCCCCCCGCTCTTTTCCACAAAGTTCTTGTACATCTTGACGCTCATGGAAGACTCGCGAATGGCAAAGTCGTTGCTGTTCTCCTTGGACGCCCACACAAAGTCAAGGGCTGAACCGAATGCCTTGTTGCGCCATGCGAGAGCAGTGTAAATAATGTACTCGCCATCACCGCAAACCGAGACAAATCGACCGTTCGGGGAATGGAGGAGTGTTTGCGGGTAGACTTCGCAGGTTCCGAGATCCTTGGTCGGCAGACTGATAGGCTCGTTGTCCTTGATGGAGGCATCTACGCAGTCAGCATTCGGTTCACCCAGGCGCTTGTTTGGAACTCACCTCCGCCCTTGATGATTGAGGATACGACCTCGTTGTGTCTGGCCCAGATGAGCTTGCCAGAGGAGTCCATGGACACAGCAGGCTCCTCGCGACCAAGCTTGACGACGACTGCGCCGTCATCAAAACCAACCGCGATGCCCTGCTTGCCCTTTTGATAAGAGACGCACCAAGCGCGCTCCAGGCTGTAATTGAGTGATTGCTCAAAGCGGTATGTGTTGGCGTGCCAGATGCGGATGGTGCCATCTTCGGAACCGGAGATGATGACTGGCAGCTCAGGGTGATAGCAAGCAAACGAAACGTTGCTGGTATGGCCCTCGAGGGTGGCAATCAGGGACTTGGTTGTGTAATCCCAGATTTTGACCGTCCGGTCGTCCGAGGTGGTGAGGATGTAGGGCTTGTCGGAGTGAGGGTAGTAGTCGACGTGGTTGACACCCTTGGTCTCGTGGGCTTCGAGGGTGAAGTTGGCTGATGGCGAGCCGAGACTCCAGATTTTGACGGTTCGGTCCAAGCAAGCTGACGCAAACGTGTTGGTGTCCTTGGGGTTGATAGACAACCCCATGACATAATGGCTGTGGCCCTCGAAAACACGCACACATTTCCAACCCTTCTCCCAGTCCCAGAGCTTAATGGTCATGTCATCGGAGGCGGTCAGCACGAAGGGCTGCGTGGGGTGGACCGCGATGGCTCGAATGTAGTCGGGATGTGCCTCGAACGAAGTGATCTTTTCCGATGTGTTGTAATTGTACACGCGCATCTGAAAGTCGTCAGAGCCGCAGACGATCCAGTTCTTGCGAGAAATAAAGCGACCCGCGCGGACGGGAACGTCCGTCAGCTCAAAAGTCTTGACAATTTGTTGCGTTTCGTAGGACCAGATGTAGACGTGGCCTGGGGTGCGTCAGTAGGTGTCTTCGGGGAGCGATACATTCCCAATCGTACCGCTGTACAGCGTTGTGAGGATCCATGGCTCTTGAGGATGGAAGTCAATGCCCTTCACTCGCTCGCTGCGAGCGTACAGCTGACGCTAATTGGCAATGTTAGCAACCGTGGTTTACGACCTCCCAAGGCTCGTATGGCGGGGCAATTTCCATGCGAGCAGGGTCGGGGAGGCTTTACCTTGACGTCGAGCCTCATGATGAGCGCCTGGTTTATTGAATGCTATCGAGTCGATATTGAACGTTCGATGTGCGACGAAGATGTTGTCTCGAGAGCTTGCAGGCTGGTCAGTCTCCCGGCACAGGGGCGCTTGGAGGCCAGCTGGCTCGAATCGGTCAGGGGCGGATCGACGTCGCGAAGACCGAGGTATGTGCGGAGCAACACGAATCGCAAGAATCCTGCAATTGCCTTGCCGTTGAGTTCGTCGCCAAGCTTGGAAGTCCCGTCGCAAGCTTCAAGGCGGTGGTTGAGTCCAGAATTGTAAATGTGGCCGCACCGGTGCCAGTTGACCGACGGTGATTGTCACGGTTGACAGTGGGTGGGGGCGTCTTGAGCTTGGTGATTGGGCCGTAGCTCGTTGTATAGAACGTGCCTTGATGCTGAGCCAGGCACGTGATTCGCATTCGGACTGTGCCTCTCACAGTCTCGCTCACGTCTGGTACCTAAAGTACTTTGCCTGACAACGCTTTCCATGCAAATTTGCTGTGTAAAGACCAGGTTTTCATAACTATGGGCAAGAGCTTTTAGACCGGCAAGGGCAACTTATGAAGTTGAGGCTTTGGGAGTTGGAGCGTCGCTCCCACAAAATGTGATCAATCTGCACATCAAGCTTCCACTACAATCCTAAAGCAACAACCAAAGTCTCACAAGGCTCAAGATATTACAAAATGATAATTTGGAAATTTGCATGAGGGATAACCTTTATGATTTTGGTTCAGCATGTCCTTTTCATGACCATTTTGTGAGCCACCTATGAAGCTAACACTACGGCATAGGGTAGGCTCGAGCAGAAACGTAGGCCTGTTGACGTGAGCGGACATCAATCAGAGCCCAAATTCCGTCAACGATGTTGTCTACCTCGCTGCCACACATCAATACCAACAAATGGAACACATTCTCATTAGTACGGTTACTGTCGTGGGCCGGCGACAGTGCTTTTGGTGCTCTTGAACACAGCACGGCGTGTCTGCGCCTCAACACAGCCCGAAAGTCGAGTGGGGCTGAAAGCATGGCTAATCCGTGGTACCTTATCGAATCGCCCTTATCAGGCTGACCTCCTGCCATTACCCCTAGGACTCCGCCTTCCCGTCCCTTGAAACTAGGAGTGCGGAGCATCTCGTCCTCGGTTTGGCAGCAACATTCATCAACGACAATTATTTCACAGCATTGAGACGCTGCGTCGGCACCAGACGCGTCAGAACTTCCTCCTTTTGGTTCCCAACACATCATCATTTGCGGCGCTCACCCTCATCAACGTAACGTGCACACTGCGGGGTCGACAAGGGCAGTTTGAGGCCAATCAAAAAGCGCACCGTCTCCTTACCTACAAGCCTACCCCATCATCTGCCTCCAGTCTCGAGTGGTGACCTTAATTCCAACCTCGACAGACTGCAGTGGTGTGCAATACCGCATTGCCGTCGTTGCGAACCGATCAGAGGGTTCCACTGCTGTCCAACGGCCAGATCACTCTTTGGGCAACCTGCAGGTCCTGACGAAATAGCGACGTTGATCAGCAACGGCTACGTGGACTGCGTTGACCGACTTCCCCCTCGCTGCTATATTCTTAGCTCGAAGACCCTTGGAGTTTGACTGGTCTGGAACCTGAAACATCCGCCACGGCTCTCCTACGACCTGTACAACACTATGTCTTG